TCCATGGGCCTGTTGCTATAATGGGATGCCTCTTGTGCATTTTGGCCTCCTCGCAATTTCTCCTTCTACTCCTGCTGCTGCTACTACTACTACTGCTGCTGCTGCTACTACTACTACCACCACCACCACAGCTACTACTGCTACTACTGCTACTGCTACTGCTACTGCTGCTACTGCTGCTACTGCTAGTAGTGCTACTACTGCTACTACTGCTACTACTGCTACTACTGCTGCTACTGCTACTGCTGCTACTGCTGCTACTACTGCTACTGCTACTGCTGCTCCTGCTCCTGCTACCACTACTACTACTACTACAACTACTACTACAACTATAACTACAACAACAACAACAACAGCAACAACAACAACAGCAACAACAACAACAACAACAGCTACTGCTACTGCTACTGCTACTGCTACTGCTACTACTACTACTACTACTACTACTACTACTACTACTACTACTACTACTACTTCTCCTCCACCTCCCACTCCTTCTCCAAGTACTAAACCGGTAGTGCCGGTAGCTAGCGAAACTGTCTACAGTACTGGTCACAGGACACGGTACTAAACTGATCGACCAGTACTCCTTTGTATGCGGTCAATGGGTTGTTAAGGTAAGCACTTGCTAGTCAAGCTGCTTCTGATCTACGGCTCTGTCTTCATCTATGCTTCTTGTTCCTCTTCTTCTACTTCTTCTTCTCTTGTCTTCTGCTTCTCTCTCCGGCTTCCACCTAGCGTGCGCATCCCCCTCCCTTGGGTCAACCGCTCTCCGCTTCCACCTTGTCCCCTTCCATGCAGCGGTCTGCTGCCAAGCCGGAGGCTCATACATAGTACCTGGTGCTACTTTGCTGGGGTCGGTACGAATTTGGTATTCGGTCAATAGGCTGTTGCGGCAAGCGCGTGCTACACAAGCTGCTTCCGTTTTACGGCCTCCCGTGGGGTCACCTCTCTATGGCCGGCGGGCTTGCCACAGGCAATTGAAAAACAGTGATTTAATGGAAGATTAATACGGGTATCAGGATATATATATATATATATAGCCAACTCTAATCAAACGTTGGATGATATCTAAATCATATATCCAGTTTTTGAAGGAATGATCATCGATACATTGGGTTTCATACACCCATTAAGTTGGATTCCAATCATACAATACATGATGGCAAATATTACATGTGTGTATATTTATTTATATATATATATTCAAATATACAAATGGATGACCTGGGTAATAGCTTTCTACCGCTGGGTGTTGGTACATAGATGTACATGCTAGGTCTGTACCTTGCTGGGTGTTCATCTTGAGATTATATTGACCGATGTCCATAGGAGTGTGTCCAAACACCGCCCAAAAAAAGATGAAACATGCTGTTCTCTCAAGAAGTAGACCATGTTCATAATTTTGCGGGCCCCGTAATTAAGGGATCAATGCCTGTCTGAGTGTATCCCTGTCACCTTTGGGATTTCCACCAACATTCCGACTTAACTCAATGAAACACCCAAGTGACTAAGTGGAAGGTTTCAGCCCATCCCTACAGACTAATTGATTTCATTGACTTGTAATTGTAATGTAGTAAACCCAAAGATAAACCATCCCTAAAATCAACATTTTTATGGGCGCTATAAACCATCCACAAATGGTAGGTTTGTTGTTGGGTTTCCCACAGTATCATCTTCCATCAAGAAGAGCAGCAAGAATGTCTTCGAAATGTTTGAAATCACCAACCAGCTCGATCGAACATGTTCCCAGTCTACCATGTTTGTGGGCAAATTCCTTTTTTTGTGGTTCAATCTCCAGGTAGCCTTGTTCATCATATCCGCAGTTTTGCTGATTGGATCCAACTGTTGGTGGCTCAAATCATGTTGACTCTCAAGTTTTTCTGAAGGAAATCCTTTCCTCATCTCATCCATCCCCTGCCATTGGCAACGCCTGGGTGACCTCCCCTGTAGCGGCCCTTGCGGTGGAGCCCCAACGATTGGGACCTGGTCGAAGCACACCTTTGGATAAGAAACCAAAGGAAAGATTCGTGGGGGATCGCTTAATTGTTTTCCAAGCTAGTCATGGGGATAACCATGGATAACCTAATATTAATGGGCTGTAATGGGTTGTAATTGTAATGAATAATGAGGTATAAAAACCGAACATGGAAATTTCCATCGCAAGAACAAGAAGAAGAATAGGAGAACCGAAGTTTAGTTCGAAAACATCCAAGTTACAGACAAGTGTGCGGGGGCAGTCTTGTCATCATGTCGTCCTCATGTCAGCATCACCATGTCAACAACGTAGTGGGCAAGAGCATTTCGCGCCTGGGAGCAGTAGAGAAGAGTAACAGCTCCGAAACGCGTGAATTCACGGGCGGTGAAAACACTCTCGGGCGCGAAACCCTGTGTTTTTCTCAAGTAAAGTGGCTCCTGGGGTCGGCGAAGACTCTGTAGTGAGAGCCCGATTTCACAAAAAAACACACCAACAAAAAAACGCAATGTTCGGAGTGGCGTGGAATCGCCAGCGCTGCGCGAAGGTTGGTCGACTTGGCGCGACGCTTCTGCTACACACGGTTGCAACTGGCTGCGGCAAAACGCATTGGCACGGCTGCACGCAGCAAAGCCTAAGTCATGTTGCCACGCTCCGGGTAAGCGGGATTGCAGCTGGATGTTGCTAAACGATGCTAAACGTATTGTAACAGCTGCGCGAAAGGTTGTTTTTGAGCATAGTGCTAGTCTTGTCATATGCGGGATTGCAAATGGCATTGTACCAGCTGCGCGAAGAGAAGAGAAGAATTGGTGTGCAGAAGCTACAAACCAGGTAGCCGGGAGGCAGCTCAGAATAGAAGGGGACCAGAGAAGAAGTATCCCAGATAAGAGCCTGCTCAGAAAAGAAATAGCGGAGAGAAGAGGTACAAGAAGTGGCTCAACAAAGCAGTTAGCAACTCACTCATCAATCCATCCACCCATCCCTCAGTTCATTCGTTTGTCCACTCACTGACTCATTCATTTATTCATTCATTGGTTTATTGACTCAATTATTCATTGATTCATTGGTTCATTGATTCGTTGATTCACTGATTCATTGATGCACTGATTCATTGATTCATTGGTTCGCTGGTTCATTCATTCATTGGTTCATTGACTCATTGGTCTATTGGTTCAATGATTCATTGATTTACTGATCCATTGATTCATTGATACAATGATTGATTCACTGATTCGTTGATTCATTGGTTGGTTGATTCACGGATGCATTGCTTCATTGATTCGTTCATTGACTCAATGCTTCGTTGCTTCAGTGCTTCATTGATTACTTGCTGCATCGACTCAATATTTTGCTCATTCATTGATTCACTGGTTCATTGCTTTGTTGCTTCATTGATTCATTGCTTCCTTGTTTCCTTGATTGACTGATTGATTGATTGATTGGTTGGTTGATTGGTTGGTTAATTGATTGGTTGATTCAGCGTCTGATTCGTTGGTTCATTGCTTCGTTACTTCATCGATTCATTGGCTCATTGATTCATCGATACATTGGCTCATTGTGATTCATTCAGTCAGCTGTGCATGGATTCTTTCATATCATTTCATTGGCATCTCAACAACCATTTGCGCATTCGTTGATGCATCTCACAACTTCAACACCTCGTTGCTTCTGCACCTCAAAACCATTCCTATAGGCCATCTTCTCCCTATGGTATCTGGTAATGGTAATGTTTGATTATAGTGGGTTATGCAACCGCATATTATCGTGGGTAAATGATGATAATGGTTACAATGATAGTAATAACAGTATGTGGTATATAGATGTAGGGACTCCAATAATTTGGTATCTTAGTAAAAGAAAACATAGCGTACAAGATTACATTGGCTGGTTTTTAGGGATTCGCATAACTGGTTCTAGATTTGGATAATTGAATTAAACATTGTTTACGATAATAAGAGTAAATAACAATCATAACGAACGCACTAGTTGATATATACTTTCATAGGGGCTGTAGAAATATATACGTCCGGTAATGGGTTAGAATAATCCCTAGAAGAATCCTTAGATAAGGAGGCAATATAATCCCTATATACAGTACCCGCCCATATTCGCATTATATAATCTACCAGTTGATATTTTGGGCACTGCCCCTGTTTGTTTCATTCTCACCAAATGTTGTGGAATGTTTGCAAGTTTTATTTATTTTGGATCAAATATATTTCAAAACGAAACCCGTTGCGACCAATGGAACCATTTTCGGACTCCACATCATGATATACTACTTGCTGACATATGGGGTCAGAATCCATCAGAGAATGGGATTTGCTGAGTATGGTCTAGAATACCAATGGGGATAGCTGATGATTGTCTTTGCCACATTACGATTTTGTTGGAAGCAAATAAGAGCTGTACGCACAAAAAACTGCATCAATCATCGATATCCCGACGTTATCTGCCGAAAAATCCCCCCAGTGTTGCTGATGATAATTCTATTCAAAAAAAAAAAATCTGCTGGTTTAAATTCCTTCAAAATTCACGTGGGTCAACTTTTTTGGTACCAATGGAGCAGAAAGTGGTCATCTCAGTTCATAGTATATATATATATATAAGACTATCAAAAAATCCGCTTTCAATCCATATACAATCCATTTTCAGGGTTTATCCATTCTGACCTATACCACCCTGTTCCCACATGCAAAGGTATTGCCCCCCAGTTATAAGTTGGTTAAAAAACCCAGTTCGAGATATGAATCATAAACCCATTCGTGAAATCGCAGTTCTGTTCACCAAGTTATCAATGGCCATTCCAGGATCCTAAATTGGAGGTACCTACCATATATAAGGCCTATGTAAGGGCTATGTAAGGGAATATTCCCAGAAAATATGGCCTTATATGGTACAGTACCTCCATTTTAGGATCTTGAAATTCCCATTGAAGTTAGCCAACATCAATCAACTATAAATCCCCATCTTTCGTCGTAAAATCATGTGAAATCCCCCATGTTTGCTGGTGTTTTCTCGCCATTTACCCAGGGGCACCGAACCCGAACCCTTCGGCTCCAGCGTATCTCCGGCCAGCCATGGAACCTCGTTGCGTGCTGGTACTGAGCCGCGTCACATGGCTCAAGATCTCCGCCAGGCTCTCCTGTTCATGGGCAGTTTTCAGAAAGATTTTTTGGAAAAAAATGGTTTGTTCCATATGATTATGGATCAATACCTATTAATACCATTTTTAGTGGGATGAACATCCATTTACCAGCTATTTTGATGTTCACCAGGGGTACAAGGTTTTGACACACTGCCATATGAACAATGGGAATATCAAGCACTCTTCTCCATTCCAGTCCATTCTAAATATTCCAGATTTTTTGGGAATGTTCCCATCCAATGTTAAAGACCCCCATTCGATGGTCCCAGACATGAGTCAATCCAACATTAAACCATGGTTTCTGGAGGCTGTTCTAAAGTAACGTGGTACACCCAATGCCATAAACTATTCCCAAGTCATCACCATTTTTATAAGTGGGATTCCGACCATCCCCAGTCATGGTAGGTTTATTGCTGGCTTTCCCACATGATATCCAAACTTAGACCATTTGAGCATCGAAACCTATGGCTTTTCCTTGGAGATCAGCCATTTTGAAGATTCTTCACGGATCGAAACTGGTGAGTTTCCCAATAGTTGGTTCATTGGATGTTTTTTGGGTTCATGGAATGTTACCCTCTGGTTATTTAACATAGCCATGGGAAATGGCCCATAGAAATAGATGGTTTACCTATTAAAAATGGTGGATCTTTCCATGGCTATGTTAAATAACAAGATGGTAGTACTGGTGAGTTTCCGATGATTGTCGCATTCGGAGATTCCGGGCACCTGGCACTCTTCAGGCGAACTGCGCAGCTTCAGGAGCAGCTCATCCTGAGGTCATCTGAATCTGGGAAAAGATGGATTTATAAGCAGCAAAACGCTAGATATACATGTATGTACATCTACATATATACACATATGTATATATGTATATATATATATGTATACTGTATATATGTATGTATATATGTATGTACGTATGTATGGGTATGTGTACGTGTATGCATATGTATGTGTATGTGTATGTGGTTGCGTATGTGTATGTGGTTGAGTATGTGTATGTGGTTGAGTATGTGTATGTGGTTGCGTATGTGCATGCGTATATTAATAATGATTATATATAATAGGATTGTAACCTACCCAAAATTGGATCCTAATCAACAAAGAATGGGATTTCGCCATATTTCACCTGAAAATTGTGAGATCTCGTACTCCCACCGTTGGCCCTGCCTGTGCCACGTCTCCCGCTCTTAGCAAGGCTTCCCGGCATAGAACTGCCAACCTGGCAAGGTGAAAATCAAAGCTTTGGGTCTCAAAATGATTCATATGATATCAATGGGATGAGACAATTATCATTAATTGATATGTATGTGTATTTATATATATACACCATATATATAATGGATTAATGTTCATTGAATATGTAATATCAATGATTAATGACGATCCTATTAATATCAATGGATGACTATGGGTTAATTGTCATGAAAACATCAATGATAACTATACTAGTAATGATTCATATCTATAATTCATTTAATGAATACTTCATGGGTCAACAGGGATGGGATGTACCCCTGGAAATTTGTGGATGTCACACCGGTCATTGAGCACCATTTGGGTTTGTCTGCATTTTAGGGGAACACCCCATTCCATCCATGGTTGATGATGGGCCATACAAATGGCCACACCTTTTGGGGGATAGATCACCCATCTCACACTGTCTGCCATGTAGATTTGTCTGAAAATTTAGGGTACCCCCAAAGGGGACTGTAATCATATTCCCTATTTAAAAAAAATAAAACTATTTAGATGTATTTTGTTTACTTTAAAATAGCCATTTAGATGTCATCTTCCCTATTGGAACAGCGATTTATTTTGGTGCAAAAAGCCTCGTTTTCACCGGTGTCACTGCTTGGATCATCTTGGATCCCGCCTGGAAAAGTGATGCGCATCAGGACAAGGGAAGCAATACCTCAGCGTTGATGTTTGATTATGGGGTCATGTTGTTGATTATTCTTTGTTATTGTTCTTTTTGTTCATATTAGTGTTGATATTCTCTTGCTGTTACTGTTATCACTATTCTTGATGCTATTTTGTTCTTTTGCTTGAATTGATTGATTGATGCAAACAACATGCCATCAAGATGCAATCACTAGTCATTTGGAAAACGATGAATCATCCACTGAATTCAATGCATCGTCTGATCGCTTTACTCAGGGTAACTTGCAATGTGAATCACTACCCTGAAATAAGGCCATTTGGGGATGATTCTCCTTACTAACCATGATTCCAGGCTTCGGTCACGGTGGAGTCACTATCTGCACAGCCTAAATTTACCCTCTGGTAAACTAACATAGCTATGGGAAATCACTATTACCACTACTCTTAATGTTATTTTACTTATTCCGTGAAACTGAAGCTTGCATCATGTGAGTTTTTGATTTTGTTAATGGGTAAATCCACCAGAAATGGCCATTTTCAATAGCTATGTTAAATTACCAGAGGGTAAAGGTCTCCAATGGCTGAAGCTGACACCATCTCAGCCCAAGCTCGAGATGTCGCAAGATGTCGCCAGAATTCGCCCGCTTTCTTCATTCACCTGAAAGGCGGCCAGGTAGAGCTTGGCAACTGGCCAGGTACCCTCTGGTAAACTAACATAGCTATGGAAAATCACCATCTTTAATAGGTAAATCAACTATAAATGGTCCATGTTCAATAGCTATGTTAAATTACCAGAGGGTTCACCCACAAAAAAAAAGGAAAAATTGGACATATCTATCCAGACAGACACAGTATCTGTATGTATGTCTGTCAGTCAGTCTGTCTGTATGTATCCATGTATGGGTGTATATATATATATATTGTATATACTACTAGTAGATCTACTAGTAGATATATATATATATACAGTAAACATAGACACAAACCAAGACATATATTATATAATGGGGTTCTAACATTACCTGCACGGATCGGAACTGCCGCCTGCCGCGTCCAAAATTCCACCAGGCTTTCCGCATCGCCCTCAGCTGCTCGAAGCTGAAACCATGCTCCGGTTATGCTCTGGTTATGTCAAAATAGCTATTGAAAATGGCCATTAATAGTGGATTTTCCCATTAAACATGGTGATTTTCCATAGCAAACTGTTAGTTTACCAGAGGGTATGTCTGGTGAAATTTGAAACGAAAATGAATGGAAATCCTGATAGAAATCCTGAAAATTGGGTGATTTCGCTAGCCACAAATCTCGCTGTGATGCGGCCCATTGGGACGTCATCAGCCCCCGGTTGCACCGCACCTCCTGACTGTTGCGCGCAGATGCTGTCGACAAGAAGGCCTGTCGACGGGGATGATCAGAGTAATGATCATCATTGTTGTTCTCACTGTTTCACTCATGCTTATCGTCAATATTGTTATCAAGTTTTCAGTATCATCATTGTTTCCGTATAGTCAATGTCATTACGATCATTATCATCGGTATATAATCATTATCAGGCTTGTTTCTAGATACAAGGGGGGAAAATGTGTTGATAAGGAGGCAAAACAAAAACAATTTCCATCTTTCCATCAATTCCCCCCTTGTGGCTCTCATTTACTTATGATGGGGTCAGAGCAACCCTGATTAATGCCGGCAACCCAAGAATAAATCTACCACACTTGGGGATGGGTTTGAATCCCACAACACAAAAATGATGATGACTTGGGGATGGTTTACAGCAGCCATGGATTACCACATTATTGTCATTATCATTTTACAATATGATGATCATGTCATGGCTATCATCGTCTGCCAGGTGATCGTTCCAAGTTGGTGATCTCCGCCGATTCTTGTTTGGTCGATTACAATCTTTTCTACAATGTCAATTGAACTGGTAAAACTTTCCGACAAACACCTCGATTCGCCCGCAGCCATCTCAAAACATAGACTATCTGAGTCATTCTCGAATTCCTGGATACCGCAGGGGGCCCGTGCGTCGTTGCACACGCTATCCTAAACCCCAAGGCAAAAAGCTAAAACCCTAAATATGAAAACGTAAAACCTAAAAATAGATGTTGCGGGGGAAACGGGGTATTTGCGCATAAAAATACCGATTTTCACACACCTGATGTGTTCCCTGATTTTGCGCTACTTGGGCGTTACTAACATCATGGTGATGCTATCAAAGAAGGTGCTGATCGATTGCTCGCATGATCTTCCTACTGGTGGACAAATCTAGGTAACAGGCAGGTTCAGTATCCATTTGTCTCATACCTATATGAGAGAGAGAGAGAATGGAGTATAGCGTCTATACTTTTACACCCTGGACCAACCCGAAAAGTTTGATCATTTGGGATTATTTTTGGCCCTTGCTAACCATGATTCCAGTGACGTCAGGACGTGAGGTCGTTACAATTTATCCAAATAAACATGTGTACATATGTATATGCATATATATATATATGAATACAAAAACATTTAAACCGTTTTTGGTATCTGGAAGATGATGTGTGTATGTATATATATATATATGTAGGTTCTGTTTATCCAGATTTATCAAATAATAAACTAGTATAAATCAGTACTTATCCGATAGTTATGTAGGTTACATGTATACTATCCTACTGATATATATAACATATCGGTGTGTTGTTTTGGCCGTGCTTGACTCGCGTCACGGATCGGACCTGCAGCGCGGCCACGCGGCCCCGTGCTTTTCGTTTCTCCAGCTCCGCGCGCGTCCACTGCCACAGGGCGCGGAGGGAGCGCAGGACGCCAGGCGGCGTCCTCGTCCCTGGCCACGGAAGCCATGGACAGTTGGGAATCCGATCGTCAAGTCCCCATTCAGTGGCTTATCTGACCTATCCCATCTATGGATGAATATGAATGGGCACTAGCCTATGGCATTCTACTATGTTGTGAACATTCTAACTATGCAATCCCACTCTATACTGTGTTTACATTCTACCTATGGCTGTGAACCACGATCCCACGATCCGTGGCGTGAGCCTCCAAGCGGATTCACCATTCAAAATCAAGGGCTTAAACAAACATCTTTTTATCGTGTCAGGAAATGCCATTGTTACCATCCTAAAAAGATCTTTGCTAGTGAATATAGTGAATATAAGGATGGTAACTGTTTTTATGGTAACTGATCAGGAAATATGGCAGATGTCTAATCAGTTACCATCCTAAATTCACGTGACGAGCCTGCCCTGAGTTGGGGCTTGGAAAACTAGCCTCTGAAAAGTCGTTGGATTTTTCAGGGTCCCAGTTGGAGAATGGTAGGTACTTAACCATGTGTAACCACCAAGAATAGGGATTAAACCTTGTTCACATCATTCTGCATCGATGGAGATGACTAGAAACAATCAGTAATGATAATCAGTGACAACTATAGAGAAATATACGGCTTCTGATGGTGGTATTAACCAACAATGTTTGGGAGTCCAGCAATGATAGAGCGAATGCATGTTTTTCGTGTGTTATCATGTCCAGTATTTTACTGTTGAACTTACATGTCATCATGTCATCCTTTATATAACCTGTCTTCTGATTGGGATGCTATCGATCAAAAATCGACGGGACAAAGAAAAGGTGCAATAACCACCAAGAATGAGATTTAACTGATTATAACTAGCTTAAAGGCAGCAGGATAGCCTATCAAAACATTAGAATTAAAGCAAATATGGATAACCAGTATATCTGACAAGATCTTACATAAAACAACCGAAATATTGAAATATGGAGATACCAGTACCGGAAATAACTCGTAATCAGGCTATCAGGCAGTATTGGTCGAGGTCCGGGAGACTTCGGGATCACAAACATGAGCCATTCCTGAAGAAAGCTAAGATTGTGGGAGAACAAACTGAGCAAACATATGTTAATGTATATGTAACTGGTAATCATGCGAATTCTTGTCAGAATTGCTACCAGAAGCATAACCGGCTTCGTTTGAAGCATCACCAACAAAGGGTTCGGGCCTTGGTGAAGTGATTCTCCAGCTAATTCCCTTTCAAACAAAGACCCTGCACACCTAAAAGTTGATACAGAACCCCACAAAAAATTGGACTTTGGAGCGTGGAGTTTGGATGGTGAAGATGTTCCGATTGGACATGGCATTTCGGAGATCCATTCGGGACCTGTGTCCGTGCCGCTCATCAACCCTTCGGCAGCTTGGAAACTCAGCTGCTCCTGGTGTAGGGCCCCGCAAGGTCTGATGGAGTCACCTTTCTGAATGACGGGTAGAAAGTGTGTGTGTATGTGTATATATATATATGTTGTTATTATTATGATTATGGTTATTATTGTTGTTATTACTATTATTATTATCATTATTATAATCATTATTATTATCATTATTATTATCATTATTATTATTGTTATTGTTGTTTTATCATTATAAATTATTATCATCATTATTATCATTATTATTGTTGTTATTATTATTCTTATTGGTTTTTTATTATTAATTATTAATTATTATTATTATCATTATTATTATTATTGATTTTATTATTATTATTATTATTAATCATTATTTTCTATAGAATTATTATCATGATTATTATATACAATTGTATACAAGTAGTAACCCGTCAAAAGATGGAAATGTAAGTTGTCGTTTTTTTAGTGGGAGAGTGTTTTTTTCTATCTTTTTGGGGCTTACTATAGATATCCAAACGGATTTTGTTGGCCCCAAACACTTGGAATGTGAATCGAGAATCCATGGCGTTGATGTCTGGGAAATGGTGTATTTCATCAACAGGTATGTTTCATCTTGCATTTTGCCCTTGAAGATGGTTCGACTTACTCCCAAAGAATAAAACATAAATGTGTAGAATGTTGTTTCCAGACATGAAAGTCCAAAAAAATGTATATAATATATATCATATACATATATATATATACATATATATAATATTTGCATATATGATATATATATATATATATGCATATGCATATGTATATTGTAAACATGCATACAATATATATATATAATAGATTGTATATATGCCTATATATATACACATATCATGTACATATATACATATGCAAATAATATTACATATATGTATTTACGTATGCATGAAATATAAAATATAATGCGTAATATCTATATATATATACATGCATAGTATGTATAAGCATATCATATATATATATGTATATATTATTTGCATATTGTATGTGAATATATCACCCCCCATTTCCTGGACACCCCCATCGCTCAGGTGCGTCCTTTGATCTCACCCAGGAGCGAAAGAAACCCAGGAATTGCAGCTGCTCACCTGGCCAAAAATGAAGAGGAAACCGGGAAACCGGATGAATGTTGAGCAACTCAACATCAAGAATGGACCTACCCAAAAATGTTTGTTTTGGGAGACCCTCTGGTACAACCATGATGTATCCCAGAATTGGGGGCGTGAAGCATTGTTTGGGCGCCATGTGAAGGCTTGGGCATCGTAACCCCAGGCCCACTCGGCAAGATGTAAAAAAGACGTTCAACCACCGAGCACTTGGGGTTTCAGAAACCATGGATTTTTTTGGGGAGGGTCCGGGAAAATGTGTCCTTTCAACCAATTCCAGGATTCTGAGGCAAGTGATATGACCTATGGAACTAATTGGGTCAGGGGGTCCTAGAAATCTTAAGCAGTTGTGTATGGGGATTTCCCTGAGATCATCTTCCCCATCACTCATGGCAGTGATCCATCCCACCTACACGGAACTCGAAGGTCAGGGCACGCCTGACAAGGAATACATCTACCAAGGGCACGCCCCGCTGCGTTAGCAAGTCTGAATGGAGAATGTCACAGGATCCTCACATTTTACACATCAAGTCTCTGAAATGGAAAACTCGACCAAAAGATCAGAGATGTCCAGAAAATGTCCCCATCTTTGGTTCCTGGGATCCAAATCACCAGATCACCAGGTTACCGGTCACTCCGCTCCTCCACTGGTTCTTGTCCAAGCTGGTCTGAAAAGTGACACATGCAGGGAGCATCGGCTCACAACGCCTCATTTTGCACCGGCCAGGGCCAGGTGCTGACCACCTATGGTTGTGTGTGAAAACTAGGTATACCGGGTATACCCCAAAATTGCAGTTATGATAAACCATGATAAACCAATGGAAATTTAGAGGTCGCCTATTTTCAGACAAACCCATATATGTTCCATATGTTGTTTGCAAAGCACCACCACGTTCCAGGCTGTTGACACACGTGACACACACAAACGGTGTGAGCCGATCCGTACAGAATATATGCTATAAACATATAAACTATAAATTGGTAATAACTATGCTTTCAACCCAATGATCCAATCCCCCAATTCGAAAACCAGGGATCTCAGATCTTGGCGCTTTCAAGCCGTGAAAAACTTGAAAGTCGTTGCAAATTATCATCCCATGTTATATAAGTTTATAATCTTCCGACCAAAAGAACATCTCCCTCACGCAGAGAAGGTGTCGGTGTCCAACCATTGGAGATAGGCATCTCCAACTTCCGAAAAACAAAGGACTAACAATGTAACAAGCTGCATTCAAAATATAGGGGGTTACATGTGACTGGGTAAATATTAAATATATATATATTTATTTATTTATTTATGCGTGTGTGCCACATGTATATATAAATATGTGTAATATATATATATATGAATATATAATATGAATACATATGAATATATCTATATAATTCAATATAATATATATATATCATTAAATATCACTCACAAAGTGTGAATACGTCCAGTCTGAATCATTTTGGTGTCATTGCGCCACTCTCGATCATTTCCGATGAGGTCGTTCCAGAGTCGATAAAAAATGCCAGACTTTCACAAGGGGCGCCAAGGACGAGAGTTAGAACCTACGTGTCGTCGGGAATCAGTATTAACTGGGGAAATGTATGGAAATCTCTCTAACCAGGATAGAGTACCGCAAGAATTCATACCTCTTGGGCTTTAGTTTGGTGCCCCTCATCGCTGCAAGTCTTTTGCCGATGAAAGCCTCGTCAGCGTCTCCTGTTCGTCGGACTTTGCTTGGTGGGCACTTCGCCCCGAGCTCTGAGATGAGGCGAACTCTGTCACGACGGCCTAGCTGCCATGCCAAGTCCACAGCAGCCGCTGGCACAAGAGCCGCTAAAGAAACCCACAATGTCACGATGGCCTCTCGCCACACCAATGCACAAGGGTGTTGTGCCATCATGTACTGCTTGATCTTTGGCTGCACCAGCCTCCACCAAAAAACGCACAATGGGAAATGTCAAGATGGCCATTGAAGGTGTTGCACCATCGTGTGCTGCTCGATCTTTGGCTGCACCACTTTCCACCAGAAAGCGCGAAGTATCAAGATGGCCATTGGCAGCTGCAATGTACAAGGGCGTTGCACCAGCATTTTTGCGGCATCTTTGACTGCCCAGTTTCCACCAGAAAGCGCACAGTGTCAAGATGGCCATTGGTAGCTACTACCCACAGAGGTGTTGCACCACCGTTGGCTGCTCGATCTTTGGCTGCCCCAGCTTCCACTATAAAGCGCACAGTGTCAAGATGGCCATTGGCAGCTGCAACCCGCAAGGGGGTTGCACCAGTGTGTGCTGTTTGATCAATGACTGATCCAGATTGGACTAGCAGTTGGACAGTTTGGAAGCGGCCTCTCACCTGTGAACTAATTCATGCTGATCCGTCTTCGCTCCTGCCTCCAGTAACAAGAGCATAGGCTGCACATGTCCCAGCTGTGCAGCATGAAGCAATGGTGTCTCGCCTAGTTCATTTGCCTCATTACGATCCCGTGGGCGTTTCAGCAACTGTTCAAGTGCAACTGAATCATTGTCCCTGCAGAGATCACCTTCTTCACTTCTTGAGCATCAGCTGGCCAAAATTCCGAGCGCACCAGTTGCACCCGAACCGGAGCTGATGCAAAGACCTCATCATCCAAGGTCTCACGCGAACCATCTTCAACGAAGAGTTTTTGCCTAAATCTGGTCATAAAAAACTTTCACTTCCTTGGCTGCTTTTCCTTCAAATTCATCTGCATCTAAAACTGTCAGCCTGTTACCGGAGGCCAAGAAGCACACCTCCATTGCTGCGATACCAGAAGTGTAATGCAAAAGGAATTGTGTCCATATGTCGTGTTTCCTTTTTTCATCATAATTCCGGATGATAAGTAAGCTGGCTGTTACTCAACACATCATACTGGCTGAATGGGTTCCTAATTCACCCTGAATACTTCGACTATTTGAGATGGGTTCCTGCTAAATCCGAACCATAGTCGTGGCAACGCGGTGAAGCACAGCATATCTTCATCTGGTTAGATGTGCATTTCAGGGGCAACAACAACAATCTCTTATAGCCTGTTCTCTTGTTGGAAATGTCTTGCATGGCTTCCAAGAATTTCACTATGGTCATGTCGATCCCGGGCATAATAATACCCAGGGTTGGTTCAATTGGGGGGTACCGTCTTTGGGGGGAGTTACCCCTCATTGTCAAACAGGGTTGAAAGACAGATCTGAGGATGATTCATTCCTCTTGCTAAATTGACAGTCTGCACTGTCTGCACAGTCACAACTATCTCAATCTTGGAAGGATATACGAAATCGATCGAAATCGTATGTTCGTTCTGTGAATCCTCTCCCAGTCTTATCCTCATCATGTACCCTCCGGTGTCGTCAAATGCAACCAGCTGCGGTCGGCATGACTAGGCTCCATTTTGTACAGAACATCCCATGGGAATGCCTTGAATCCATAAGAGAATCCATGAAAATCCTATGTCTTGGTGATTAAAGGCTCAAGTTGTTCGAATGAAATCGCGTTTCTATTGGCTCAATCCCATATGTCTTTGTTTAAGACCCATAATTTGTTGGTTCATAAGTTGTTGGCTAAATCGCTATGATTCCTGATGAAATCCCTTCCAGGTGTTGGTTGAATCCCATATGTTTCCTTTGAATGCAGTAGTACGTTGGTTACAGAGACATATCCAACGTTTTGTTGCTAAAAAAAAATGCATGCTAAAACACCATTTCTATAGATCAAAACCCAATTTCTGGGTGGTTCAATCCTACATAAGTCACTGGTAAATTAACATAGCCATGGAAAATCACCATTTTTAATAGGTAAACCATCTATAAATGGGCCATTTCCCATGGCTATGTTAAATAACCAGAGGGTAAGTCACATAAGAAAAATAACATAGACCCGGGCAAGCCGGCGGCGGAAGTTTCCCAAGAATAAATGACCTATAGTTCGACGCCAGCCTGTCCCGACCGTGTCCTTCACTCGACAAGCGGCTTTTTTTTTCAGCGAGAGACGAAGCAAAGTCTTCACACTCCACACTTCGCACTCCACACTTCACACTGCACCCTTCGCACTCGAAACTTCACACTTCACACTCCACACTTCGCACTCGAAACTTCACACTCCACACTTCACACTTCACACTCCACACTTCACACTTCTCACTTCTCACTGCTGCCTTCACACTCCAAACCTCACACTTCACGCTTCACACTGCGCTCTTCGCACTCCAAACTTAAACTTCACACTCCACACTTCACACTCCACACTTCACACTTCACAGTTCACACTTCTCACTTCCCACTGCTTCCTTCTCACTTCGCACTTCACACTCCACACTTCACAGTCCACACTTCACACTCCACACTTCACACTTCACACTCCACACTTCACACTTCACACTTCACAGTCCACACTTCACACTTCACACTTCACAGTCCACACTTCTCACTTCGCACTTCACACTTCACACTCCACATTTCACACTTCTCACTTCACACTTCTCACTTCTCACTGCTTCCTTCACACTCCAAACTTCACACTCCAAACTTCACACTTCGCACTTCACACTCCACACTTCACACTTCCCGCTTCACAGTCCACACTTCACACTCACTTCTCACTTCTCACTGCTTCCTTCACACTCCAAACTTCACACTTCACACTTCACACTCCACATTTCACACTTCTCACTTCTCACTGCTTCCTTCACACTCCAAACTTCACACTTCACACTTCTCACTTCGCACTTCACACTCCACACTGCACAGTCCACACTTCACACTTCTCACTTCACACTTCTCACTTCTCACTGCTTCCTTCACACTCCAAACTTCACACTTCTCACTTCGCACTTCACACTCCACACTTCACAGTCCACACTTCACACTTCTCACTTCTCACTGCTTCCTTCACACTCCAAACTTCACACTTCACACTTCACACTGCACTCTTCACGCCCCACATTTCACACTACACTCTTCACACTCCACAGTTCATCTCATCTGAGCTCTTCTCACCTTATCCCAGCTCATCTCTTCTCATTTCGTCCCTTCTCATATGTCATCTATTAAGCTTTCATTAATCAATTCCCAGCACTACTACTAATCACTGTCGAACCCTTGATGCACCCACTCCAATACGATTTACGAAGTCCAGCTGCAAAAGACAATAGTATTGCGCATGCAGCCGCGGCACCAAGCAACCTTGACGCAGCCATCACAATGCGATCTGCAGAGACTGAGTTGCGAAACACAATAGAACTACGCGCAACTGGGTCGGAAATTGCAGCTACAAAACCGGATCTCGACGCCAAAGCGGAAAAAAAGACGATTTTGAAGCACTTTTTAAAAGGATTTTAAAAAGAAAATCGCTGGCGCCAAAATGGAGAAAATCTGCTGACAAATCACTGTCGCAGCCTTCATGCAGCCACTCCAATACGATTTACGAAGTCCAGCTGCAAAAGACAATAGTATTACGCATGCAGCCACAGCATGAAGCAACCTTGACGCAGCCATTCCAATGCGATCTGCGGGAACTGAATTGCAAAACAGAATAGAACTACGCGCAACGGCGTCGGAAATTGTAGCTCCAAAACCGGATCTCGACGCCAGAGCGAAAAAAAGACGATTTTGAAGCACTTTTTAAAAAGGATTTTTAGAAGGAAAATCACTAGCGCCAAAATGGAGAAAATCTGCTGACAAATCACTGTCGCAGCCTTCATGCAGCCACTCCAATACGATTTACGAAGTCCAGCTGCAAAAAACAATAGTATTACGCATGCAGCCGCGGCACCAAGCAACCTTGACGCAGCCATTACAATGCGATCTGCAAAGACTGAGTTGCAAAACACAATAGAACTACGCGCAACTGGGTCGGAAATTGCAGCTTCAAAACCGGAGGATCTCGACGCCAAAGCGAAAAAAAGACGATTTTGAAGCACTTTTTAAAATGATTTTTAAAAGGAAAATTACTAGCGCCAAAATGGAGAAAATCTGCTGACAAATCACTGTCGCAGCCTTCATGCAGCCACTTCAATACGATTTACGAAGTCCAGCTGCAAAAGACAATAGTATTACGCATGCAGCCGTGGCAAGAAGCAACCTTGACGCAGCCATTACAATGCGATCTGCAGAGACTGAGTTGCAAAGCACAATAAAACTACGCGCAACGGCGTCGGAAATTGCAGCTCCAAAACCGGATCTCGACGCCAGAGCGAAAAAAAGACGATTTTGAAGCACTTTTTAAAAGGATTTTTAGAAAGAAAATCACTGGCGCCAAAATGGAGAAAATCTGCTGACAAATCACTGTCGCAGCCTTCATGCAGCCACTCCAATACGATTTACGAGATCCAGCTGGAAAAGACAATGGTATTACGCATGCAGCCACAGCACGAAGCAACCTTGACGCAGCCATTACAAGGCGATCTGCAGAGACTGAGTTGCAAAACACAATAGAAGTACGCGCAAACACAGTTGAAACCCCATTTACAATGCGGAACCGATCCGAGACCGATCCGAGAATGATCCGAGAATGATCCGACCACGCACGAGACCGTCTCGCACCCGTCGCACCGCAAAGGTAGATCATCGACGTTCGGGGACGCACTTTGTCTGGAAAAACATAGGCTTTCGTGCATCTGCTATCTCTCAAAAATGCATTTCGTGCGAGACTTCCTTCAAAACTCCATCGGCAACTCATCCACCAGCACCATTTGCGATCTCATTTACATTGCGGGAACGATCCTACAGTTGCAAATCACAATGAAATTCTGTCGACCGCACATGGACGAAACACAGTTGAAACCCCATTTACAATGCGGAACCGATCCGAGACCGATCCGAACATGATCCGACCACACACGAGACCGTCTCGCACCCGTCGCACAGCAGAGGTAGATCATCGAAGTTCGTGGACACACTTTGTATGGAAAAACATAGGGTTTCGTGCATCTGCTATCTCTCAAAAACGCATTTCGTGCGAGACTTCCTCCAAAACTCCATCGGCAACTCCTCCACCAGCACCACTTGCAATGCCATTTACAGTGAGGGAACGATCCTTAGAGTTGCAAATCACAATGGACTTCCATCAGCAACTCATCCACCAGCACCACTTGCAACCCCATTTACAATGCGGGAACGATCCTACAGTTGCAAATCACAATGGAATTCTGTCGACCACACATGCACGAAAAACAGTTGAAACCCCACTTACAATGCGGAACCGATCCGACCATGATCCGAGAATATCCGACCATGATCCGACCACACACGAGACCGTCTCGCAACCGTCGCACCGCAGAGGTAGATCATCGCGGTTCGGGGACGGACTTTGTATGGAAAAACATAGGCTTTCGTGCATCTGCTATCTCTCAAAAACGCATTTCGTGCGAGACTTTCTGCAAAACTCCATCGGCAACTCTTTCCCTCACTAACTCTTTCTTTGACTAACTCTTTCCCTGACGAACTCTTTCTTTGACTAACTCTTTCTTTGACTAACTCTTTCCCTCGCTAACTCTTTCTTTGACTAACTCTTTCCCTCACTAACTCTTTCTTTGACAAACTCTTTCCCTGACTAACTGTTTCTTTGACTAACTCTTTCTTTGACTAACTCTTTCCCTCACTAACTCTTTCTTTGACTAACTCTTTCCCTCACTAACTCTTTCTTTGACTAACTCTTTCCCTGACTAACTGTTTCTTTGCTAACTCTTTCTTTGACTAACTCTTTCCCTCACTAACTCTTTCTTTGACTAACTCTTTCCCTCACTAACTCTTTCTTTGACTAACTCTTTCCCTGACTACTGTTTTTTGACTAACTCTTTCTTTGACTAACTCTTTCCCTGACGAACTCTTTCTTTGCTAACTCTTTCTTTGACTAACTCTTTCCCTCACTAACTCTTTCTTTGACTAACTCTTTCCCTGACTAACTGTTTCTTTGACTAACTCTTTCTTTGACTAACTCTTTCCCTCACTAACTCTTTCTTTGACTAACTCTTTCCCTGACATTCTAAAAGTCCGTAACACGGAAGTTTCTCCCCCTAAACTTCCTTTGATCAGTGCTGCGAAAAATCGGAAGTTCTTGCTGTTTCACAGCTCTCCACTCAAAAATAACAACCTTCTGTTTGGGCATCGTCAAGGCGCTGAAGTTCCTCTTTGTGATCCCGGATGAAGACGCTGCACCCCCTGCGCGCTGCATAGAGATCCAGATCGCCCCCCGAACAAACGGAGGCCGCCACGTCGGCGATGTGCACACGCACTACCTGGGGGTGACTTAGGGAGGTCGCCGGGCCATGTTTTTGGGTGTCAAAAGCTGACGGTTTCATGGGGATATCATGTGATTTCGTGGGGATATCATGAGATTGATTGGGAGTGATTGGGATTGATTGGGGGTTAATGAGATATGATGGGATATGATGGGATATATAACCGACAAGTTGATATTTGGGTGTGTCTGAAACTGGTGTACACCCCTAGCACACCACATTTGGGGGTCGCCTAAAAACATTTTGGACAAACCCAAATTCATGGGGATACTGGGATACAGGGTACATGGCGAAATCCTACAAAAAAACTGAAGGGCTTCAAAACTCAGAACCGTGGTTAGCAAGTTGTTTGGGCTTATCCCATACAAGAATGCGAAAGCACCAACAAGTTATATATATATACTACTTTCCCTTTATCATTACTGTCATTGCAAATTGCCGTACCGCCAACATCATCCCATCATTGTGGTGATATGTGATGATCATAGCCTCACCAGGGGACTTGTTCCTCCAGGTCATACTCCAAAGCATCGTCGATGATGTTTGCACCGGCAGCGTCTGCAACGGTGCTGGAGCGGTTTTCTTGGGATGCTTCCAATGTTTCTTGGGATCCGTCCATGGGATTTGTTGAAGCTGCTTGGAGAAACAAAACTTGTCCAATAAATAGCAACTGATGCATCTAGACAGGTTACACCGGTTACACCCTGTCACCTGTCGCATGATGTGGCCAGACGTGTTTCCCAACCTGGCCAGACTTGGTGATTCTCAAACTTTGGTGCAATTCCCCAAAATCCATCGGTCTTTGCAATGACCGAATTATGGTCCGCTTCTCCAACATTTTCCAACTATAAATTTTCAACAAATACATGGTTCGCCCTGCCTATGGAAAAGATCTGGCCATCCAACTCCCTGCGCTGGGCATCGATAATGTTCAACTCCTCCTCAGGTGTCATCAGGTCAACAGCCTCATCAGCCATCTCCTGCGCAGGCGCGGCCATGAGGCGAAGCAAGGGGGCCATGGGGGGGTTGGGGACCTGGGACCCAACGCTGACCATTTGGATAGCCGTTTCCAGTTGTGGATGACCAAGACATGCTGTGTAAGCTTCGGTTGAAGTTAACCGGTGGGTCAAATCACCAAACTTTAGGTGGTCCCACCGATTTTGGGGAACACTCCCAAGAAACTGGAAAATGAATGAGATGGCTAGTGTTGAGTAGCACGGGTCAAAGCTGGGCAGCTTGGAAATTGGAGGCCAAAGCTCGTCCTGCACCTTTGGATCTTCCGGATCTTGCAGGAAATCCAAGTCCTGAGGGAAAGCCATGGTTCATCTGTCACCTTCTGTTCACGTCAAAATAGCTAACACTTATGGATGTTCATCCCCCCATTCATATGGTATTTCATCCAAATTAACCCACCCTTTGTAGAGTGCATTTTGGTACACCCAATGGAAACACGATCTGTGGATGATTGTTCTGATGCGTGTCTCTGGAAAACGGAAAATCAATGTGTGCTGGATACCATCCCTGGCAATCCCCAAAGCTATTGGCAGCTCGTGGATTAACCCACAATCAGTGTAACCCCGAAATTGATCAACCAACCACGTCCTCCACGTCCTCACCTTTCTGAAGGCTAATACCCCGATCTTTGTTGGCTCACAAACCATCAGCAGGTGTCAACTGCGCGTTGTTCAGCCTATCACTGAAATCCCCAAGATGCCTTTTGGTTTCTCGTGGCATCATTCCTCTAACCACCGTCTCCATCTGGAAAAAAACTAAGATCCCTCAAAGATCCATGTCCAAGAACTAGCCTTTCAAATCTCTGGGACCCCAGAAATGACGTCACTTCCCCCTAAAAAATGGATGGTTCACTCCACTTCTGGGAGGCTCCAAGGCCGGAGCTTGGATCAACTGAGGAGGAATGGAGGATTTTCCAGTGGTATGGTAATGGTGTTTTGATGGGTTCGATAACCCCAAACCATCACTGGCTTATAATCCATCATTTCCATCATTTCCATCATTTCCAATTCATTTCCCAAATTTCCATCAATTTTCCATGGGTTCCATCAAACCCCATCTAAACTCGCCATCTAAACCAACCCTTTCTCACTTCCCATGGGCATTTCTGACCCAACCGCCTTCAGAAAGATCTCCAGGCTGCGCTCGAGCGACAGAGGCCGTGGCACTGCCAGTCTCTCCACAATCCTCGGAGAAAATGCCAGCCACGTTGGATGTGAAACTCCATGGGTAACATGGGGATCTATTTCTGCCACCATATGGGGATGTATCAAAACCAATCTTGCTATATTTGGGAGGATGAACATCCATTTACCAGTTATTTGGGGCTCACTAGGGTACCAAGGTTTTGACTCATACCTATATCTATAGGATTCTACACCAACAAATATGGGAAACTGCAAGAAAAATCTGGATTTAGATCAATTGTATATGATTTTTGTTTGCAACAAAGATGTAGATTGAGATCAATCATGTTTGCAACAAACATGTGGATGTAGAAAAAGTGAAGGTAATATCTGGTTGGTGGCTGAGCCACCTCTGCCACCTCCGCCACCTCCCCCACCTCCCCCACCTCCCCCACCTCCCCCCCTCCCCACCTCCCCCACCTCCCCCACCTCCCCACCTCCCCCTGAAAAATAAGTATTATATAGATATTATTTATTAGTCAATGGGGATCATCATCGAAAAGAACGAATATGTCAAACCGTTAGCCAGATGATGATTGAATCCTCGCATTTTTGCATCAGGAATTCTTCATTTTATTCAAGGATCACTGCCAACGGTCGTAGGCGATTCACAGGCCAATCCACCTCAGCTATGCCGAGGCTGATGTGAAGACGCTACCAGTTTTCTCAACTTTGATTTGATGATGTTTTTCTTCCAGCAATTTTGCTTAATGGTACCTCTTTCCTAGATCACCAACGAGCAATATATACCACCAACTCATTTCGGTTGCCAAAAAGCCATCATGTGGCTGTGGGTCAAAACCCAGGGCCACACTTCTGTTGACCTCAAAATAGCTGGTAGTTGCGGATCTTCATCCACAATTCATAGAGTAGTTCATGGCTTTTAAGTTTTCATCCACCATTTGTAGATTGCCATGAAATACACCAGATGGAAACACGAAGTCCCATGGTTCGATCATTTTCCCCATGAAAGTTACCACAGATTCTGGAGATATCCCCGGGACAAAGCCTGGTGGTATCTCCTTGTCTTCGAAACCCCAGTTTGGTGGCGCAAAATCCCTGATTTTCAGTTGATACCTAGTGATTTCTTCTTGGAAAAGCATACCCCCTCTGGTTATGTCAAAATAGCTATTGAAAATGATCATAGAAATAGTGAGTTTTCCCATGGAAAATGGTGGATCTTTCCATCGTTTTTTGTAAACGTTTACCAGAGGGTAAACCCAATGCCATAAACAATCCCATTAGCCAACCGTGACTGAGGGTCATGGTAAAAATCATCCCAGTCAGAACGGGGGAAAAAACCACAATGATCCGTTCTTATCACACTATGATCCCATATTAGTCCATATTATCCCACTAATATCCTACTGCAATATATATATATATGTAAATATTATATTATATTATATTATATTGTATTATATTATATTATATTATATATATATATATATTGTGGGTAAATTATGTTCTGAATAGGGCTATATTGGAATAATTTCCCTATACATTCACGAGCATTCCATGTCGCAGTCATGTCGCCATCGCGAGCTGGAAAACATCATCAAGAGGTTGCTCTCTTTCTTCCCTCTCCACCATCACCTTCGTTTGCGCTAAGCGCAAAGCCGGGGAAGTGGCAACGGTACAGAAAATCCATCCATATCCAAGAGATTTGCCATTAAAAATAGGAAGTTTACCGTAAAAAGATTGGATTTGCCATCATAAGGTGTGTTGAAGAAGAAACTGAATGACCAAAAGGAGCAACTGCCACTGGCGAATTGAAAGCACTTGAGTTACACACAGACTCTCTGGCGATTTCAAAGACTTCAGCAAAGCGAATAGATACAAGAACTGAAAAGACGAAGAAACCGTGCACTATTAGAATAGATTTTAAATCTTCACTCCAACAGTAAAAAAGAACTGTTGGTCACCTGGATGGTTGATGAGGCTGACATGAGTTGGTCGGTACCAGCTTGGCTGCTCGGGAACATTGAGGCAGAACGAGTTGTGAGTGGCTGCTCCCAACTTCCCAGATAGAAGGGAGGGTGACTGAGAAAATAAAGAGGTACAGTAAAATGACCACAGAAAACCCCTTTGTGGCTTCACCAATGCTTCATCTACAATAGGTTGGAGCCACCCTGCACCTCGTCCTGTTTCTCCCTAATCTCATTTGCCTTCACTTGATCCCGTCCCCCATGATAGCAGTCCAACCCCAGGTAAACCATTTTTCTCCCGCTTTTTAGCTTCATTTTTATTGGCTACGCGGCTACAATTCCATCAATGGGAACCAAGAACCAGCCTGAAGCATCGGCACTTCATGGGAAAATGGGATGAAGTTCAAGACACCAGGCCTCGAAGATCAACGGCACAACAGAGATGGCCATTCGGAGGAAAACCGTCTTCCAGCAACCCATGGTTTTTCGGGCTTCGACAAGTTCAATGGTATATTCCGCAGGAAGCCGACAGGAAGCCGGGGGATGTGAATCCAGCGATGAAAGCCATGGATTTCCATGGCCCCGCATTCCCACCGGCGGTTCATGAAGGGGAAGGACCCTTCATAAAAAACCATGACAAAAACCATGGATCTTTTTCAATGGAATCCAATCACCCAGGTCTCTTGGTCAGATCTTGGGAACAAGGAAAATGGTCACAAACGTTTCCAGACCGTCCCAGGATCCCATTCTTGACCCGGTGAGATTTTCACAAGACATGATGGAAGCTAGTTGTGTCTGGTTGGACACCAGTTTCGCTCAGCTTGCCCAAAAAAAAAACGGACTGCGGGAGCTTGGAATGATGGAGCCCTGCCACTGATGAAACTGGGTCTAGAATTGACTACGGCTGCACCTCCATCTTTTGTTGCTGAAATCTCATCTGTCAGTTACCACCCCATCTTTATTGGTTAGCAATCTTTTGCTGGCGATGCAACTCAACTTTGAGTTTCCAGAAATCCCAAGTGATTTGCTTTCAATCCCAGCCTTTTGTCATAACAAGTCATAACCCAAACAGAACCACCGAAGGCGCGGCAAGGCGCTTCCACTGCATCTGCGACTGCTTGCAGAGGTAGCAGCTCCGCGCTGCAACGCCCATGGGCGGCGTGGCACGCAGAACGGCACCAAAGATGCAGACGTAGCTCAGCGCTTGTGACATCGTCCTCGGGATGATCGTGGGGTTTCACCATGGTGAAACCATGGGACATGCGGGATGAAGGTAGATACACTACACGTATGATATATATATATATATGATATATATATATATATAATTATATATATACATAACAATGGTACATGGAAGTGAAAACGCGCCTCTATAGCATTTAGGCCTCTGTGTCCGAATCGATATGATTCTACATGTCCGTGGCAGATGTAGCACAACGCTTGATATGACGTGAGGTCGGCCCCTAAGGTAGCTCCAATTTCCCCAATGACGAATTTTTACCCCACTGAGTGGTCGCCCGGTTTCGATGGTTCCACAAAAAATCCCCATTTTCGATGATTAAATCCCTAGAAATCCCTAATTTTGATGCTTTAAATCACTTGAATCCCCATAGAAAATCCCATAGAAATCCCATAGAAATCGCCATTTTTGATGGTTAAATCCCTAGAAATCTGTGGTATCCCCAGCCCAGCCCGTTCGCCACAGCACCACGTCCCAGGGCCACCGCGCTCCAGGGCTGCGCGGTCCAAAACGCAGCTGCGAAGTTCCACCCACACGTGGTCGCCTTTTTGGGCCCAAGAAACTGGGAGGTGTCGCAGTTGCTCACCACCAAAAATGGGGACTTTGACCATGAAAAAATGTGGAATTATAGGGATTTAAGCATCAAAAGTAGGGATTTATAGGGATTTGACCATGAAAAACCATGGTTTTTAACCAAAGAACCATGGATACCATGGTGATATGTCAAAGAAATATGATGGGATATATCAAGCATGTTGAAGGAGATCGTATCCATCAATTGTGGGGACATTAACCAGAAACGATCCAAAAATGGTGATATTTACCATTCATACTGGGAATAGTAATTGGGGAAAGTAACCATTAATGTTCTTCTTTAATGGTAAGACACGTGGGAAATTTGGTACATTGAGGATATTCACCTGCAAAGAGGGTGATTCGAGCACAAAGGATGTAGTCAGAAATGATGCTTTCGTTTAGGATTAGACCTTTGAGTTATGTACATACGACTTTAGGATCCATGACATGAGAGATTCTTACCATGGAATAAATCTGGAGGTTATGGTTTCAATTGGCTTTACCCTATACTTATGCTTACACTAAAGTATTGCATTTGGGGGGTTACTAGTGGTTATTCTCATTATGTTGGTACATGACAGTACAGACAAGTACAGAATCCAAGTTGGGCTATAGAGGATCCCATGAAACAATGCAGTTACAATAACAGCCGAGAAGTCTTTGGCCAAGTTGGTGCTTCGCGGAATTGTTTGGACCCAAAGGATCTACCAAAGCATTGGTGGACTGTGTCTTGAGCATTGGTAAATGTGGCTAGCAATACTGGGGCAAAGGGGTGAGAATATTTTAGCAGCAACAAGACCTATACGAGAGCGTTTCTTCCAGTGTTTGGAGCCATTTTTTGCCCTGCAACAGATTAGGGAAAAGCAAGCAAAAACAACAGAAGAGCCAACCCCTGAATCAGGGATTCCCAAGATCTTGTGTATCAAAACCTCTCCAGTTTATCTGGATCTCAAAACATAGATGATACCCTCCGGGAATCACACATGGCAATTGAAAATCCACCATTTAGTTCGTTGATTTCTATTTATAAGGGGAATTCCCATTGCCATGTTTGATGACAGGAGGTATCACTGTATATGAAGAAGGAAAGTATCCCGAAAAATAAACCCTCCGTGGGGTGACTGGAACTCAGAAAATCCCTCGGACAGCTCTAGACTGGCACCTTGTTTGGCTCGATTTCGATCTTTTAAGCTATAGACGCGAACCTCATAGAACTGCCGTGGTCATGGGGTTGCTGGGGGTGCCGATCTTGCCATTGGTGTCTTTGGCTAGCCGTGACTGGGGAGTATTGTTGTTTACCCATGTTGATAAGATGTAAGATATATTATGATATATTAGACACTGATACGTCTATCTATCTGTCTGTCTGTCTATCTAATCTAATCCCATCCCATCCCATCCATCTATCTATATACAAACATACACAGAAAATCTCATCTGATTTGGCTACATTCATGTACCTAAAACCTGTTCTTATAGGGAGGTGCCTATCCTATGCTACAGGACCTCCTTGCTGACGCCATTCCCACATCATGGGACTTTCATGCTCCCCAGTTCTTAATACCATATCTTGCGGCATCTATCCCAACAAACCCATGTAGGGGGGATGCTCACTTCTCTATTTTGGTCGGTTCAACCCACTGTTGTTAATCGACAATCCCCCATAGATGATTTCACCAGTACGCGTGTACGATTACAAGAGGGTAGTGACTGGTTGAATTCCCACTGTTGCGTGCTGATATATGTCCCCGCGACTCTCGCTTGATTCACTTGATTGAATCTACAAGAATGGCCACGAATCTTGGGGTTGAGAAAAATCCCCCATTTGTCAGAAAACAAAAACGAGAAACTTGATGGTGAATATCCAAAACAACTCCCCATGATTGCTGCTTGGTAGCCGAACAATTACTGCTGATTTTCCCTGTATTTCCAAATGGTTGGAATGGTTCATATCCCATCCATCAGGCCCTTCCATATCGGGGTTTCTTAAAATGGGGAATCCACAAATCACCATGGCTACCCTGACTTTGGAAACCTCCATGTTCTACCAGGCCAGGGCCCCCAGGTATGTTTGTTGATTTAAACAAACCGAAAAACATTTAACCTCATTTAACTATAGTTATATATCAACCATTGGTTAACCAAGTTATAAGTCAACTTAGCAAGAAAGCCATAACATCCCATAACCATCTCACCTCCACCAGGGCACCACTCGGTTCAGCAGCTCGCTAGGACCCTCCTCCACCACCAGGCTGGCCCGCGCCACTGTGTCCTTTCGACACGAATAAATTGGGGTGTTCATAAAATCGATCGTATATATATATATATACATACTAACAATTGACCATTAAATGGATAATATGATCATAATATCATAATATGATCCATACTTATGGACCATTCAATAGTGGCGAATAATGCTGAGCATGCTCTGATCCAGATATAGCTAAAACCCACCAAGAATGGCCCCCTGGGTTTTCCCATCTATATATGGATGAACTAAGATGAATTAACTATGCTTATTAACCATTTGCTAAGTGGCATGTTCCTCAAAGGTAAGTTTCATGGAATTCTATGGGTTCAATATGGCTCTCATAGGAAAATATGAGACAATGTGGGTAACCCCCCCAACAATAGTGATTTAATGCCTCTTTCGGATTGGTTTTCATTGGGGTGAATAGCCCTGAAACCTAAGGCCTTATTATATAATTTGTTAATCTTTGGGCCATAGATTTCCACATCTTCATGTGTTGAATGTCGCTCATTGCTTGTTGCATACCTAGTCACATCTCAAGCATTAATGATATCCCCACACACCTTTCAAGCATCTGGTCCTGGATACGTAGAAAAATATCTGACATATCTTATGATTAATTTACCCCTTTAACATCATGTAATCATGTATATAGTATATAGTCCTCCAGCTAAACATTACCGTAACCCGTTTTCACCATACACCGGTCGCAAAAAACTCACTTCATGCGCTCTCTGTTGATCCCTCCCCAAAATTGGCAAGTCACACTGCGTTCGTTGGAGCTTTGGACTGAGAAACGTCCCTTCACGCAAATGCCCTTCAGTATCTGGCGGCACCGAGGTTTCTGACGGAACAAGGGGTGTTTTTTTGAAGCACGGTTCTCTCTCGTCATCTTGGCCTCCACTTTTTCAGGGCTTTGTCTAAAAAATAGCTATGGAAAATCACAATTTTTAATGGGTAAATCCACTATAAATGGCCATTTTCAATAGCTATGTTAATTTACCAGAGGGTATGGTATCCCAAATTTTGATGGTTAAGCATCATTGCCAATTGTTCGCATCTTATTTTACATTCCCCAGTTTCAGACTCTGAGAGTGGGGACGCCCCAAAAACTCTACAAACATTGACCCGGCGCGTGAGCATCTACCCCAAGAAAAATAGATTAACCACGTTGTTTCAAGATTTATAAAGCCCAAAAAGATCACTTGATCCCATCTGGAAATCAATGGAAGACAGAAAAAATCGGCTGCCCTAGAGTTTCAAGATTTTACTTAAAACTCACAAAAGATCCAAAAAGTCACAGGTCCTTGAGTCCTTGAACCAAGTGTTTGACCCCATTTTTTCAACAGAGACCACTATGCCCCGCCTCGTTCAGCTGCCGTTCCACCTCCGCCGCAGCGTGGGACGTCCGGCGCCGGGGTGGGGGAGGCAGCGGCGGCAGGGCCGGGCGTCGGCTGAGGCCTGGGTGGCTGGTTTTGCCATGGAAAAACACATGTGGTTTTGCCATTCCATGATGGAAAAAAAGAGTTCATGTTTTTATGCATGAAATGAAATGAAATGTGACAATTTGGCTTATGGAATATAATCCAGTGAAATAGAATATTGAGCTTTTGTTGATCTTGAAAGATGAATGCTGATGACTTTCATCCCCTGTCCTCCCTATCCCACTTAAAAAACCATGAATCTCCAGCTAGCCATTGGAATTCCTCGGGAAATCTCTAGGAAGCACTGCTCCTCATGGTTTCCTCTAAAGATTCCTCTCAAGCCAATGCTGGGATGTCGATGATCCATTTCGAAATATTCAAAATGGAGAGTTTCCAGCTAGACATGCAGACTACCCGTGGGCAAATGAGGTTCAAACTGAGTAGTCTCCAAGCTCAGTGAAGACGCTTGGCACATCCGAATCAATTAGATGTCTATATCAAGTTGTACCAATCGTCTCGAACGTGGGATCCATCTTGATTGGATTTTGGTGTAGTGTAGCTCCATGTAGCTCCCGATTTCTAGCTGGCTAACTTGCTGCTTCTGGTCCCAGTGCTGTCCAAGTAGCGCTCTTCCACCTCTCTCAACTCCAAGTGCTCCACATAAACATCAGCCTGGGGAGGTTTACCCACCCTGGACCAGCTCGTGACCCACAAAAGCACGGCCATGTTGCAACTCCAAGGCCCAAGATTCCGCGCACTCGATGCCGAGCTGCAGATTCTGCTTCCTCTTCATCCTCCACATCTCCTGCAATCCACCTGCAAAAGCGCAGCTCTTGGAAGGCTATAGGAGAGGAACTACTCGATGTCACATATATTTAGATATAAATATATAAATTATATAAATATATAAATATAGAAATAATTAGAAACATAGAAATATAGTTGCTGCATGTCCTCCCCGGACCATTTTCCAGGCTTTCACCAAAGTTTCATTAGTGTTCGCTATATTTCAAAAATGTCCAAAAACTCTGTCGCTTGCGCAAGACTTTGAGCTTTGCTTGCGGAACATCAGTTTCAGCTTCTTTGCAACAGCGGGGAAGCTGAATATGGTCAGAATATCGCCCATCAGCAGTGCAGAACTTCTTCATCTAAAAGAAAAAACCGGAATGATCTCCATAAACAAACAGCACATACCATCCTGGTTTGTCAATTCAGGTTTAGTCAACTCAAAAAATGGATGGTTTAGTCAAATACTTCCCAGGTTGTTGTTTAACCATCCTGGAAGAACCCTCCATAAATTGATGATCATCCAGGTTTAGTCAACTCAAAAAACCCACACCTGGGGTCGGCCAGATCGACATCCATTGGAAGCCGAGCCAATATGGATTCAGAGGATCACCAAAGGACTACCCTCTGGTAATGACTAACGTAGCGAACTGGAAAATCACCATGAAAATAGTGGATTTTCCCATGAAAAATGGTGGATCTTTCAATAGCAAACTGTTAGTCATTACCAGAGGGTATAAGAACTGAAGCTCATGAAATTTCTCTGAACTCTGCATCTTGGGGTTTCAGCAGCATTGATTTTTGCGCTTCAGATTGGATCGTGAAGCCGTGGCTTCGGTGGTGTGAGCCAAAGAACCATTCGGCGTGTGGAGTTGGGCCGAAGTTCAGGACAGTCCACATCAGTCCACGCTTGCAACTACCAAAGCCACTACCAAAGCCACTACCAAAGCCAGAAAAATGGGGATGTTTGGCATGACCAGAGAAGGTCACGGAGTCCGTGGGGCTCAAAGAGTTTCCACATTTCCACATTTCCCAGTCCCAGCGATGCCAAGTCATAGGATCATCTCCCCTATTGGCTCAGAAGGAGATGTTGGTTATCCTCTGGTAAACTAACAGTTTGCTATGGAAAATCACTATTTTTAATGGGTAAATCCACTATTTCTATGGCCATTTTCAATAGCTATGTTAGTTTACCAGAGGGTATGGACAATTGCAGTAGCTATTGCCAGCATGGTGCCATGGTGCACCACGTTCCTTTAGAATCTTTGGAAATCAAATCATCAAAAACAGGATGAGACAGGATGAGAATGGATCGTTTCTTGATCTGTTCCAGGGGATAAGGTCCGAATGGATCCGGCGGCCTCTAGCCTGAAGAAAGAGACCCAGTTTCTTCTCCGATTCCATCTACGAAAGATGCTGCTTTGCCTTTTTGTTCCCTCTCGTATCTCCCCCTGGCAATTATAAGCTGATCATGTCCAACATGTAAATTCATCTGTAAATGCATCTATATACTTACATGTGGAATTTTCCAGCCACATTTTTTTGGGTTTCAGAGGCTGTCCCCTCTCCAGCCCTTCCGAAAAAACGCGTCGGCTTCCGCACTGCGCATCAAATTCATCATGGCCTGCTGTGGACCTCAGGGATGGGCGGTGGGAATGATTTCCCAGTGGAAGAGGTTTATTTACAGTACAGGGAAAATTAATCTGCTACAGAGTAGATGGGGGTAGTAGATGGGAAAACATCTATTTTTATGGGTCTTTCCATGATGTCTTTCCCGAGTTTCCAACATCCACTTTCTATTTACCCTCCGGTACTCAAACATGGTTTGCGGCAAAATTCCTCCGTTTAGTTCAGGGATTTCCATTGCCAGCCATGACCAGGGGAATTCTCACCTACTGGTCCATGCTACCTGGCGATGCGGATTCCAGGAATGACAATCAACCCAGGGAAAAAAATTGCCAAACTGGCCAAACTGGCCAAACTGGCCATTCAACTTGGAGATGTGTGGCGTTTTGGCAGTTCTCGTTATGATTGGCGGAAGTGCTCCCAATGGTTGCGGGACGCCCAAGCGGCTGAAGTCATTGAAGAGATTCAAACCTTGGATAGGCTCGATAGAATGCGCGGAGAAAAGTGGGACCAATTCGAACCGGAATGTGCAGCTAGCGCCTACATATGTATATATGTACATATGTATATATGTACATATGTATATATGTATATATGTATATATGTATATATGTATATATGTATACATGTATACATGTATACATGTATACATGTGTATATGTAAATCTGTATATACGTATATATGTATATTTGTATATATGTATATATGTGTATATGTGTATATGTGTATATGTATATATGTCTATAAGTCTATATGTATATATGCATATATGTATACATGTATATATGTATACATGTGTATATGTAAATCTGTATATACGTATATATGTATATTTGTATATATGTATATATGTGTATGCGTATATATGTCTATAAGTCTATATGTATATATGCATATAAGTCTATATGTATATATGCATATATGTATATATATGTATATATGTATATATGTATATGTGTATATATGTATATATGTATATATGTATATATGTATATATGTATATATGTATATATGTATATATACATATATGTATATATGTATACATGTATACATGTATATACGTATGTATGTATGAATATAAGAATATATGTATACATGTATACATGTATACATGTATATACGTATGTATGTATGTATGTATGTATGTATGTATGTATGTATGTATGTATGAATATAAGAATATATGAACATATGAATATAAGAAAAATAAGAATATATTAGTATATGAATATATGAATATATGAATATATGAATATATGTATATATGTATATATGTATATATGTATATATGTATATATGTATATATGTATATATGTATATATGTATATATGTATATATGTATATATGTATGTGCAAGACATGTGGATCACTCGGTTCAAGTTTGCTTCTAAAGCAACAGGGCATTAGTTCCAAGTGCTGCCAGTTGAAAGACAGCACTGTCCACAGGTGGCTCTCTTTGGAGTCCAAGACTTCGATGGAGACTTTGTCCATCCTGGAACTGCACCAGCGCTTGACTGGTTGGTGGTTTCCCACCATCCTGAAGAACTTGAGTCAACTAAGATCATCCTCCCATTTGTTGGGATGGCAAATGTGTTTCCTTTGAAACTGCCAAGCCAGTGTTGTGTTGCTCCGTCAGACCTTCCAACGTATCGTCTTCAATTCCGCACACTCGCCTTCACTCCAGAACTTCCACCATCAGGGTGCTTTTCCGCAGCAACTTCCCGAGCATGTCCAGTCTCCAGTTTGCACCTCCATCTTGCTTTTCACCGGTTTGATCGAGGCAATCTGCAGGAAACCAGGCTCAGTCCATGTCGGGCCAGCACTCATAGGTTCCATCGTTGGGATCCACCACCTCGCACAGCGACAAATGTCAGCTGCAGGCAGATATGAGAACTATAGCCCTTCATAATCAGATTTTTGCACTTGCGGTGACATATGTTAAAACCAATCATTACACCTTTTTTTCCAGATGGTTTGTTTATTCTAGGGTTTACCACCTCATCCCATGTTCCCGAAAAACAAAAACATTTGGATTTGTTTCCAAATAATTTCCCCAAAAAACATGATCTTAAGATGGTTTTTCCGAAAAAACTGTCCCAACTGTTGGAATTTCCCCATCCAACCCCCAGCCCCACCTGTCCATCCGAGCCGTTCTTCGGCGTCACGCAGCTGCCGCGGTAGATCTGCCCGGGCCACGGGCAGTCCATCACCCGCAGCGTGATGTTGGGCGGAGGCTCCACAAAGCGTTCCAGCCAGGAGTCCCACCTGGGGGATGACGTCGTTCCCAAGTCATGACCCCAGGCAGTAAAAAAAAAGGGAAGGTGGGTTGAAAATCCCATGTTCTATCTACTTTAGGATGATTATATGTGTATATATAAATATACATACATACATATATATATATATACATATATATATACATGTGATACATATACATGTGTTAGTCCAGAAATGGTGTACACCCATCGAGTGGCCAGTTTAGTTTTGAGGGTACCCCATTTTCAGACAAAACCATTTATACATATCATATTTATATTTAGTGATGATATACACTAACAACAATATACATATATATATACATATTCTGGGGATATCATGCGTATACCAATCACAATACCAATCACAAATGCTGTATTGCTAGTATATAAGGGGGTGTAACTATTGGATATGCAATGGGTCTATTGGGTTCACAATTGGGTATATATACATATACGGCAAATGCCTGGGTTTTGCCCGGACCCGCAATGACGACGGGCGACGCATCATCATCATCAACAACATCATCATCAACATCATCAACATCATGATCATCAACAAAATCATCATCATCATCCTCAACATCATCATCATCAACATCATCAACATCATCAAACCCTTATTGACGATCTTCAATGAATGTAGAAGTTTAACGGCGGTTTGAATTAAACCCTTATTGAAGATCTTCAATGAATGTAGAAGTTTAACGGGGGTGGGAGAATTAAACCCTTATTGGAGATCTTCAATGAATGTAGAAGTTTAACGGGGGTGGGAGAATTAAACCCTTATTGAAGATCTTCAATGATGTAGAAGTTTAACGGGGGTGGGAGAATTAAACCCTTATTGGAGATCTTCAATGAATGTAGAAGTTTAACGGGGGTGGGAGAATTAAACCCTTATTGAAGATCTTCAATGAATGTAGAAGTTTAACGGGGGTGGGAGAATTAAACCCTTATTGAAGATCTTCAATGAATGTAGAAGTTTAACGGGGGTGGGAGTTTAATATTCCCTAATATCTGTGTTGATCTTCCCAATCGAATGTAAAGTTTAACGGGGGTGGGAGTTTAATATTCCCTTATACCGTTTTTGTTTTTCTCATAGGAATTTCGGGTGTTTTGACATTTTTTTTATATAGTCCCTAGTACCTTTGTTGTTTTCTCCATAGGAATTTAAGGTTTAACGAGGGTGGGAGTTTAATATTCCCGAATATCTTTGTTGATCTTCCTAATTGAATGTTAAGTTTCACGATTTGAGAGTTTAAATTTTCCTAGTACCTTTGTTGTTTTTCCCATAGGAATTTCAAATGTTATGCCGTTTTTGTTTTCCCCATAGGAATTTCGGGTGTTTTGACCTTGTTTGTTTAATAGTCCCTAGTACCTTTGTTATTTTCCCCATAGGAATTACGGTAATTTGCAACATCATTTGTTTGTGAATGGGAAACCTCTACGCTGCAACCCCTGGGCAAAACCCAGGCGTTGCGTATATATATATATATACAGTATATATATATGCGTGTGTATGTATGTATGTATGTATGTATGTATGTATGTATATGTATATGTATGTATGTATATGTATGTATGTATATGTATGTATGTATATGTATGTATGTATGTATGTATGTATGTATGTATGTGTGTGTGTATGTATGTATGTATGTATGTATGTATGTATGTATGTATGTATGTATGTATGTATGTATGTATGTATGTATGTATGTATGTATGTATGTATGTATGTATGTATGTATGTATGTATGTATGTATGTATGTATGTATGTATGTATGTATGTATGTATGTATGTATGTATGTATACAGTGTGTATATATATATATAGTGTGTATATATATATAGTGTATATATATATACATAGTGTGTATATATATAGTGTATATATATAGTTGGGTATACAATTGGGTATGTGATTGGGTATACAATTGGATATATCATTGGGTAAATAATGGTATAACTAAGGAATATCTGATTGGGATATCTGACATTGGGTCCATGTGTGCCGTGGTCAAAATAATGCAAATATAAAAAGGAAAAATCTGAGATATCGTGGCGACATACCACCTCTCTGCTGCGCATGGCATGGGAACATCCTCTGAATACAGTCTTTTTGAATTGGGAAGGTGATACTGTACACATTGTGGTTCAGTTCACAGCAACTATTGCAAGTGGTTTATGTGTACATATATATATATATATACATATTATAATCCCAGTTATAAGTTGGGTGAGAAGGTGTGGTTAGTCGACTTACAACTCAGGTTGCAACTTACTAAGTGTTTTGTTGGAATCTATCCCACGATAAACGGTTGATCATCCCGATTATCCAATGGTCCCACAGGAAAAGACGTCCAGAAACCTATTCCCATAGGAAAGGCCAGGCCCCATCGCCTCCGATCATCCCATCCCGGGAAAAGTATGGAAAACCATAGATAATCCATCTGATCATCATCCAAAATCCATCCAATTCTCGATTTTTCCATCCAACATCCAAGGCCCTAAGGCCTCCTCTTCTGCAGCAGCTCTGCGTAGATATACGCCACGGGTTTCCCTCGTTGCCGCAGTCGCTCCGCCGGCAGGTCAGGCCAGAAGGACTCCGGCTCCGCCAGCAACAGCGGCGCGTTGGCGGCGCGGCGCAGCAGCGCCGTGTTTCCTGCAACGGAAAAGACAACCACCGGGCTGGGTTTATAGCAATCAAAAACGGGTTTATAACCTATAGTAAGCCCAAAAAGACATGGTTTACAGCAATCAAAATGGATTTGTGACCTATAGTAACCCCCAAAAGAGATAGAAAAGTATGTGCAGGGTGGGATCCAGATGATGTTTCCTCCATAATTTGCAGGTGTCTATAATTCCTGTTACATGGCATTTCGGATGATGACGATGATGATGAAAATGAGGATCATGAGGATATGAACCAAGTAATGCAAGAATTCTGCCCGGTAGCCACAACCAGGCCCTGATGGACCCAGACTGACCCTCCGGCCGCAGTCTCCTTCCATGCAAAGCTTACAGTTCCTTAGATCCAGCACCAAAAGACAACTGGACACCTGTTAGGCGTTGAAGAAGCTGATAAATAGTGATACATCCTGGCTGCTGGGGCCTGAGCTTGCAACGTCACAAACACTGCCCAACATCTCTGAAAAATGGGAAATAAGTTGGGAATAAGTTGAGTTTCTTGCAAAGCCCAGCCCTCACTGTCCTATGACATGTTTTTTGCCCGCTGAAGAGATGGAAAGGAAATACACATCACACTATGGACCTTTACAGAGATGAACGTCCAATCATCACCCAAGATGATGGGGACAAGGGTTGGATCAATCCCGAAGATGATCGAAAAAATATTTGTAGATCTACATTTGATATACTTTAATATATATATATACATCATATGATGATGACCATCGATTCTACGCAAAGATTATGATTGATTGAATCCTCATAAATCTCAAAGGTGAAGAAGGTTTTCCCATAATTCCCTATTTCTGAATACATCATATTCTTGTAAAATCCCATATATCCCCTAAAATCACCAAAAGTCAGTTAAATTCCCATAATCCCCTATGTTCCATAGTCAAATCAACAAAACAACACAATTTTAACCATAGTTAAATCCCGAAAACAAGGAGAAAAAATCTTCCATGTTTCATTGGTTCCAAGCCACAGAAAACCCCCAAACACACCAGTTTCAAGGGCTTTTTGGTGTTGAGTCATGGTGTTTTTGTCCATGGAATTCACGACCAAACGCATCCCCAGCGTCGCTTTCTTCACCCGCTTGGCCGTGAAGTTCACGCCGTGCTGTTCTGCGCCCTGGTGGACCAGGTCCACCTCGGCATGGAAAAAAATCTGCAGGAAACTCCCATGGGAAAAATAGGAAAAGGACCATTTATTTGTGGTTTTCCCTAAAAATTCTAATTCTAACTAGCATCCCATAAATTATTTAGTGTTTTCTTTGGAATTGCCAACTGTTCATGTTTTTTGTTTTTTCAATCACATAATGATTAAGATGTGGGGGGTCCTTGCTGTTTTTGAATGGCGTACTTGTTGGACCTGCCCCACTCATTATATACTCCGTGTTTTCGTGGGGGGTAGCATCCCACAAGCTCCGGTGGGCAATATTTCTGGCCATATCGATTCTGTCCATTCAAGGCGTTGATCTGTGCATATCGAAGTCATGATCAAGACTACTTCTGTACCTTCGATTAATTCATTCAACACGGCGAGAAATGATGAGAAAAAACTGGAGAAATAAGTGTCATTTGCTTTTTGAAGGTTGTGAAGATGTTCCAGCCAGCCGCGTTTGTCTAGTTGGGGGTACTTTGCAGTGTGAGTTTCTTTAAATTTTCTGATTCATCTCCTTCTGGTCTGTCGTTACCCAAGCAATCATGTATATACACATGCATATGGAGATATAACATCACATATGATTTTTTATTCATACGATATCTATACGTATAGTCCTCACATATATATATAATATCATTACTACTATTAATTATTATTGTTGTTGTGAATTGTTATACATATATATATATATTATGTAGCACATCTGTATACATCTAAATACCTACACAATTATACATGCATACCCGGCAAATCTTATTTTTTCTGTCGGAGGACGAAGTTCTGCCCTGTGAGGCCCAACAGTTTGACGTAGAAATTGGCGCAGCTGATTTTGTACTCCTGGCGCTGGTGACATTTGCATGGCAATTCCCCATTTTCAGATACACGACCATATCAAGTTGATAAAAATATATACAAATACATAAATAGTATATGATTATTTTGGATAAATAGTATATAATATATACATAGTTGATAAATAGTATACTGTGAAATATCCCAATTGGATCTCATCTCATGTTTGTTTCCCCTAAAAGCCTCTGTTCACCACCGGGCCCAGGTCAGCGCTTTCAGGTGCACCTGCAGCAGCTGCCCAATCTTCCCCGCCACCGTGGGGATGTCGGCCCGCAGGCGATCCGGATGGGCGAAGGCCCAGCGGTTGAAACTCTTCAACTTCCACCAGCCCTCGCGGTGGATGATGTGCCCCACATAGACAAAGGCGCAGGCTTCCTTGGGACGTGGGAGTTTCACCCGGTGTCAGTGCCAAAGGGAACTCAGAGTTGTGCCGGGCTCTCAAAAAGGTTTATACATATTTAATACATATATATAATATAATATATATATAATATTATATAATGACAAACATCAAAACCGATATCTTACAGTCTCGTCAGCCACTTTCCTCAGTCTTTCGCACAAATGATGTGTGGCTGATCATCTGCTGAAACACCACTAAAAGACTGATTCATTCACCATCCCTCCGCCTAAGAAATGTGTTTGGAGGAAAGTAGTCTTTCAACCCCTTACTGCCCTTACTTGACGATGTCTATGTTACTTGGGGGGATGGTAACCTTTTCACTGACAGCCAATTTTGCTTGAGGTTTGGTACCCATTTGAGCAGTGTCTACAGGCGCCTAAATGTGCATTTTCCTTGCAAAAGTTGGTCCATGTTCAACCCAAAACCTGCGATTTTCTATTGCTTCATTTCTATTGGTTCTTTTCATTTGAGATATTTACCAAAGATATCATTATGAATAAGATATGAAATAGTGCCCAAAATCGAATAGTCTGAATGAATATTCTGATTAGGTTTCTATTCATTAGATATCCCCACCCGAGCCGAGGCCGTTTCAAAAAAACCACCAAAGCGGCTGGTTCCTCAGCTTCTCGCAGCACCAGAGCCGAGGCAATCTGCCTCTCCAAATATCCTTGGATGCAGGGGTTGGTCGACCAAAAAAGATATCAATAGAACTATTTATTGAAAAAATATAATGGTGTTGCCAATGGTTAATAATGAAATAAATTGAAATTCTATGTCTATCATAGTTCTGATGGTCCCGGTTATCATCATGTGTTGATATGTTACTATAGGTATGGTTTAATGATTATGATGATTATATAGAAATATAGTAATTATGATGATTATTGCCAAACATGATGAATAGAACAACAATAATAATCGTACGTAATAGTAATACTCATTGATAATAAAGTGATAATAAATTACAGAAACCTAAGATGGTTGGTGATTTCGAGCCCCTGACAAATCTGGAAAAAAAAATCACTTTGAAGCTCATGAAATGAGGTTGATTTCCTTTCACAACTGTGCTGCAATTTTGGGGCCGCCAACTTGAAATGAGCTGCAGAAAGTCCTGAAAAAATGGATTCCTTCAGATTGCCAAGTGAGCATGGACCCTCTATCATCCCGAATGGCTGAGAGCACAGGTTCTCATATTGGATTGATGGCACTCGAAAAACCATCACCCCTTTGGAAAACAGATAGAAAACAACCTACCTATTTTTACCACCACCAGTGATGATCTGGAAACGGGGATTCCCCCAGCGGTGAAACGGCAAGTTTCCATAGACCCAGGGCGCGCATCTGCTGGGACTATAGCGCTGCATCTCCCAGTGGATCCGCAGTGGCTCCATGTGCCCAGTGGGGCGATTGTTGCTCAAGGCACCCAAGTTGTCGAGGAGCTGTTCGAACATCCATTTCTCCTGGAGATAGGGCCCTATTAGATGTGGAGAAGCCATGATTTCCCGATGAAAAATTGATCTACAAGTAGTGGGTTTTCTAGATCTATGGTAGTTTACAGTGGGGTAGCTGGGTTAATAATTGGATTTTTCACTGGAAAAGGAAATTCTCTGCAATTTCTATCAAGTGTAGGTTCATAATCCTAAAAAATAAAAGCAGTCATCAAGCAAACAGGGGGTTTGCAACCACTGCTCACCTGGATTTCAAGATGTTAGGTAGTTAAAGGTAGTTTTTGGGGGGAAAATGAGGATTAACCAGTAGAGTTTGATTCTGTTTAAGGTACAACTTTTGTCAGGCGAACTTTCCAGGGGGGGCCTCAAGAAGGCCCAGGCTTCAACAGCCTAAACTCCTGGAGATTGACTGGGAACCAGCAACAAGAATGGATGGTTAACCAGCAGAAACATGGACTTCACGAACGACACTGGATACAAAATGAGGATTTCACCTGTAGTTTGGATGATCCACAGGAAGCTTGGATTGACAGCTGCTGGGTTATGAGGCCCTTCCTACTGGGATCTACCATTCATGCTGATTTCCAGGAGCGTCCATAAGGGTGGATGCTGGGAATAAGATTGAGGCACCTCTGCACTATTGGCATTCTGCTTGAGTAAGAAACATATAGTTGAGTTGGGATTTATCTCGTTTGTTTGCCTCAAAAGGAATGAAAATTCGCACAGCAACCTGGGAAATTGGTCATGTTTACACAAGACTGGAATAAGCCATTCTTGGGATAATATCCCTACTAATCTTCACCTGTGGTGGGATTGCTGTGATGCCGATATATTTTACAGCACGCAGATCAATCAACAGCCAAGAAAAAAAACATGATGGTTAGGCTGGTTAGGTGTGTGATTCCTAAATCCCTATATCCCACCACTCTTGATGGCTAAATCTTCCGTTTTCACGACTCTTGATGGACAAAAAAAACAGCATGTTTCACCAAATGTTTCACGATTTTGATGGTCAAATCAGCATTTCTCATAGTTTTTCATGGTCAACTGAGTCAACTCCTCCACAATTCCCCCCCGAAAAATCTCCATCTGACGTCTCCTTGCCAGGTCCCAACCAGAGATGTGGCACTTCAACCTCCGCAAGCCACAGGGAATGGACCTGCGGCAGAAGGTTTCCATAAATGCGGATACCCAAAAAATTGATGGTTTTTCTAAGGAAAAATCCATCTATAAATTGATGAGAACTGGGGGTACCCCGATTTTAGGAAACCGCCAGATGGGTTGGTTGAGATTTTTCATCTTCAAACGACTGGGATTGAGCAAAACTGGTCTCGATCTCTCGGTTCGCGTATTTTTTCTTGGCTAAGTCCCACTATAACCCATTAATTTACATGTACATCCCCATGTTTTTTTAGTTAGATCACTGCATCCCCATATTTTGGCGAAATCTAAAACTTCTCACGGTTTTGTTCCCATGTTTTCCATAATTTTTCTGGGCTAAAAATCCAGTGTTTGTCGATGACGTTCACCTGCGCCAGGGACCAGATCGAGACATCACAGCCCTGCGCCCAGCAGCCGCGCGTTGCGGCCACCGCGTCGCTGGCCTTGGGAGGTCGGACGGGGAAGACTTGTGAAAAACCTTGGGATTTAACCAACCAAATTATAAGACAAATTGGGATTAGAGATGCATGAGAATTTGATGGGGAGCAACAAAATGGATTGGGAAAAATCATCAAGCAGCATCGGAGATAGCCTCGGAAAATGATGAAATGCGTGTGTTTCCAAATTCTACTTGGGTACCCCCAAAAACCATGGGATTCGCTACTACAAATAACTAGTTTTGGTGCTTTTTGCGGTCCCCAAGTTTACGAAACCACCACAAGACCATACAGCCAACAATGCAAACGAGGCAGGTGGACCAATTACTGTGGGCAAATTACAATACACAGTATACTTTCCAAATCAGAAACCCGATTTGTATTGTCTTCCTTCACCAAAAATCATGGTCCCCAAAATGATGCCAGAAATCTCTTTCAGGATGCTGGTTGCTGCTGGTTCGATGTTGTTTCCCCCATAATTTTCACGTGTTCACCACGATCAATCAGGAGCTACCACAGCATCTTCCCGTCATCGCGGCCTCGTCTATCTCGAAGAGCTTCCTCAGCTCAGTCCTAACCAAATGACGACGGCAGGGAACCTTGGCCAAATAACCAGCTTGGGTTTACATAGTAGATTCCAATGCCAAATGAACCAAGGGGAAAAAGAACAAAAAACTGTAAGTAGTGTTGTTCTTACTATATACTCTTGCTGTTACTATGTTTTTGAAAATAAGTATAAATATCCTATGAAAGGAATGATAGTATCTAATAAGATCTAATAATTATAATCATAATGAAATGGGCGTTAATATTATTATTGTGGCTTTTAAAGTTAGCTAGCTCGTTACTTACAGTAATGGGTTGTAACTAGTTTTAACGCAGTATGGACCCAATTATGAAGGGACTTAAACCAGTAATTAACCATGTGCGTAGCTCCGTTGTCCATCTATCTAGTGACAACAATACTAATATATATATATATATAAATTCTAACAATACTCATGGAAATTCGAAGTAGTAACAATATGTATAAGTTATAGCAACACAAATAGTGACACAACAATCAGCTAAATCCCTCAAGCTGCACATGATTCACATCCCCAAGTTCCCTTCAGTTGTATATAACTGTCTATAACCCATTGAGATCTATTAAGATCCCTTAAAACTCCAACAAATCAGCTCAATCCCATAAAATTCCAATAAATCCCATTAAATCCGATTAAATCCCATTAACCCCCCATGAATTAACACAACCAACCATCAACCATCTCCATCGAGCGTCAGCTCCAGCACCTCTCCCAGCGCCGTGCCGTTTTGGTCTTTGTCGAAGGCTGCCCAGTCCATTTCCCGCAGGCCCAAGGCAGGCAGCTGCACTAGGACGCGCCAACCCCTGGGGAACGTTTGAACCGTTTGAACCATAGGAAAATGGGGATTTCACCAAGAAAAAAATGGATTTCATGGGATTTTATAGTTGAGTTATGATTGCTAATTTGAGTTGGAACTAGGTGAATTCTATGGTTTATGGTCGATATATAGCTTCATAATTATATGGGGGTTTATAACCAGGGGCCCCGCATTGTAGAGCTGGGGCACTTGGGGTGCAGACCAGGGCCTAGTGCAATACGGGACCATGATGAGTTCGCCTCCAAAAGTTGGGATTTGGGGGGGTGCGATGGGTCAAATATATCCACTTATAACTGGAACTGCACCTCCAATTCCCGAAAAATGTGGTTTGTGGGATTTTACGTAGTTGCGCTTTATTTCATGGTGACTATAAGCGGATATGATCAGACATAATCACAATAAGTAGTCCAGGAAGTAATGATGATTCTATCCCGATTGCACAAGTGACAGAAACCACACTTTCATGCCAATTATGATAATGATAAATAAGTGAACACTGCTTATATATGTTAGTATGAATATATATATATATATATATGTATATTATATATATATATATATTATATATATATGTGTGTATATTACGAGTCTTTATGAGTGGGATATTCCATCTGAGCAACTATGCACAAAGTCTGCAATTTTGGCTACCTGACTTTGGACAATCTCCCAGCATTTTTCTGTCGCAGGGACGTGATGGACAGAGCCCCCCAAAATTAAAAGTGTCCTGTCAGTCAAAGCCAGCATGGAAATCATCTTTATTATCTTTCTGCATATGACACATCCGGTGATGTCACTGGAAATCTTTGGTAGAAAGACCATGAAAGACCTGCATCACTAAGTGGCCACAAAATAGACTTCACCCAGGAAGTAGCTCTGGTTGGGTGTAACATGGTGTAACAGTGTAACCACAGCTTCTCTTTCCACCAATCAACTGGCCTGTCTTGCACTCTCTTGGCAATGATCAGAAAGGCCTGACGTGGACTGGGAGCCCAACAGATAGGTGCCGTTAATTCTACGATTCGGCGTTGACCTCGTTGAACCCCTTAAAAAAACTTGGCTTGGACATCAAAATACATGGGGGAGAAAGGCGAGGTAAACTATGGTACACTGGAGAGCACCTGATTGTTTGGAAGACATCCAAGAAGTCGGATGGGAATTCTGTCAAAGATTCCAGAATCCCATTCGATCTTGAAAACTGGAGGTTTCTCATTGCCACGTGAAATTCTTGGAAGGTAACCAGACCTCAAATCTCTGCGATGCTGCTCCAAAAACGGGCATTGATCTGACAAGCACCAGATTGGGCCTTCAACGCCTGCAGGGCATTTCCCAGAGTGCCTCCAGAAGAAGATTCAGCAAAGCTTTGATGAAATTGCCAAAATCCACGTGACAATTCTGGGATTTCTTCTTTTTTTCAGATATACAGTATTACACTGTATAAATCCCAAAATGGCAGCTGTGATGGTGCGAACCTGCATGGTAGTCCAAGACAGCTCTGGGTGTGCTTGCCACTGTCTGTCCCTAATGCATCGGATTATGTTGGGCCATTTGGAGCCATACACAATACACATCTCTCCAGAAAGTTTGAAGGAATGTGGTTTTCCCGCAGTTTTCCCCACAAAAAAAACAGGTAAACAGGTGCCATGTTGCAGGCAACAAGGTTGTTTCGCGAGAGCTGTAGTTGTTTCAACTGGTTTCAGCCACCAAAAAACCATCGGAGTCCCTCAAAAAACCATCGTTCCCTGCACGGCTCAGCAACCAAGGCCTACAATGTTGGCGCAGAAGACGAAGTCATAACGCCTTGGAATCGAAGGACGTCTACCATATCGGCCATTTTTTGTATCTGTGTATATATATGTAATATGTATGTATATATATATACACACATATCTGATTATGTACACACCTTTTCTTCATGCGATTCTGGGCCCTTTGCTAAACCACATGATCACGGTTGGAACTCCAAACCGCCACAGCGGTAGCCTGGTGTCATCCACAGGTTTCGGGGTCACCACCTCCAATACCTCGGCCCAGCAATGCGACTGCTGGAGTTCGGACCGAAAGGCGTCGCACAAAAATCGTTGGAAGACTCTCAAAGAGGACTCTGGAACGTTGAGCATGCGTGGGTCCATGTTCAACCAGCCTAGGATTTTTCAATCTTTAGCTTCCATCCAATGTTTTCCCAAAACATTGATCCCAACCATCACGGCAGGAATCTCCCACCCACCACCCGGACGAAAACACGACGTCTTCTCCGGATCACCGTGGACGTTGTTGACGTGGTTGTCGTCGTCGTCAAGGAGGCAGCAACAGCACCAGGACCTCCAGCTCTTTCAATGGGAAGGTTCTCAGAATGCAGAGCTGGGTTAGCTTTTCAGGAAAAGTGGATTCCCAGAATCATGGTTTCAAAAATCTAAATTGGACCAAGTTTGAGGATTATTTTTGGGCGACCTAGTTTGAGAGCCAAGCCTCAAATGGCGTAGCTGGTATTTTGGTAAATGAAATTGTAAAACAACGCCCAATGATTTGGCCGAAAAAAAAGAAACTCAAGATACCCGAGCTTGGCCGAGATCAATGGAGTACCAGTGCAATTCTAGTGGGCTGTTGTTGTTGTTGCTGTTGCTGTTGCTGTTGCTGTTGCTGTTGTTGTTGTTGTTGCAAATGGAATGTAAATGGGATTATCATGAGGTATCCTTGGCAATGTGGGGACCAACGGGACGGGGATTCACAAAAAAATGCCAGGGTTGTTGATTAGCCCCCTTTAAAGCTACGATGAAATGTCCAACTCAAACAGGTGAGATGGGTGGCTTAACATGGAACCCAACAACCGCCATTTCCGGTGGGAAAATTGTGTTCAAGACTCGTGATAGTGTGCTTCACGTAGGTTTTCAGGGCACTACATGTCCATGTTCTTTGGTAGAACGAGGTATGGGTCACCCTCCAATCCAGTGTCAAACTTCGGGAACCCAAATCCTGGAGGCGTTTATACCAAGAAATAACCCCTTTTTTGCAGGATTTGCCAACAAAATAGCCAACTCTTTGTCCAAAAGATCCAGACATCTCTGCCTGTGGTCATCTCTGGCATTGGCCTGGTCATGCCACCTCCAGCTGCACATGGCTATGGAGAAATTTTCTACCCTGGTGAACCCCAAAACGGTTGGTAGATGTTCATGCCTCAATCCAAAAGAAATTGGGCCCATAGGTTTAAAACCATACTCACATCAATCCGATCAGAATGATCACAATCTCCAAAAACAAATCGCAAACGAGCCAAACCATGCTGAAAATGAATCTTGTACACTGCTCAAAGGATTGGGTCCGAGCTGTTCAATGTGCCCATCATGATTGAATCAGTTGAGACACTACAAGAATTCAGAGTGATAGCTATGACAGTGGTGATGGTGAGGCTGCTGACGGCGACCCTCATGGTGCTTTGCACGGTGGAGAGATGATCGGCATCTGGCCGTCCATGGGTTGTTGGCTCTATCTTTTTAGCAACCAAAAAACGAGAAGATCAAACAGCAGGAAATGGTGCGTTTCTTCAGCCAAAATTGCGATTTGTCCAACAAACCATTGAAAGTTGAAGCAGCCAAAATGGAGATTTGACAACACAAAGCAAGGATTTTACCAACGAGAATCAGGATCTATACAACAAGATTAGGGATCTCTACAACCAATCAAAATTGGGAGTTAACCATAAAAACGTTGGGTTCGACCTGAGGGAGACCAAGTGCCCATGCCACAACCGAAATTAGATGCTTTAAACCTGGCCGGCCCTTTGTGGTTTCAATGGTGCCCTAATTTTTAAGCAAGTTTTCTTGCAGATGTAGGCTACCAGTATATCCGAAAAAACAGCAGGCAAAAAACAATGGAATCCGGCATGGATCATGTCGGCTTGAGAGCAAAGTTTTACCTCAATCCTAAATTCATGAAACAGAAACAAATACATATGTAGATATATATATATAATATATATATAATATATATATATAATATATATATATGTACGTTATATATATACATATAGATATGGATATAGATATAGATATAGTCCCTTACACCCCTTGAGTGAAAGCCAAAAAAAAATACACAGCCTGGCACGGAGAGGCTGGGAGATGGCACATCATTGGACCTTCCCAGGACGAGGATTGATGAACAATCAGAGGAACATCAGCACCGCTATGCACTAACAAAACCTCGGAATGTACAGCAACTCATCAGCAAAGTTGTTTTTCGCAACCACTTTTATCATTTTTTCGGGGGGTCCATCAATGGGGGTACCCCGAATTTTCACCCATTTATAGATGGATTTTCCCTTATAAACCATCCAGCTATTGGGGTACCCCAGTTTATGGAAACCCCCACAGGCCAAACACAATGCAGCAGATCAAATGCGCCAGCTGAGGTCGCCAAGGCGAACACATCTCCCAAAAACTGGATGCTTTGAGAATGTTCAAAACTGGTCATAGAACTTATGAATATACCTGATACATACTAGTACATTTTGTGTACATATATATATACATATAATTATGTAGTGTATGTGTGCATCTATATATATATATAAATATAATATATGATGGTTGATCAAAATTCCTTGTTCCGCAAACGGCCACTCTTCGCGAATAAAAGTGCTACTTTCCCGAAACTTTCGCGAACTCCACGTTTATCTTTCGCGGAGGCCCATGTTGGGCAACAATACCTCTTATGAAGATTCGATCACCACCTGCCAAATTACGCCAGAGAATCACGGATCACTTCTTAATAGCCTTTTTAAACATGCAGCTAGCATCACGGAATCCCTTCTCAGGACAGATTGTTGCTGACTAGTTTTTTTTTGCAAGGTTTACTGACCCCTTCAACATGCACCTTGACTTTCGCCCGCTCCTTCGCAAAACTTTCGCGGAACTTTCGCGAAAATACCCCTATTCACAGACCCCGGCCATCAGCAGGGCGCGCATTGAAGGAAAAGCGAGCACCAGGGGCCTTGGCGTTTGGCTCTCGCAAAGCCTCACTTTTGGAAACTTGGCTGCTGCATTTGGAGCTTGTTTCTTGAGACTTCAGAAATCATCATTAGGCAGTGACAGCGGCAGGTGCAAGGATGTGCTTCAGGACCATGGTGTTTCGCTGTCGCGAAGCCTCACCTTTGGAAGCTTGTCTGGCTAATACTTATGAAGGGCAAAGTGATTGTCCAAAAGCACCACCACACAAGGAACTAAACCAGAACCAAACCGAAATTCTTCGGTGCCCTTCTCCTGCCGGACCCCAGGTGGCAGTGGGTGGCAGCCCTTTACATAATGATTATAATACCCAACTTTCGCGAAACTTTCGCGAAAAAAAATGTTACTTTCGCGAACTCGAAAAAAAAAACTTTCACGAGGGTTCCCAACATAACATGAACGGTCTTCGCAATTAAGACTCTTTACAAGGACCAATAGGATCGATCACCATATAGAGTGTATATAACCCTTAAACTGACCAATTCTGTGGCTTTGTTTCTGCCCTATGGTTGACCCATATGCATTGATTCTCATGGCGGCATCCGCCTGGCCACAGCCTCTTCGGCAGAGAATCTCAGCCTAACGGGGGCCCAGAAGGCACCGATCATTTCGGGTTGTTTTGAGCCCCTACGAACTGCTCAAATGGGGATCAAAGTTGCAGATCCAACCACAAGTGAAATTGCAACTTCAGTCTCAACCATCCCAGTTTGGAGTACCCAATGACTTTCACCATGGCAAAATCCAGTTGGGTTCACAACACTTCTGCCTGGGATTTGGAATCATCAGCCTCTTCCTTGAGAGGGTTCCATCCTTCAAGTACCCTGAAAATAGTCCAACCTGCCAGATCATCTAGAATCATTCGTCTAGAATCTCCAAATAGAGGGATTTGCCAGCATGCCAGGTTCATCAAATCGCATTTCAGACCTGGAATCTGAAATTTTGGAACCCCCAATTTCCAGCAACCTCATGTTTTACCCCAATTTCGAATGGCCACAATTTGGGAGCCCCCCTGCCACCTCAGAAAGGAGAGCGTCACCAACACCCCCGCGGCCCCAAAGAGCGGCACCAGGCGCCGTCCCATCGCGGAGCATGTCACGCAAGGGCCGCATCAGTGGCCGGGAGGTTCTAGAATGCCCGGCTGGGGGGGTGAAGTGTCATGTCAGATATTGATTTGGAAAGAACTTGGGGACCTCCAAAAAAAATGCGGCGAACCCCAACCAAAGTTTGTAGAACATTTCTGGCATCCAATGTTAAGCACAGAATTTATGGAAAGGAATGTATCGAGAGTTTCAAGTGCTTGCAGTGATCAGCTTCTGCCATGGAATAGAAGAGGAATATCCCCATCACCAAACCTTGGAAGGGTGTCATGGATCACCATCTCTCTGCTTCCAAGCCAACACTGCGGACATCTGCAAGGTCCTAGCCATGGCTGAGTTCATCAGAGGATGATCCAGCTCCAGCCGCACGACTTGGCTACTTGAGGATGCAGTTCCACTTAATAAGTAACTTGATGGCCTTAACTATGGTGATTTTCCCAACTTATGGTGACCTGTTGGCCACCGACTATCCATGTGCCAGAGTGCCAGGCCCGCGCCAAGAAACTCACACGGGGATCAAAGACTTTGGCCAATTCCGTGAAGTCAGAGAGATTGTCACCTGGGAAAATAGGGATAAAAATAGACAAACTCAGGTTCCCGGATCAAAATGATTACGGAGTTGGTCGTCTTGGCAACGGAAAACTCACCATGACTCCTGATCCCTACATTCATGTTTGTTGGCACTCCCCACGAGTTGCTGTGAATCATGTAAATTTCCATTCCAATCATTGCTGGTCATCTCATGTCATACAGCCCCGGCCGGGAAACGACTGTGGTTCCGTTCACTGTGGCACCCTTATCTTCACACCGAAATGCTTTGTACTTGATGTTCATCCCACAAAAAAATGATATCAAAGGTCCAGAGTCCCCAAATGACCCCATCAACATCATAACCCGTTGGAAATCTCAACCCATCTGCAAAATATCAGTCTGTCTGTTTTGCCACTTTGCGGATGAACACAGTCAGGCTGCTGTTAGGGGTCATCATACTAGGGTTGACCATAAATAACATATTTGAAACCACGAACCACATCATCATTGGCAACATTTTTTTAATTGTATGTGTATATATATATACATATATATATACACACACAGTATATACAGTATTACATCCCCGTGATATCCCCAGACCAAACTCTGAAATCCCCGCATCGTGGCTGTGCCCAGTGGCTGTTCACCGATGCCACGTTCAGGACGATGAAGACATGCACGGCTGAGAAGAGCAGCACCGGCCACAACGGCTCCATAATTTTCCTCCGAGTGGTGGGGAAAATCTGGGAAACCCCCAAAAAATGTGGGTCTGTGAACGTTGAACCATTACCATGGAACCATCAGGGTGTTGATGGGAGTGTGAAATCGACAAGAAGAGATCTCTAGCATGGTTTGACCATCAACAGAAGGCACATGAATCCACCAAGGAGGGAATTAGAACTCAACCAGAGGATAAGATATTGATATGGGTCAACTGGTACCCAAAAAATCGGAGAGTTCACTCTAAAAATGACAATTTCAAGGCTTCCAAGAGCTCTATTTTTCAATGGTGACGCATCCCGCATGTTGGGAGCAAAAACCCTCCAGAAACCAGAGGTATCATCGGGATCGGAAGCAACAAAATATTTGGAGCCAACAACTCGATATGAATGTCATGTTTAGGGAACTTTGGAAGAAGAAAACATATGTGTATATATATATTACATATATATATACTAACATTGAAATCAAAAATGGTGCCTAATCGCTTTTCCATGCTTAGGTGGCCTGTTTGTAGCTCATGTAGCTCGAAAGCATGCACGCGCATGTGAAACTTGTCAGTCTCAAAATTTTGTGTTGACTTCTCATGGATATTTGCTTAGTGAGTGTTGAGTGGAGTGATCAACATGATGTTTGTTTCATCTATATACTTAACATAATTATACAATTATATAACTATGCTATAGAACTGATGCTTAAAAACCCACCCGACAAATATTGGTCAGTTGGGATCATTCCCCCCAAACAGGCCCCGGTTTCCATCTGTTTCCCAAACAGGCTCAAACGTTCCATCGAGATGATCTGACCAATATTGCGACGGGGAAGTGTCTCACTGAAGTGGGGCTACCCCAACAAAAATTGGAAACCTGGATTCCATGGGGAGCAGCCCAATTCATTGATTGTCATGGCCAACAATCAACAAGGAACTTGAATTTTACCAAATGCTATGTGTGTCCATGCCGTCTGGTGACTCCTTATCTCGTCTTGTAGAGAGACCAGAGTGTGCATCCATCATGCTGGAAAAATCACTCTTACAAGGGCAATACACGTAGCATCTGCAGAGATCTAAGTTGTTCATTCCTGGGAGGCTCTAAAAAAGGGCTGCAATCAGAAGGGCCCGAGGCCTTGTCACAGACCAGTTGGGCAGGAAAACCATCAGGAGCCATAAATACCTCGGCTGCTACGCGTGGGAACAAGCAAGAGATTGCAAAAATTCTTGGGCCCACAAGATTCAAGCGCTAATTGAAAAAATGCGGAGGAATGAGTTGAAGACGATCTGGTCTATTCCTGCTTCAGACCTGTACTTCCAAACATCCATCGCAGGCAGCTTGTAGAATCTTCCTACCTTTCAAAAATGGTTCAAAAATACATCACAACCTTGGGGAAGTGTTTCCAAACCATCTGCCGGCACAAATTCTTCTAACATGTTCTGTATAAATATGGCTATAGATTCTAGCCTATAAATACACCATGTTCAGTCCTTAGATCCCAGCAATTGAAACACGGTGAAAACCAAAGAAATTCATGGGCCGAGCCGAGCCACTGGGGCAAGAAAGTGATGACATTGAAGGCACAGCTCACCACCTGAGAAAAACGACCCATGGCGACGCGGTGGGGTCATGGCAGTCCTCCATGGCTGCGAACGCGAACTAAACCTCCATGGCGAGTTTGGGGGTTCGAAGCTAGCCATGTTTGATTGCAGAAGGGTAACTAAGATTGGAGCTGGTCTGAAAGTTGACCGTCGTCAAAAGTGCTACAGAACCAGAAAGAGTCGAGACAAGCACAAAGGCCACCTACCGACTAGAATTCGGCTAATTTCCAGTTAAGACAACTGGAACAAGCCCATCGATGTCAACTCTGGATTCACAAACCCACCCTGTCACCCCAAAATAGTGTTCTAAGTTGCTGTCAAAAATGGTACCATCCACTATATCCAATTAAAATAATGGATATCATGGGGGTTTATTACCCCATGCTTGACATTAATGAACTTCTTCCGGGCCACCGTGGGAGTTGCCGCCAAATCCGCCATCACCAGCGTGGTCTCCGGCAGTGCGCGCAGCCGCAGACTGTGCGACGGCCGCGACGGCTGTGCGACGGCGCGAGGGCACGAAACGAACCTGGGGAGATCGGCTCAAAATGGCTCGCCTTGGGAAACCTGGGTGGCTGGTGTGGATTTAAAAAGACCAAAATGATGGAATTTTTGGGATTCAGAAGGTGATGTTGACCTGGAAATCCCTCTGAGATGGGTTTTGTGGAAACTGTTGGGGATCAGCAAAGAACTGTCTTGATCAATTCTATACATTTCTTCTTCAGTTCCATATTCTCCAGGATTACATTTGCCTTCCTCAAACATAAATGAGGAATGAATGGCAACATTTTTAAATATCGTTTCACGCGACTATCATTTTTGTACATTAGTTCAGGCATTCGATCTAATGGTAGCATTTGGGATTTATGTGCCATTTTTAGCAACAAACTGGAATTATTCCTTAAATTATTGGTTAACACACAAACTGCTTCCCATTTTATCGGCTGCATCATCCATAATGTTGGCTTTCTGTTCATCAGAATAAAATTCCCATGGACCAATCCACGTCGCATTCACAGGACTTCTGGGACTTCTGGGACTTCTTTGTGGTCTGCGCGCTTTCCAACATTCTCCAATAACTCCTAAAGTGCAAAATATGGGCAGTCCATCAAGAAAATATAGGGATCCCAGTGAGGATACTTCTAGTGTGGGTTGGTTCCTGTTTGCTGACCGGGGAATTCCATGATGGCCTGCGCTAGAACCTGGTAGTATGACGGTTGATAAACCTGGGAGAGGATCTTAGTCGGGTCCAGTCAGAATTTAAATTCATCCTTGCAAATGTCATGGCTCCAAAAGATATCTGCTCTATGTAGATCACCCTTCATGATTTTCCTTGAAACCATTCTATCCATCAGGATATTGAGAAGCAAACTCTTTAACTTTAACACATACGCTTTTAGCAACACGCATGAGCCAGGGTCGAGATAGCTTTCCAGGGAGGTTCCAAGGTGGCAAATCCTTGCAAGGCTACCCATGGGTATGTCAAAAATCCTGAATCTGCGACAATGCATCTGTGAAGGGCGAAAAAGTCCCACGCATCTAAAAACCGGGTGCCCCGAGCCCATAGGAAGTACCTGCCAGGTGCCCATCAGCCGTGGGGCAAAAGCCATGATGCTAAGGTGCCACTGGTTGGGCAATGTTGGGCATATCCCCCATGTGTGAGCTCAGATTTGAGGCCCTAAGGCCATCAAACAGGTTATGATCCCAAGAGTTCCTGAGATGGTTTTTCCATGTTTCCTCCAAGCCAACTTCAATGATGTGTACGCAACGGAAAATCCAGGAAGGTCCGAATCCAGGAAGGTCCGGACCACCTCCAAGGCAAAGTGCCCATGCAGCCTGAAGTGGCATGGCCAAGCTGCAAGATCGATTTCCGAGAGATGATTGAATTCTTGGAAGAAAAGTCAAGAAATTCCATGTTTCCATGTTTCAGGGATGAAAGGTTGGAAAAATATTGGAGTTGGAAATCTGTTCATTTCAATATGTTCTGAGGTGGAGTCTTGAAGGCACAAAATGTGGACGGAGTACACAAGCCACCCAGGCTTCAGCCAGCCATAAGTGACAAACGTGGGTATGGGTCACAGTCGGTATAATCCCTTCTGGCCCATAGAATTTCATGTATCAACAATATTGTTCTTGTAGCAACGACCCTCTTCCGACCCGTCTCCAAATTGCTGGTCGGTTTGTATTTGATCTTCATCCGTGTTCATTGTTGACAGTCATATCCATTAATTATTTGGGTAATATCGGGCCAAGATTGGGTACTCGAAAATGGGATGGTCAATTCTGAAAATGAACAAACATTGTGGTGTCCCAGGATTCGCAAGGTCTGAAGTTTTGACCATGCCCTTATATCCCCAAGTTCATGGGTCCATGCCCATGTGGATCAAAACATGTCAAAAAATAGCCTTCTGTTTACACCAGTTAGACTGATGTTCATCCCTGCCCTCCATGATCCACCCATCGGCAAAAATCGCAGGTCTTGGCCCAACCCCTCGACCTGAAATCCACTTTGTTGGTTGACCTTCGGTTGTTGCTGCTTCGCCTCCGTTGTTCCGTTGTTTGTTGCTTCACTGCGGATCCACTACGGTACCAATCCTCAAGTACACAGCCAAGAAGCAAGCACTGCGCCGGCGCGCCACAATCGCCGCAAGGGGGCGCCCATGGTGCGAGTCTGGGGCATCTTAGGAAAAGTTCTGTCTTGTCGTGGGTTGGGCTTCAACCATGGGGATTTAGACCCGGGGTTGGGCCAAAACAGTCAAAACCGATAATTTTTGTCTCAGATCCCAGAATGGCGGTATGAATATCGACGAGCTATCTCAACTTGTCCTTAAGTTTTGAAGCTTTCGTAGTCGTCGTTTGACACCTGAACTTTGATTGAAAGGTACCGTCTCTGAAATGAAACTAGAGGTAGAAACTCTCATTTTCCAAAGGAAGGCCATTTCGCAAAGCCATCAGTTAACTTCCAGCTTGTTTTGAGCCATTTGGGTGTTATGTAAGGGATAGTGAGGTCCCTGCTGTTTGTTTTTCTGTGCAAATCGGTCACTTCTCTTGGTTCACATACCCAACAACCCTCACTGCATCCATTAGGCAGTTGGTATTAAGAGGCCATTGCTCAGATTCACCTGCCAGGAAATAAAGTATTTGTTGTGCGGGACCCACAAAAAAGTGGACGGCTTACAACCCAAAACTGACAAAAACTGTGGAGGTCCTTTCTTTTGATCCGCAAAGGACTCAGGATTCGTGATATTTCCTTGACAAATCACAGGTTTTGGGGGGTGCACTACCATTGGACTAGCACCAAAAGGTCGCCGCCATCGCCTCCCATTTTTCTCCACCGGAACTGCTGTCAGGAGCTCTTTGGTCTCCGTCTCTTCCTGCGGCCGGAAAAAAGACCCACAGTCAATTGGCTGGTCATTTCTTGTGCAGGGTGGTGCCCTCTAGTCATGTTTGTTGGCTTGTGTTACCTCTTCTAACTATAGTTATAGATGATCACCAGAAACCCTAGTGAACTAAACTAACTTTAGTATTCACTCTTTGTGATTGTTGCTCATACAAAAAACTCAGGTGGAAACTCCTTGCAGTTTCTCAATGACAGGCCATCATTGATGTGTCCACCAAGCCAGTACACTCAATGATCTGTGAGGTCATCGGAAATCATCAAGTTCCAAGGATGAACTTTGCCATGAGAACGAAACATCCAACTCTTGCGATAAAAATCCACCAGATTCTGCTCTGAGCGGCGGAGCAACCAAGACCACTCTGTGCCGTGCCTCTTCGGAAGCTTTGCCGACGCCTGAAAACGCCCATCTGACTGGACAACTTCAGGGGGAGAATCCACCTTCTTAGCTAAATGGGTTGGTCTGAAAATGGGCTTGTCTTACCCTGCAAACGAACATCAAGGGGAAAATGATGATAATCCCATACTATTCGGGTACCCTATTTTAGGACCAAGCCAGATGTTGTTTTTTTCCCGGCATCCCAAAAGGGAAGCCCTGATTTTCGTCTCTTTTCGTGTCATGCGATCCAGTCTCCGAGCTGAGGGCTGCATAGGGCAGCACTTGACAAACTACCACAGCTTGTTCGGTCCAAAAAAAAAGGTCGGAATGCTGCCCAATCCATGGCCAGTCAATGGAACGACCAATCCAGTGATGGATTCTTCGGTCGTTGTCCACCTTTGAATTCAGGATTTCCTCTGGGCAACGAACTTGGAAGTGAAAACACCCATTTCTTCAGGAAAACATCATGTTTTGCCTTCCAGAAAGTTTTAGTTTTAACCTCCACCTTAGTGGCCCAGAGATTGCTGTGCAAGTCTTCGCAGAACCTCTTCTGTTCGACCTGCGGGAACAAAAGCGAATCTCCTTGGGTGATCCAGTGATCCAACGTCGCGGTCACCTGATCCACCATCCAAGTTGAACTTGAGCTGATCCAGTTTTCTTCAAATCCCTTGGAATTAAATATCCCCAACCCGAGGAATTGGTCGAGCGTGGAGTTTGTTTTTTTTTGCTCTAGTGGGATCACTAAAATCTTCGGCCCCATCCACCCTGTGCACCCCAGCTTCTACCAGCGGGGCGGTGGTTCAGCCTAAAAAAAATACAGGGACTGCGTCCAAAAATGGAGAGAAGCCCTGGTGGATGGTCAATTTCCTCGAAAACATCCAGCCTTTTTCGGGCTCTGCAAGTGAAGTTGGACACACCCAGATCCTCTAAACTTTACACGGACACAGATGCATCTTTCGAGTCTGCCGCCTGGCGGACAATCCCATATATGAGTGACCTATCAAAATTGAGGGGTTCCTATTGGAAGTTTTAATCATCAGAGAGTATCTAGGGCCTTGGTTCATTTTCTTATTATAAGTCAGAAAGATATGGATTTGTCGTTTGCTGAACGCCCAGCGCCTCACCATAGGGTCGTGATTTGTTGGTTTTCTCAAACGGTCACCCTAGGCCCCTCATTTCCCAAATTGCAAATCAGAAGGTTCACAAAGTAGTTGGGGAAATGTTGGGGATACAAAATCGGTGATATTTCCTCGATGTTTCGTGAATTTCAGAAATCAACCGAAAACGTGGTTTCCCGCTCTTAAAAAGAGATTGTGAATGAGTTGCTATTGGGTCCCCAAAAATCCTGAGAACCATCCATATCCCATCATGTTCAGTGGGTATCTCTCACTTTGTTTGCTTAAATCCTCATCTTGTCGCTTTCTACTACAGTAATTGGAGTATTGATCCATCAAGCCATCAAAACATGTGCATGGAGCCGACTAGGAATTGCTCCAGTGAAAAAAATTGCCCATTTAAATCCCCCTTTCTCCAGAATTATCCCTGAAGAACCACAAATATATGAATGTCTCTGACTGAAAATAGGGTATTATTACAGTATACCCCCGAAAATCATATTTCAAAAGGGAAAAACGATGATTGATCAGTGGATGGAATGGGCTACCCTACCTTTTGACAACCCCAATTTTTCCCCCCTTTCTCCATCCGCTCCTGGGAAGCATCCTCCCGACGCTTCATGAGCGACGCCAGGAGGTAGCCTGCACTGGCACAGGTCTTGTCCAACGAATCATGGGAGTTTTACCCTCTGGTAAATTAACATAGACCCTGGCAGATAGGGGTTGGAAGACTAGTTCCCATTAAAAATTGGTGATTTTCAGGGTCTATGTTTGTTTACCAGAGGGTAATGGCCAGCAGAAGACCTCTGTTTTTTTGGAATTCAAGCAGCAAGAATGATGAGTTGACCGTCGACCACATACGTGAAGTTCTGCACAACGGAGACTGCAATAGCCAGCAAATGAAAAACGGATTGGCAACAAATTGGAATGGACCGGCAAGTAATGAGGATATCATGTGCTAAACCCAATACTAACCATCCCCAATCTACGATTTCAGTAGCAAGAATGAAGAGTCGAAACTTCTTGGACCCGGGCGCCAACTGGCCATCTTGGGGATCTTGAATTATCATCCCATGTTCGGAAGAACAGAGTTTTGACCACCCAACTGATGGGCACTTTTGTTGTTACACAGAAACACTTCTGTTCGCAGAATGGGTCAAGAATGGTCAAGATACATTGAATCCTTGACAGCTTGTAGACAGCAAAAGTCGGAAGCTGTTTACCAACTGCAGCACGTGGAGAGATTTTTGATCATGGAATCATGGCCACTCAGATGATCCTGCCCCTGCCAGATCCTGGATGTTCACGCTATGTGGATCTGGATCCGGATCCAAGATACCAAGGACCCCAAAAAAATGCCAACGAAATCCCCAAGCTGGCACCCAACACCCACAACACCCACAGCTCCCGCGACCTGGCACGGTCAAAACGGCAAAGGTGATCAGCAGGACCAACTCTTCGGTATCCTGCGAAAAATGGTGAAACATGGTGAATTCCCCTGGAAAAAAATGCTGGAAAAAATGTCGTTTAACCATTGAAAACATGGGATGATTCTTGGGATGATTAAGATATTTGGGATGATTTATGGTGGGTACCATTCAATGAATTGATCTGTGCTGTAGCAACCCCCATTCACAGATTCATAAAATTTAGGCACTTGGAAATTGTGGAGGAAATATCACCTAAAACATGCTGAAACACTGTTTGATGTCTTTTGGGTGGGGCTGTAAAGGAAATCTTGCAGGTAACCCTGGTGTGTTTATCGCCAAAACAGGGGGTGTACTTTGGAATTTCTCTTCATGGAATTTCTCTTCATGTCTGGGTACCATCCCGATTCTTTTGCTGCCTAAAGTCTCCAGTTTATGAGTGAAGATCTTCATCTGAATGATCGAGGTGTATGATGTGATTTCATGGGGTGTTCTCTATGGGTTTGATAATCACCAAATGAGTTACATATTTTCTCAACTGCTATAGCATATACAGTACACGTTTTTTCCCAACGTCTGTAAAAGAATAAAACATCTGTGGACGATCTACATAATAATATATACAGTTATATAGACATAATATACATACATATTTATCATACATCAGACCTGTAACCCATCCAAACTGCATCTAGATTTATATATATAGTTATATATATATGTGATTCCGCAGAACACACTTCTAGGCTTCCAGCTCCCAACCCATGCGAAATGTGTCGCAAAAGGCGGGAAAAACCGGAGCACAAAATCACCAAATTCAACGGAGTCGTCTGGACAGATCTCACAGTTCTCAAATCAGAAAGCTGCGCCATGTGGTTCTTTTGTATCACTCACGTATCAAAAATTATCACTTACCAAAATAAGACCATCCCTATCCATTATCACTATCACCGATACCTATAGCTATCTATTACTATCATTCCAAAAATCCATTTCTGTATCATTCCACGGTCCTGGTTGCTGGCCCCAAAGGCGAAAGCCAAGGTGGAGGCGCTGGTGCCAAAGACAAAGACGTTGGCAAAGGCACCTAGAGCCAGATGGCTCCAACGACACACCTGGAGCTCCTGGATTACCCGAAATGGTAAACATACAAAAAACTATGGAAAATCACCATTTTCAATGGGAAAACTCACTATAAATCACCATTTTCAATAGCTATGTTAGTTTACCAGAGGGTACTGGTTGAACATGGCCATTTTGCCCCTGGAGAAATCCATGGCCCCAACGAACTCGGCCCCATGAAATTCAATTCCAATGGCCCCAATGGAGCCACCTGGGATGATCCCAGTTAGTTCCCTGGTCTCAGTAACGATCATCCTTTTCCCCATGAACAAATGGCCATTTCGTGGGGCTCATATTAAGACACACCCATTGGCCCATTGGATGAGAGGTACAAAAATACAGTGCCCATAGAGTTCCCAGTGATCTACGTTGAGATTTCACCCGTTGACCGAACACCTTCCATCATGCTATGTCCAGCCCTTGGCGTTTTGGGGATTGACGGCACCTGCACTCTTCTCCCCAGGGAAGAAATCGGCGAAGATGGCTTTGTTGGTGCTCTCATAGACGGCCCTTCCAATGCCCATCAGCACCTTGAATTTGCTTAAGTTGGACCCCCTCAAATGCAGAAATATTCTGGTTGATGAACCTGTCTTTTTTTTCACTGCATACAAAAAGGCTAGTCCCTTGCGGTTGATGACTCCGGCACATTTTGTCAAGAACTGCTTGGTGCTTGAGCTTCAACGGGCGACTCCAAGGCACATAGAAGACCAGCACGCCCCAGCCCCAGGTCTTGGGATGCACAAAGCGACTGAGCAACGCCAGACACAGAAAGGCCATAGCTCCCAAGGCCAAGACTGGACCTTTGCCGAGCTTCTTGGCAACCACACCTCAGCCAGCCGGTACCCTTGACAGATCTTGACAGTCATGGCTACAACTTACGCAGAAATTGCATGAACATGAGGATATTCATGACTAGTCATCAAGAAACACTGGAAACCCTGCGGATATGGCGGAGAAGGGGGGTCTCCTACCAGGTGACAAATGGGGTCATGCACCAGCATTGGCCCTGCTCTCCTCATATTATGTTCGAATGTCAGATGGAAGGAACCATCGAAAGACCAGTCTGCCCAGAATCGACCGCAGTTGCGGAAGCGCCGGTGACAAAAAATCGGTTCATGAAGTCCCAACTGCAAGTCTGGATACCATCTGCCAATCAAACCGGGCAATGGTAAACTAGTAAACTACCCTTGTACAAGTGATTTGACCATTTGGAAATTTAGACACATAAAAGATTGGGATGTTCCACTGGGGGAACAAAGAAACTTCCAGCAGCCCAGTTGTGCGACCCAAGCACCGAACCCCAAAGACAATACACTGGCCAACGCTGACAGCATAGCTCCTGGCACGACTTGACCCAAAAAAAGACACCAACACCCAGAAAACAACCTGGGATTTTAGGCAGAAAAAATGACAAACTGATGGATCCTGTGTATTGCGCACCTTCACAGGCTTAAGTCGAAATCCACAGTTCATTTCTGCAAGACACAAACAATGTGATGTTTACAGTAAGACCCGGTAAGAGAAATTAGTCTCCCCCTGCACTTTGTGCCCTTAATTGTGTGGCAGTATATACAACATACCCCGCTGGCTGTAGCTGACTCTACCCTCTCAGTAACATGGAGGTGGGTTTCAACGCGTTTTCCAGTCTTGAAAGCCATCTCAAAATCAAAATGCTTGGGAGTGTCCACTGCCAGGCTGGTTACTGGTTACCTATAGTGGGCAAACCCAAACGTGATGATCGACATGATGAAGCTTCACACTGTTATTTGGGTCACCCATGTAGCACACTTTTCACCAGCTCTGCCATCTGCATCATCTGCCATCCACAGCAGGATGCTTCTGTGCAGGAGCGATCCACAAGCGCAATGGGATCCAGCACACCAGGCTGCAGGTCGATGAAACCTTGATCTTTCCTCACTTTGATGCGCCCCAGTCCACTAAGTTGCTCGAACGCAAGCACCTCATGGTCATACGGCCCTCGCCAGCCACCGCTGCATTCCTGCGTGTAGCGAGACTCTGCCTGCGGCAAGGCTAAGATGAGGCGTTCCAAATAACTGGCATCATAGATGTTGGAACCCGTCCATGAAAATTCGCAGATCTTCAAGACAGCCAGGCCTCTTTCCTTTTTGGGTCCAATTGACTCGTGCGACCCTTTGGCATCGCTGAGTTGACCTCGAAGACTCAGACGCTTCAGCGAACCCTTGGAAAGGCCTTCAAACAACATACACAAGGCCTCCCAGGACCATGTGCCTGCTGTGATGTTGAGCTGCTTCAAATATCTCCCGGGACCAGGTGTGGAACCCTCAAAATCCAGCAGCCTCATCAGTTGCGAAGCTTGCTCTGCATGAAATTGGCCAGCCGCAGAAGGACCTCGAATCGGGCAGACGCTAATGTCATGCAAGTGCAAGGTCTGCAAGTTGCTGCAGTTCTTGAGCACTGCCAGGACCAAGGGATAGAGATCCCGAAAGGTTCCAGGTTCCCACAGTTGCAACGACAGCAAGGGCGACTTGGGAAAACCTTGCAATCCATCCAAAATCCTGCGCAACGCTTCATCGCGAGGGATGCGATCCTTATTGAAGAGCCTGGTAAGCTGACTTGTTTCAAGTCTGAGATGAAGTAAGAACTCTCCTGGGCGGTTGAGATTTCATGTTTGGTGGTACAGTGGAGTCGAATGGGTTTTATATTATTTAAGTGATCGCCACAGAAATTTAAGTGTCTTACTAAAAATATCTAAAAATTACAAATTTGATGGGTCGATTGATAGCCTAAAGTTTGATCCATCCCGAAACTAGCTCAACCCACAAGAAATGGGAATGTGAACCACCCCGTGTCCCAAACGTATAACAATCCTCCCATGGGGATGGAAAACAGAAAGATATGGAAATGGATCAAAAATCTGGTGCCGTTCTATTCACACTCAAATAGCTGGGATGCGTGGATGTTCACCTTCCAAAATATGGTATTTTATCGGTTTTGACCTGTCCCCATACTTGAAACCACCACCACCAAGTTTCCATTGGCGAAGCCCAGCTGGTGGCTCTTTGACACGTGAACCAAACTTCGAACATCTCGACCATCGAGGAAACCGCCAATAGCGCCATAGCTGCACAAGTGCCGCTGGTTCATTGCGGATGCCACTTGGGGTCCATGACTTTTCTTGCAAGGTGGTAAGTCCTGGTAAGTCCTGGTAAGTTATGTTTGTTGGTTTATTCAATTGACTAATCCCATAAACTATACATATTACAATGACCATAAACCCTAGTGAACCTAGTTCTTCGCACCAACTTAGCTAACGACCGCGGGATCGCCATCTTGCAAGGTATCTGTCAAAAATCAGCTGCGGAAATCCAAGCACCTTCTCCCCAGGGGAATCCCAATTTCGCTGGTTGGATATCAGAGTCCTTGCCATCTTGTGGGATATTGCATCCTGCCATCTTTTCGCTGCATGTTTCTGGAGGTATTGAAAGTAACAAAAAAACACCCGTAGAGGTCGCGAATCAATCTTAATCCAGGTCCATATGCCCAGCGAAACACTCGGTGATGGCATCCGTGAGTCATACAAATTATGGCACATGACCATCATCTGAAAGTCACCTATAGTTGGAGCAATACCCAAAAATCCTCCTTTTGTTTCTGCTCCTTCCCATGTTGCCTATGTTCTGTAGTTGGTGGCTAAAAAACACCTCTCTTCGACGCGTGAATGAATCCACACATTTTGAAGATCCATCCCCATTTGAGAATCACTCAGTCACTCTATCCCATCTTGAAACCCTGAAATGCCACCTCGGCCGATCCCAATGAATTGCTAAAACTTCCCCATGTTGCTTACATCTCCCCTTCTGTTTCCTGGTGAAATCAGTTAAATCCTGGTGAAAGCCTTACTTTCTTACTTTTCTTCGCTAAATCGCCATTTTTCTCGGTGATTCTCGGTGAACGTTCACCCGTTCACCCACTTTCCAGCCCCCCGGCCGTCCTGCGAAGCCGATGAATTCGCTGCTCAGCGTCTCCGTGAGAATGTTGCGCCCCACGTAGCCGCCCAGCCAGGCCGCGGCGAAGCCAAAGGTCAGGTTGGTACATTGCAGAAACCTGGTGGGTTTTTAGGGAAAAGAGAACCCTCTGGTGATTTAACCTACGGAAAAGAAAAGCCATCTATAGAGGTTTTTGTTGGGGTGGTTTGCTTTTGGTTGATGGCTCCTGCTGGATTTATGGTTCAGTTTCATGATGGTTCTGAAATTTATGTTGATCGTGTTTTGTTGCATGAAATGGTTGATGTTTTCTTTGTTTCATGGCTTCGTTTGGTTGATGGTCTTTAGTGGTTGTTCAATCTAGGGGATCCATATCAATGGATTGTGTTTTACGTGGAAGGTATGGGGATTGGGACAAGAATGGGGTATAAATATGTATAAATAGTACCAGTTTGGAGCCATAATATATATTGGTTCTTGTTCAGTTCACAAAACAACAGTTTTTCCAGGTGGGAGGTTTATTGATCAATATGATCAATGGATCAATGGATTGATTTAGGGCTAGGGATTTGTCGTGCAGGACACCACATCTTTTGAAACCAATTTGACGGATTTCCTGCATGTTCACCTTCATCCTAGTCTTGGCATAGATGGAATGAAGTTCTTGTTCACGTCGACTGAAATACCTGGAGACTAGTTGATAGTCTAGATGATGCCCTCAGTTGCTTGTTACATGGGTCATGACTTTTATATGAACCACCGAAAACTCAATAAATTCCACCCATTTACTCAGTTTACTCATCCTAACTCTTGGGAATCATCGCAGCCCAAGGGCAGAAACCACTTGGGTCCTAATGCCTGACACGTCGACTGGCCGCTGTGGCTGCAACATGTCCCATCTGCGCGACATGATGCACGGGTGTGCAGCCATCTTGATCGGCCTCTTTCGGAGTTCGGAGGCTCTTCAGCAATTCTTCAGGTGCAACGGTGCAACTAAGGGATGGTTCCTAGCTGCAATCATTCTCTGGCTTTGTTCAGCAGGTGGCCACAATTCCAAGACCACCAGCTGGACCCTCAGCAGACCTGAAGCAAAAAAAAGCGGCTTCCTGCGCGATCTTGTTTGAATCATCTTCGACTAAAAACGTTCATTTGAATCTGGTGATACCAACCTAAGCTGCCAAGGCTTGCTTGACTGCCTTGGCTGCTTTTCCTTCAAATTCATCTGCGCCATCACGTCCTGCCTGGATCGTTTTGCTGCAGCATCTGTCATGCTCAAGGCTCTGAAATATATGGGATTTCCAGAAAAATGATGGGTTTAAGTAGGAGAATAGGTTATATGCATCCAATGTGCATCTAAAAAAAATGTGACCCAATAAAACGACCCTGCAACTAGGGTTGCAACTATAGGGATTGTGACTAGTGTTTCGACATAGAAAAGTTATTTAAACATGATCAAACTGGTGGCTTCAACCCCATTTTGCCTTGAAATCCCATGTTTTGGCTGCTTCAAATCCCGTTCTCTCCAAGGAGCCACGTCTTGGGATCCTTCCATTGCCTCACTGCGCTGAATGCCTTGCTACAGGCCCCCGCGGAGCTGGCCATGATCTGGAAGGCCAGGGTGGAAACCAGCGCCACAGCCCCGAAGATGTGGAAGACGATGGGGTACTCCAAGTGCCTGAAGCCCCTCGCGAAACACAATGGCTGGGATCTTTGTTGGCAAACTCACAACTTCTCCAAAAAAAACAACAACGGTGCCCTGATGTTCCCATCAAACTAGCTGGTAGTTGTATGGATGCTTATACCCCCCAACGCGTGGCCAACCATCCAAAATTCCAGGGACAAATTGGGGTTGCAGGATTATGTTTTTTGGGTGCACAAACTGTGCAGGTAGAAGACAATGGGTGGGACGCAAATGACACCTCTTGTGGAGGGTGAAGCTTTCCGTTTGGTGTCAAAGCCAGGAAAATGGGTTGAAAGCCTTCGTACTGAAACAATCCCTGCAATGCCTGCTTGATAGGTGAATCATAACCCCTGCAACTCGTCATGAACGGAGTTTGTATTGCACGCAAAGTGAGAAATCTCCTGTCTGGTTGTAAGTTGTATACATGGTTAAAGTGGATAATCACGATAATCATACCCCTATCAAACCAGCATCAACAAAGCAACAACTACTAAATTTGTACCGTGTCACCAACTTCCAGGAATCGTTTCAGGTGAGACCAACTAACACCTGCACTCCCACACCGAGTGGCGCATTTTTGGTCAGAATGGTCGCGGAGGCCCGGACCACTGCCTCTGCGGCCAAGAAGATTAAGGCAAAGGTGCCTGCAGGCCACAGGGTATGGTGATGTACGGCTGAAATGAAAGGATCCCTAGTAAAGCTAAAGGTTACCCGGTTACCTGTTCATTTCAGGAAAAGAAAACATATTCCTTTCAAAACCATTCCAAGGAAGGATGCAAAGTCCGTCACAAACGCCCTTTCGTCTACCCAACGGTTGAGGATTTGTTTGACCAACCCTCCAAAAACCAGCTAGAAAAGCGATCCAAAATCTCAAGTCTCAGTGCCCTACACTTACCCCACCTCCCAAGTTTCCCTTAAATCTCAACCTCAAAACCCCCGCCTGCCAACTCCGCTGTGATCTGGGAGGTACAGCGATGTTCTGCCTGAGCCACGCGCTGACAGCAGTTGGTAAAGAAGGCCCCTTGGCAAGTCCAGAGGACCCCAGCACCAATGCCACCAATAAGGGCACCTCAGTTGCGATGGGACCCTCGTTAACCCGTTCCCCCCCTAAGATTGAAGACTCATGTGGGGACCAACCAAAATGGATATGTTTTTCTGTTCCATATGCGGTAACCTCAAAGATCAACAGTTCAACCATGTCCCAAACATGTGTAAAAACACCCGAAATGAACCCATTTGTTCGGATGGTACATGGCTCATCTGGTGTCCTTTATTGGGGGTGTTCATGTCATTGGAACGTATCGCTAACGCCACTAGGGAGATGGCACTAGTGGGAACTATTTGCCAAACTTTGGCGCTTATGCTGGTAGAGAGCCTGCAGCAGAGGTTTCGTTAGTGAACAAACACCAGACCTGGGTTGATTCGGACAGATATAACCCAAAGAGCACTGGAAGATAATGGAAGTATGTGGGTTTGTCTGAAGATAGGGTACCCTAAAACCCAAGGAAATTCGATTGTCATTCCGAACATTCCGCATTCAATTTGCTATTTTGGGATATACCCCATTTTTGGACAACGTGCCATGTTTTTTTTCTCGCAGAAAGCAATGGTGACGGATTACAATCCGTGCTGGCGCACGCGTTGAAGGATGCCATTGGCATGTCCAGCACCCACCACCACCACCAGCCGTTCAGCGGCAAAGTCCTTGCACTTTTTGACCATGCTTTGGTACATGGATTCGTCTCTGGAAGCTGCCACTGCATCATAGATTTGTGGCAACATGTACCTGCAAATGCATAGCATATGCGCACCATTCACAAAGCTGGGCCCATGGCAAGAAGTGGGATTTTGTATTGTTTGCCGCTAACTTCCTCAAAAACATCGCATCTCTCTTACTGCCAGCCCCAAAAAAACATCTCCAAAAACATCCCAAGACACATCTCAATGGCCAAGATGATGTAGGTCTGCGCCAGACTTCGATCTTCCTCCTCCACCACCCCGGCGCTCTCGGCGGTGACCTCCACCCCACTGCTGAAGAGTCGCAGGATGCTGCTGGTCACCAGGCTGGCACAAAGCCCCGCCAGCAAAAAGGAGATCCAGACGCGGAAGGAGAAGCTGCCGAGATGCAGCAAGGTGCTACCCAAAGCGTCCACGCGGCCAAAGGGTGGGAAGAGAAACTGGAAAAGGATGCCTCAAGTTGAAGAATTGGGAATTTGAGCATCAAAAATGATGAAACATCGGGGTTTACCATTAATAATAGGGATTTAATCCATGAAGAATGACACTTGAATGGGTCTAAAAATTGGGGGAGTTATACCCCACATGACAAGCTTAATGGGGAAAATGACGATAACCATGCCTCGAAGATCCAAAGAATACCTAAATAAAGTTTGTCTAACAGTTTGCCATGGAAATTTGCCATATTTAAGAATTTAAGAGGTACCTCATTTACAAACGGGCCAGTTTCCATAGCTATGTTAAATGCCCAGAGGGTAAATCACGAAAGTATGGGTGGGAGAAGAATGAGAAAAGTTGCGGGTCAAGTGAAAAAAATGGTTTGGGATATGGACAGTATCAACAGGTGCACCCCTTCAATGTTGAAAAGGGATGAATTACCCACATGCGTTGATAAAGACTATTCAAGAGGGAACTTAGTTGCAAACGGATCATCTTTGAGTGCTCTGGAATGACGTCAAAATGTCATCTGATGTTTGGGAAAAAAAACACTCTCTGGGGGGCAGGGTTATATCGGGGTTCCCTCTTGTGACACAGTGGAATTGCCCCGTTCCCGAACAATTGGGCATTGGTTGTTCCTACTGCCAGCCACATCTTCCCTTTATTTTCCCACACCATCCAACAAGGTGCCCGTAGGCTAACTTGGTGAAGTTGACCAGAATTTACTGTTGACATATCTATAGCATCTATAGCATCTATAGCATCTATAGCTAATGGGGGTTATAACTAGTTATAACCCAACTACCGCACCCAGCTCCCAAACACAAAAAAGCCACGCGGAAAGGCGATCCAAGAGATCAAGGAATTCAGCAGATTGCAGGGGCTCGGCAGCACGGCCCAGCCCAGTTTGCTCCAGAAGCGGTCCAGGTCCACGTCGATGCAGACACAGCGGATCCCCAAATCCCGCGCCGCCGAGTCGGCGGCCAGGAATTCGGCCCCCACGCGCACGCTGAAGCACTGGATGATGCCGTACAAAATCTGCCGGGACGGGAGGACGGCTGGGGGACAACCTTTTTTTTCGGGGGGAAAATTCAAAAAAAACGTGAAAAAGCACAGATGGACTGTGGCAATTGTGCTACTTCACCATCCTATTTTCTCTCACCAAAAAAACTCAAATGTTGATGTCTAATAGTTTGGCCCAGACAAGGGGCGGTTTGCAGTATCCCAACAATAACCCTGTAGCCTGTAGCTGCGCATGTACATATGCACACCTTGAACCATCACACTCTCACTACTAGCAGTTTCGAATGCCCTCCTGGTTTGTTCCGCCGGTTCCAACACAAGCTATTGCGACCCAAAATAGTCCAACATTGGGCACCAATTAAGCGAAAGGCTGGTTATTCTTACCGCAAACCATCCAGCCATAGCCATCTCGCTACCACTGCAAGCAGCTCTAAATTGGTCCCAGCTGCTCCAATGCCAGAGAAGATCAAGGCGCACTCCTGGCACAGCTTCTTTGGCAGTGACCGTGGTCGCACCCCATCCTCCTTCACCGTGAACTGCGCCGTTACCCTGCGCCCGCTCTGGCGCAAGCGGATCAACTGCTCTCCGCACTCTTGACGTAGCAGCAACAGCGGAACCTGCTCCAAGTTTTTGCTGAAGAGGGGCGCCAAGACCCACTAAAACAAGGGCTGTAAACCCGCAAAATTGGTGAGATGCCCGATCAATTTGGGGAGAAGTGCTGACAAACCATGACCTGAACCCAGTTGTAAGCGGGGACAACTCTCCATATTCGGACTTGCTACTTAGGTTTGTTCTCCACCTAGTCAGTGATGTGGTCATTGTGCGTGCGTGAGGTTAAGGTTTCCGGTATAGTTGCGATAGTCATATCAACCTTTAAAACAACTCCATGCAATAGACATGTGAAAAAACATTGATGGGGCTGGCTCAACCTCTCCTACTGTGGTGCTCATTTGCCATCAGTGGATCGCCAAGGGACGCTGGGCAAAGCACAATTGCCAGTGGTACACGCATAGCGTATCTCATCCCAGACCCGGGTCATGCCGATCTTGTGCGCTGGCAGATTTTCCTTCACCAACCCACACCCTACATGCATCAGCAGTGGAGCTTCAAACTACGGGGTCATCACTGGGTCACCCTCACAGGTTGATTGTCTTATATTGTCTTGTTGGTTCCATCCCAAGTTGGCCTGCTCAATCAGTTTTTTGGGGGGTTGGTTTGAATCCCCAGCATGATGTGCTTCTTCATTTTGTCCCATCTTGACTCTGAAAATATTGTCTGACAAGATTGGTTTGTCTGAAAATTCCCCAAAGTCCAATGGATTCGAACCTCATTTAGAAAAAGTGGCCATATACAATATACTGCACCCCTTTTTCAGACGAACCCAGGTCCCATCACAAAGCCGAAAAAAACAAAAAAGCTCCTCCCAGTTCACCACAAGTAGGGCAGATGCACCTGATTTGGCCGCCTGAAGGAGTTGCGAGGGCTCCACAGATCCAAGAAAATGAGTCCATTTTGGGCCATTCGAAAAGAGGATAGTCAACTCATGTGGGGATCTAATGTGCCTGAAAAAATCCGGGAATTTCGAAGGTTTGTTTTGATGATCCCGGAGTCCTTCTATGTTGAAACGGGCTTCCCTGGTTGTCCTTCTCCGGGAACACTAAAACCCGGATGGATCAGTTGACCTCCACGAAAATGGAGCTGATGGTTGTGGATCTTCCATCCCCCAATCCCCCCATAAGCGACCCATTCCAATAATTTACAACAACTCAATCCTGTTTCATGTAGAGTAAATATGTACTTGAAACCATATTCTTAGCCTACATCATACATCCCTATCTATCTATCTATCTATCTATCTTATCTTATGTTATCGAATCTAATCTAATCCAATCTAGTCTAATCCTATCATATCCTATCTATGAATTCCAACATCCTTCCCCCATCCTGGTACGCTTTGGTGGTGAAGGGCGCCAGCTGCTGTTCCAACATCTCTTTGGGCGGCTTCCGAATCAGCGCCATGAAGTCCTCGCTTCCGCCGTCGGTTTCGCCGTCGAAGCCGTCGAAGGCCTCCAGGGCCTGGCCGTACTCGTCCTCCGGGCTGAAGACGACCTCGCCGCCTGAGCTTCGGGGAACTGGAGCCCAACAAAAAAACAACACAAACAAAAACAAGTGACAAACAGAATGAAATGCAAAAAACCAAATCAAAACAAACGTTAAAAAACAACAGGAACTAAACAGAAAAGATAAACAAAAACGGACTCCCGCCCTCCCCCCCCCCCCTTCCCCCCACCGCACCACCCACCTCCTCACTTAGCCCCCCCCCCCCACCTACCCCCCCATTCACGCCTCCCGCACCCCCCCTTTCTCCCCCCGGCCCTCCCCCCCCTCCCCCCTGCGACGCCTCCCACCTACCCCGTACAAAACTCCGTCCACCACACCCCCACACCCCCCCCCCATACCTTCCCCCTCGCCCCCCCCTCTAGACTGCCACAGCTTGCGGAAGCTCCCCCGACATAAGAATCCCCAGGCCTTCCCTCCCACAAAGTCCCCCCGCCCAAAACCAAAAAGGACGACCTCGCCGCCTGAGCTTCGGGGAACTGGAGCCCAACAAAAAAGTTGGATGATGGTCATATATTTTTATACTAATCATCCAAAAATGTCTGGAAATCGGATAAACTAATCTCAGGTATGGCTTTGATCTCTGAAAAATTGGGGCAAACACCCAATGTGATTGATGGTTTCTCAGAATGTTGTTTTTTATTTGATGGCCATTGTTCAGACAGACCCCTATGGACTGAGGTTTAAAAGACGGGAAGTCCATCCACTGACAAATGCGGTGTGAAAAACCTCTTTAAGATATTAAGATATTGCTATGTGTTTATTGGGAAATGATGATTAATTAACTGATTTACAATCATTTTTTGGGGGGGTAGCTTATTTTGGGACAGGGCCGGGGGTAGCTTTTAGAGGTGGTGTTTGGCCATCAGCAGAAACGTGCTAATGAAAATGAGGCGATATGATGATATATAGAAGTTCAATTTTGGGACACAAAAAATGTTGGGAGGAGAGGAGAGGAATCGAAAGTCAATGGGTTGATTCTTGAAGCTACACAAACCCGTGGTCTTTACCCTCAAATAGAGGTGTGAAAGAGTAGGTTCTACCTGAAACCGGTTCCAGCAAGTGTCATCAGAGTCTGGCTGGTGGTTGCCCAAAGATGAAGTGAAGAATGGCAGGAAAACCCTATATCTCAATAGGTTCCTTTGTTTTTTGCTTGAAATCAACCCAATGATACTTGAGGAACCCAAAAATATGGGCATGGTAGACCCCAATATCGTTATGTTTAAGCATTGTCATCGTCATCGTCATCATCATCATCATCATCATCATCACCATCACCATCACCATAATCATCATCATCACCATCATCATCATCACCATCATCATCATCATCACCATCACCATCACCATCATCACCATCATCATCATCATCATCATCGCTGTCGTTGTCGTTGTCGTTGTGGTTGTCGTTTCACACACACCCATATATCCCCATTATATATTGCTAGTTCATACCCCCATTATCACTGGTTGATATCCCCCAATGTTTGATGGTTAAAAGTTAAATGCCCAAAAAGATCAGGTACTCCGGAAAGCAAACATCGAAAATGTGGGAAAAACTAAACCGTCAAAGAGACATGTGTTTGATTCCAATGCTGACTTGTTTGATCTGGTTTTCATAGTTTCAAGCCAAAAAAAAATAGGACAGTCGTTGGGGATCATCATCTGAATGGTCGAAAATGACAATCGTTGGGGACCACCATCTGATGAAATTTAAAATCAATGGTTGATCATCATCTTCACCAAGCTGAGGCATTTTGGCGCTATACCCTCGTTTTTTAGCCACAGTGACCCAATTATACTACAATATCCCATGAAAATGACAAGACAATCTCAATGATATTCCATGATATTCCATGATATGCCATAAAAGTCATCTACCATCAAGACACACATCTGTTCGTTGGCCGCTTGCGTGTTCCAAACTGCCCGCTGTGCGTAGGTCGAAATCTCCACCGCCGGCGAGGTCCCCTCTGCGGGTGCGCGAAAGGTGACGGCCTGCAGGATCGCCTGGGCGGACAAAAGGCGCAGGATGGAAAACCAATAAAGATGGGATAATAGATGGTTTAATAGGTTTAAATCATAAACCCCATCAACCAATGGTTAAACCCCATGGTTTAATAGGTTTCCAATTCTTCATCCAAAAATTAAACCATCAACCAATGATTTTCCATAAATTCCCATCAACCAATCAGCTATAAACACATGGGGATTCTTCATCGGGAGTTGATGGGAATTCATGGAAATTTATGGTATCATGGGGTTTTCATGAAGATTCATGGGATTTATAGCTGATTTATGAAACTTGCGAGATTCACCGCCAGTGCCCTTCGGTCATCAAACGTGGCTGGCTGCGAAGTCCCCGAACTAAATGGAGGCTTTAATGGGAAAATCATCAAATTAAATGAAGGATGTTATAGCTGGGAAAATCCATGAACTAATTTTTTGGGATTTCCCAGCAAGCCATGTTTGATTACTTTGACTTTCGCAGGTAACGGTGTTTTCATGTGATAATGCCAATATATCATAAATATTCATAAATCATAAACCATCGCTAAGTTTGATTAGTGAAATGGAGTATATATATATAATGATATAGAATAGCCCCCAGTCATGCTTGGTGCATGGGATGGTTTGTGACATTGTGTTTACCACATTATATTGCACCTAATCAACAAGAATACAGATATTTGGACAAGTATAGAAGATCTGGGAATAGGTCGAACATGGGGATAGAAAAACCAACGGTTAGCTACTGGGATAATCCAGAAATGACGAAAGTAGGATGGGGAGATAGAATTGTGTTTTTACGTGTTAAATTGAGTGGATTAAGGATATATAAAGCTTCAGAAAGTTAGTGATGTAACCACCCATCATCGGCATATTCTTGAAAATCAATATTTAAAGGTGGCAGAATGAACCAGTAATCCTTCACCAGCAAGAAGAAGGATATTTCTACAGATATGGAAGCTTTGGGGAGTCAGACATGGAGGTGCCATATCTGACCCACAAAGTTGGTCCTTTTTTTGTATGATCCCATCCATATGTTGAGTCATATGGAAGCAGGTCCAACTTTGTTGGGAAATCACCCGGACCAACTTTTGATGTTCGGAAAATATGTTCCATCAAGAGTCTATCTTAGGAACAAATGAGTCCGGTGGATATTATGTCAAACACCATTAAGGAATGGGTTGTTGATGCTTGATCCATTATTGGTGACAACTGTTGAACATATTATATTGGTAATTTGCCTGTCCGAAACTAGGGTACCCCATGTCTCTTGATCGATCGTCATCTTCCGGGTTGAAATTGCCATTTTGGGATGTCCCCATTTCTGGGAAACCCAAACTGCTCCAGAAAAATCAGAAATGATCTTAAGAAATGGATGAGATATCATCTTGGCTCTCATTTCCCAACACTTCACAGTATCCAAGTGAGTGTTTCAACTCTGGTCCCTACACCCAATAGGTGTCATTGAGGACGACATCCCCATATTGCATGTCATACTGCCCATTCCCAATTTCAATGCTACAAAACCAAAAATCCAACTCTTGTAATCATCAACCACCAGGGATGAACATTTCACAATGGTCCCCTAAGGGTCGCACCAGTTTAACCTTGCTTCAATGGGGGAGTCTTGCCACAGTTGAATCCACAGGATGGAGCTTTCGGGGATCCCCGTCACCATGGTGACGTTTCCATAGCAACCACCATAGCAGCAACCACCGGTGATCCCTGGGCCCCTCCGCGACCGCCTGTTGTAGTTGCTCTGGGGTCATCTGCTGAACCGTGGGCACTTGGCGCATCCGATTCAGGCGCTCTTCGAAGCAGTTCGGTTGAGTGCGCAAGAGGCGAAGCTGCAAAGCCAAGAAGTCAGAGTGGGTAACGGTTAGGGGAGACACACGGAGGGAGGGTGAAAAAGAGAGAAAGGAGGGACTAAAAACAGAAAGATAAGCGATCTCATCTCTTCGTCTAATTCGATCATGGCCACGGTAGGTTTGGTGCTGCGAATCACCCTCCACACATCCTGCATGCACGAAATTACGCATTGCTGGTGATGTCATTTGGCAAAAAACCAGATGTAACCTGATAAGATCAAATTGGAGATCTGACGCAAATTGACAAAGGAACTTGATGCAAGCGATGAAAACAATGACTTGGTCTGTCCGCAAAATGGATGACCAATAAGAAACCACCCTCCCGGGGTCCGTTGTAAATACAGAAACTGTGTAGCAATGGCCTGCCCCTATTTTCAGACACACTCAAATGCCTAGCCACCTCAGTATATGGTACGAGAATTAGTGAACCATTTTGGTGCTAATCTCTTGAGAGGTATACTTCACTTAAGACCCCAACAGCACAAGAGACATATGTGCGGTGGAAATGCAAAAAGGAAAAGGTTCCAAAAAAAAAAAACGTGGTTCCGTGGGTCATGGCACAAAAGCCCCCTTTTTGCCCTTGATTCCCTTCTCTTCGTCTCCTTAGGCGCGCGCGGGGAGATGTGGACAGTAGCCACTAAGAAGAGGTCACGGCCATCCGCATGCGCGTGGGCGCAGGTGTACGGGATACTTTGTCCCAGCTTGGTTTTTTCTTCGCAGTAGGCCCGGTAGATCCTCCACAGGATCATCAGCAGCCCCAAAATGGCCAGAAAGCCTTGGAAGGCGAAGTGTTTAAAAAGGGCGGTGAATATGTCTTCTTTTAAGGAACATGTAGAGTGAGTTGCAGCAAAAAGGGGGTGCCCCCCAAACCCAACATGGTGACTCTGAGTGGGTGGGATTTGATTAAAACTAAGCCAGCAACTGCAGATTGATATACCAAAGGAAGAAAAACTCAGAGCAAAATCCAAGACTCCATAGACCACTCGATCCGGGAACTCTGAAAACATCGCATACCATAAGGGCACCGAGGCTGCTAGGTCCAGCAAGAACTGCAGGAGCGACCAGAACCAGTCAGCCCAACCTGAGTTGTTGAAGCCAAAAGAACAAATTAGGAAAAACAGACCGAAAATTCCCAAAGGTTTGGTGTCTTTGCCAAAAAAAGACATGCTGACATGCTGTTCCTTGAATGTCCCCAACCAACATGTTCACGTCAGAAGAGCTTCAGAAGAGCTGCTTGGATTTTCACCCCGCATTCATATGGGGAAATCATAGGTGGCTTGCCCCAAACTCATGTTGTGGTGGTTCAATCAGAGTTTCAGCGGGTTGGTTATAAAATAGTAGATTTTCAGGTGGTACCCGGTGGTAGTCTTATTGGAAAATCACAGGTGGCACGCCATTGTCAAGTCCTCATCCTTGTTTCTGCTCGTTAAAAGTAAAAAAAATGCTGGTAAAGTGTTCCTCAGCTATGAAAAATATCTGGCAAAAAAAAAACTCTGGTCCCTTCAAAACTGGAAAAACATGAAGAAACGTGCCTTCTGTAAATGTGGGATTCTCAAGAAATCTCACATGTATGGTCAAAACATGCCATACAGGTTATGGTCATCCATCCCATATTGAGAATCCTTGTAATGTGGGAAACCCAATGCAATAACCCTACCATTTGGGAATGGTTTCAGTCCCACCCAAAAAAATGCTACTTGGGGATGGTTTATGGCATTGGGCTCATATAGATAGATAGATATATATATACCCGCAGAACCAGACGTTCGCCCATGCTCACATAATCTCCGTTTTTGCCACGGTTTTAACACTTCCCTCATCCAAATCCACAGGGATTCCCGCCATGTTTCCATCATTTTTACCATTGGTTCCATAATGTCGCATTTTTCCCAGGATGTACCCTATGTTCAATCAATTCCATCACTACAGAAGGATCTAAATCTGCCACCCCCTCCAAACAATACGTATAAAGGTCTTCTAATGATTATGTTGTATTCTATCTTATGCAAAGTACAAGTGGTGCAAAACGGCCACTTTCTGCGAGAAAACCCAGGATCCGGGAGAACCAGAAATTTACGCCAAGAACCCTTCCACGACTTCGTGGGGGTCTGTTGAAAACTCGGGTCGTTTTACCCGAAAAACATAGGCTCCAGGCAAACGTCCGGATCTGTGCGTGTATATATATATATATATATATATATTATGGATATATGATATATGTATATATACATCTAAATTTATACATATATATATATATATACATTATGGATATATGAGATATGATATGTGTATATATATATATGAATTAATATAAATCTCGATTCATAGATTGATGACCATCCCCCAAAAAAAATCGAAGTCACCGGGCCACGGCAGGCGCCTTCCTCGCTGCTCTCCGAGTCCTCGGACTTCTCACCGTTCTCCAACAACTCGATGCATTCCTCCGCCTCAACCATTCCAAGGGCCTCGAAGGGTAAAGGCCGTGGCCTTCGAAAACGGGAAGGGGGTCATGTCTGGATGAAAAACCATCAAAACATAGGGGGGTTATATAGCTGGATGTAGCTGGATTTATGTGGATTTATGTAGGATGTCACTGATGTCACTATCATTTATGTAGCGATGTTTACTACTAAAAACCCATTGAATTCTTGGAATGATCCTCCAGGAATGATCCTCCAGGATCTAGCTGAATCTGCAGCTGCCAAGCATTTTCATTACACAACTGGATGCCCATCCCAGGTGAGGCATATCCTAATCTGTTGGAAAAATGGGGTGTGCATGTTCTCCCCAATGTTGGCCCCCAAGAAAATGTTGTTCATGTCACCTCTGAAAATCACCGTGTCGTTCTCTTTGTTAGTAGGAAACACTAACAAAACTTGATATACGCGAAGGGGTGTCATCAAACATGGCAATGAAAACTCCCAAGAAAAATCGATGATGTTCCCATTAAAACCCCAGCCTGCCATCTTTGATTGTTGGTTAGTTATATCGGACATAATCACCCATTATATCCTCGATTATAGATTATTTTCCAGTGATTTCCCATTGGCAGCTATGTTTGATTACAAAAGCGTATATTCCAATTATGTTCCCATTATATTCCAATTATATCCCTATAAATCACTAGTGTATCCCCATGAAATCCCTATGAATCCCTATAAAATTCCCCTATTCATCCCCATAATTCCCTACAAATCCTACAAGTTTCTATAACTATCTAAATTATATCCCTTTAAATCCCCTTTTGTTTCTCATGTGTCAACTTGAAATCACAACTTGTGCCCCTAAAAGCTGCCTTCGTCTTTCCGCCCACAAAAATCCGCGAGCCAGTGCGAGGCACCGGGCTGGGCCCAAATGGCTACCATCATCTGGATTCACTGTACACATATATTATTTATATGTATATATGTATGTGTATATATATATATATATATGTGTGCCTATGTTTGTGTACACAAATATTTCTACTTAACTATATTTTTTGGTATAATTTTTGGTAATGTTTTTGGTATAATTTTGGTATATTTCTTGGTATATTTGTGTACCCTCCAGTAATCAAACATGGCTGGGAAATACCCAAACGAAATTAAAATCAGAATTTAGATGGGAAAATAATCTAATTATAAATGAACGATCGTCCAGTACCATGTTTGATTACCAGAGAGTCTATATATCATATATATATATATACGTGTAATATATCATATCTTTTGGGGTACGGCGAATAGTCAGCAGGCAGAACCTCGCACATGACGAAGGAAAATCGCACTGATCATCTACAAAGAGCCCATCAAAACTGTTGCCGAAATAGGCTTTAGTCGTGCACTCATACCCCATAAACTCTGCGATCATATTCATCAAGCCTGGTAGTCTTCCCAACAAATATCCAAAATATTTGGAACAGGTTGGCATGTGGTTTTGTCCACAAATACGCTATACTCCAAAAATACACGGGTTAATCATAATATGTCGCATCAATCCGCAGTAAATGGCGATAAATTTGTTGTATTCTATGATGTTCAGACACCAAATATCCCGATGTTTGTCATTTCATGCCCTAATTTTCTGCTTGATATCAGCATCTTTTGGATGATTCAATCCCTAAATAATCCCTAAAATCCCCTATTTGGGCTCCCTATCTCTGCTGTAACTCACGGCACCCGCCAGGTTCACGGGCAGCTGATAGGTGTTGCCAACAACGCAGGCGCCGTTGCTTTCGTTGCGCCGGTCGCAAAGCTGGGCGGCCACGGCGAAGAGGAGAACGTAGACGCTGTAGAGTCCCATGGAGAGCGTAAGGCCTGTGCCATGGTGCCATGGTGCCATGTTGGTGCCATGGTGCCATAGTGTCAAGTTTCCATGGGATTTATGGTTTTCATAACGGTTAAATGTGGTTAAATTATATGATGATCATGATGGTCATGCATCCCATACTGGGAATCCTGGAGCAATGGGTTTTTTTCAATCCTGGAATGTCTTGGATGGGTGAAATCTGGAGGTTCCACCCTCTTAAGGGTTCGATGGAAGTTGAAAAATGTGAAAAATGTGAAACTTACGAAATGATTCAAAAAGAAGATTGAAAGATCTTGAAAGCACTACAAGTTGGAGGGTCTTGGCTGGTCTCTTGGAACTAGAAATGACCAAAACATGTTTGTGAGGCTTTTTGTCTGGCACAGTCTGGGTTCGGTGGCCAATTTACCAAATGGCGATTCCCAGCACTACCAAAATCACACACCCAACCGCGGCTCGCGCACCTTTCTTAGGGCCCACCACACCAAAGATGAGTGTAGAGAAGAAGAGGCTGCAGATCAGGGTGGATCCATACAGCATGGCATTTCCAGCTTGTCCATTTTCATTGGTCAACACTGAGGAAGCATAAAGGATTGGGGTGGTCACGGTTGCGTGGTTGATCGCAACCTCGGATTCGAGTTCAAAAGCTCAAGAGTCATTGAACCTGGCATTGTAAAATCAAGCAAGATAGGTACAGTAAATCGCATGCAAATCCAGGGCTAAAAGCACCGCCATGTTTGCTAAAAAACTGCCGTTTTCCCCTCCAAAAATGTGGGTGCCCAACCTACCTGCTTTTTCGCCTTTACCAATATCCTCATTCGAAGTCGCAGTTCGACACCTTCTGAAATCAATGTCGAACACCCAAAAAATGGCTGGGCAAATAACTTTCGGGTTGCAAATGGGCACGTGTTGTTTTCTTGGCTCTCCCACAAAAAAAAATGCGAGTCATACAGTCTGTAATTTTCTACAATCTGTCTATACTCCGCCCCATCCAAAATCGGTAGTTGCATGTCCTGGTAGGACTGCCATGGTGAAACTAAGACTTCGAGGAAATCCACTGGTTGGATGTACCGGACCAATTGTTTCTGTGGTTTCCAGATAAAGCACGACTGGTTCAACCATGGGATGTTTACCACCTTTTTTTGTCCATCTTACACTTACAGATTAGCATCATTATGATGGGCCCCGCAGCTGTCATAGCTACCATCTGGATGCAACTAGGATTTGATTGATGTCGTATATATTGGCTGGCTTGGGTTTCAGATTGGAAATGATTGGAAACCCTTGCTTACATAAATCTTCCCTAAACAATTCTGGGAGTAGAGGCCCAGGCACCGTCCAGCTCATGATATGAAATTCCTGGCGGCAGAATTTGGCCTCCAGCGATTTGGACTCCGGGTCGAGCTCTGTACAGACCGCCACCGGGTTTGCCGTCTCCACGTCGCAGCCTGGTTTTGTGCTGGCACAAGCATGGAAATCAGGCACGACTCTGGGAGAAGTTGAAGCAACATACAAATCATGGTCCTCACAAACGGCTGCATCAATGGTCCTTATTTGGTGGATCATCCCACTTTACTAAGTACGAGTAGGTTATAACCGCAATTATATGTGGATTAGCCCGATTTATCCCACTTATAACCAGGGACATAATATAACCTACTTACTAAGTGCGATCATCCGCCAAGTACGTCATGAAGTACCACTAAGTCATGAAGTACCACTAAATAAGTCCCGAGGCGCCAATGGCACTGTCAGTCCCCATGGCGCGCTGTTCGCAGACCCCACGTCGATGCCAAGTTCAAACTATGAAGGGCCCAAATGGCTAGGGATTGGGCACCTCATCAACTTGGACAAATTCAACAAGCTGACAGTCAGTTAGCGGATGAACTAACAGTAGATGACTAATCCTTCATCACTTCAGGAACTCAATGTCTTGGGACCCTCGATAAAAATCTCCAGAGGTTTGCAAGGACATTCTTCGTGTGAAGTTCAAATCCTCAAGACGGATCCTTGCCGAAAAATTGACATTAGGGCTTGGGTAAATCGTGGAAAATCCATGAAAATGGAGGTCCATAGCTGGGACAATCATCAATTTCTGGGTGGGGCGGGATTTCCCAATTGCTCTGTTTGATGACACCGGAACCATGGAACCATCACCCGTTGTCTTTGGCCATGCCTTGGTGACCGGTCGCCGATCGCCGCGATCGCCCTTTTGGTGCCACCATCCAAAGATGGAATACCTCGCGCTGGGCAGATGCCTACCTTCAAGGTGGAGAAATAGAATCTCCCCGACCCCATGGTAATTTCATGGCGCCAAATTGGTGGCAAACCCAGTGGACGGATGATTTTGGGAGGTTTCAAAGAGAAGCTTTCTACAGTAGAATACAGGGGATGGTTAAAGATTGGGGAACCTTGAACTATTCTAGTTCCTTGTGGTCCCCCTATGCTAAATAATATGATTTGCAGAGATGTGACCCAGTTTTTGCGCAAGTGATCCACTCCTCGTCCCCAAGCTCAGCCAAACGTCGAACTACCTCACCATGGCCTAGTTGCGATGCAAATTCCAAAGTAGCATCACTGTCGGCACCTGATTCTATCAGGAAACAAACAATCTCACCATGGCCCTCTTTTGCTGCAACAAACAACGGCGCAACGCCCCGTTGTGATCGGGCTGGTCTCTGGCTGCTCGAACCTCCACTAGGAAGCAGACAATGTAAAGGTTGGCCCCTCGCAGCTGCAACGAACAGAGGTGTCATACGTTCAACTGACTCACACGCGTCTACCTTTGCTTCCGCCTCCAGTAGCAGTCGTGCAGCTGCAACATGTCCGGTCTCCACAACATGATGCAAGGGTGTACAGCATACTGGTCGCCCTCATTGGGATTCAGCGGGCATTTTAGCAACTCTTCAAGTGCAAATAATTCCTTATCCCTGGACGCCGATATGATCTTCCGGCTTTGTTCAGCATCCGGTGGCCAATATTCCAAGACCAGCTGAACTTTCAGTGGAGCGGAGGCAAAAACCTCATGATCCAGAATCTCATGGGAACCATCTTCCACGAAGAATCTTTGTTTGAATCTGGAAATGCCAACCTTATCCGTCAAGGCTTGCTTGACGGCCTTGGCTGGTTTGCCTTCAGACTCATCTGCGTCAAGAACTGCTAGCACATCCCCCGAGATTGCAAACACCTCCATTGCTGCTACACCCTGGGTGTTTTAGTGCGAAGAAACTGCATCCATACCGCAACAAACCGGCAAGGCCTAGACAAGCAATGCCCGCATCTGCCATCTTCTGGCCATACCAAGAAAAACAACCTCAACGGACTTCCTGATGCTTCTTCTATGAACATCATCTTAAGCTAGGGGAAAATATCTGGGATCAAGCGTTTGTTGACCTTCAACCTTTTGCTCTTTGGAAGACCACTACAATTTTTGGGTCAATCACACTGTTACGATCAATTTTTCGTTGAGCCCCTGAAAATTGTCTACAGGAAACTGTCAGAGGGCAAATAGAATGGAATAAAACTGGAGCTGAAATTGTTCAAAAATTATCGGAAAATTATAGCAATTTAATACATATATATATACATATCTGTATGATTGTGTGTGTTAACCGAATTCTATCTAATCTTATCTAACCTTTAAACTTTGTCCTATCTCACATCTTAACCAAATCTTCTCAAAAATTAAATTTCCTGGGTGGGATTTTCTGCGTTCTCTGTATTCCCACCCACCCAAAAAAATATGTGCCTCTACCCCAAAGCCTCCACTTTTTATCACATGTTATCAGGACTTGAAACAAAATAATTAATACCCTCTGGTAATTTAACATAGCCATTGAACATGGCCATTACAAATATAAAACAATGGGGATTTCATGGGATTTCGCTATGTGAAAGTCCCAGATGGTATCCCAAACACCACGCCTCCAGCGGTCCGAGGTCACAGCAGAGACTGCGTGCCAGTGAGGCACCTGCAGAAACCAAAATCGCTGCCTTTTTTGAAATCGACTTCAACGTTGAACCCAAAGTGACAAGAAAAATATGGAATTTTTACAATAATATTAACAGTAATATACATGATAATCATGACAGCCTGGCTGCGGGCGCCGTAACTGTTTTGCTTATGAACCAACCAGTGGACATCTCGGGAACTCACAAGAAGCTTGAGAAGCTTGGAAGGTGCTTCCAGAAGGGTCTACTCACAGGTCTGCAACATGTTCTGAAGAAAATGTCTTTCACAGTTTCTGAGTCTATGTTATATGCTTCTTATGTAAAAGAAAATGGATGAAAAATTGGCTACAATGTATCATGAAACTGGATACTTTACCACTAGACTGACAATACCCAAACTCGGAGTCTTCGGGAACTTCAAGAACCTCTACCCATTCCATTGGCTTCGTCCTCTAACTCAGATCTTTCACCACCTCAAAGACCACCAAGGAGTTGTAGATGGGTACCAGCTGTTTCTCCTTCACCTAACCAGGGCGTTTTGTTTTGGTCATGACATGTCATGACCCCAAAGAAATCCAGGGTGTCACCAGTTTTTTTCGGATCTTCCCATGATCGAAAAGTGGCGGAAGCCCCAAGGGGCACCTTCCTGCGATCGCGCCTGGTCCCCCAAATCTATGAGGCAACCGCCCTCTGCCTCGGACCATTCCTGTCTGGGATGCGAATGGGGCGGAGGATTTGAGCCCAAGTGCCTGGAAAAATGGGGAAAATCATGATGAACCATGAACAAACGTGGATTAAATGGAGTACCCAAGTTTCACACAAACAATTTTTGTTCGCCTTCAAGAAAATTTGAGATTAGATTTTTGGCATAAGTCCCCAGACTTCACAACTTCGACTAGCTAATGCAACGAGTCTCTCGCTTGGGAAGCAACATTTCATAGGAGGTGGATATGCTATTGCAGTCAAGGATTGGTGCATACCGGGACTATGATGTATCCAACTGTTGAAAACCTGCATTTTTTGTCACCCACAAAGAACAAAAGTCACTAGTATATTATTAACAGTATATTAACCATATATTAACCATATATTGACCATATATTAACAGTATTATAACTAAATCAAATATGAAAACGGATTATTTTCTGCTCAGAAAGTCATGGTCCTGTTCTGACCAAAGGTATTGGAAGCCCCCTCTCCTTTGTGAGGTACCAAATGGCCGCCACAGTTCGCGAATAGACGGTGGTGTCATCTTGGTAGGGGAAAAGTTGGACGAACCCTGCAATGCTGGAGGGATGCAGGTACAACACTGTGAGTTCGGAATGTTGCGCACCTTTGCAATATGTTGTATGCGGTCAGATCGTGTCGAAACCATATCCACGTAAGAGCCAATGGGGAAGTATCCCTAGTCCCCAGCTCCTTTTCTGAAGAGATATGCAATTCCTGTGCTAAGGTGAACTCTTTGAACATGTTCATCGAGACACAGCAGCTGTAATTTAACTCTGGTGCAGACCAGCTGCCAAAGAATGGCACCAGCGCTTGATCATCATGGCGTCCGATGAAGTCTGAAGCTCCATATCTGGCAGCCATGATATCCATGATATCCATGATGCCATGAGAACTGTGCCAAGGGTCATCCACAAACCTTCCATGTTTTCCATCAAAATGTGTCGCGTAATTTGAGCCTTGATTTTTGTTGCCGACCCATTGGCGCTTAGGTCCAGGTAGCCACATTTGTTCGGGATCGCCCACCAACAAACTCACCACCGGCCCGCCTTCCACATGAAAAAATGGGCAACGTGGGCTCTCCACGCAACTTGGGCAACATCTTCCAGAAAACACTCCTGGGAAACGACACAATTGTAACCAAGGCAAGGTGATTGTTGTTGGCCCCTCACTATTTAAGCCTTTTAATCATTAAGAACCTATATGTACACTATATATAATACATATATATATATACAGGGCGGAAGCTGGGGGTTCCCCGGAAGCCAATTGCAATTTAATTATATGGATATGGAAAATGTTGATTTCATACTGTGTTTTACAGTGTTTTTTGCCTTCCCTTGAAAGTGTTCCATCAGTGAAAATATCAATGTCGGCGCGGATAAACACGGAGTTTGTCCGCGCAGAAAAATGATAAATTTACATCTTCCATGGATGGCCAAAAATGCGTTCAACATTTTTCCCATTGGAATTGCGGTTTCATACATTTTTCAGTTTTTGTTGATAAGTACAACATGTCATAATCCACTGGAGAACCATGGACGAAATGAACATCACATATTTTTCCTCTTCGCTTTCCCAAAACTTTTTTTGGCATGGCGATGGAAAATGTTGTTTTTACACTGTGTTTTACAGTGTTTTATGTTTTTCTCTGAAATGGTTTGATCAATCGAACTTCCATTTTCATCGCGGAAGAACTTGACGTTTGTCCGTGCTGAAACAGGAAATTTTTACATCTCCCATGGATGACTAAAGATGTGCGGAACATGCTAACCATTTGAAGTGCGGTTTCTTTTATTTTGGTCGTTCTGTTCAGAAGTAGAACATGTGATAATGCACTGGAGAACCATGGACGAAATGAAGAACGCACCTTTTTCATCTGTACACAACAACGACACTTGCAACGTAGCAACATCTTCCAACCAAGCAACATCTTCCAGGATTCAACATCACCCAACGCACTTCACATGACGTTATTACACCCCCCCCCCACCAACCCCACCCCCCCTTCTGTAACAACAACGAAACTTGCAACGTAGCAACATCTTCCAACCAGCAACATCTTCCAGGATTCAACATCATCCAACGCACTTTCACATGACGTTATAACCCCCCCCCCCCCCCCCCCACCCCCCCCCCCCCCCCATCTGTATACAAGAACGACCTTTCTGGTATAGCATCAAGACTGAGGGTTCCTCGAAGCTCCGGGGAACCCCCAGCCTTGAGCCCATATACATATATACACTTATGCATACGCATCTATACTTATGTGTATATACATATATACTTTTGTGTATGTGTATATTATATCTATGATATATGCATATGTATATAGACATGTATACTTATGTGTATACTTGCATGAATTACTAAGAACTCACCAACCTGAAATAACACGGTTTTCGGAGAGTTACACCATGTTACACCATCGTTTCCAGTGACAACCAGTGATTTGACAACTTCCCAAGCGTTTTTTCACCTCAAAGGAGACAACTCAGGGATGTCCATGACATCTGCGGACCTCAGGGATCCATGAAGTCTGACCCCAATTTTTGCCCCAAAAAATCCACCAAAAATCTCCTGAACGGTACCAAAGAAGAGTCAGCTCTTTCCAAGTGAAGATGGATTGGTTTTGTTGGGAAAATCTTAACCGGAAACCATGGTTTTTACACCATCAAATTGCTTGGGTTTTCCGGTTCAAATTTTAACCCATCATCCAATTCTATGATAAATGGAATGAAGCCAGCAACAAACTGTGGATTTCTGAGAATTGAAATTTCTGTGGAGCCCGAACCAAAAGCGATGGCTCGCAGCGCCTTTGTCATTCTGATGGTGGCTCAGTTGCCATGCTTCCTGGAAAGTGGCTGTCAATTTGGCTTTGAAAATCGGGTACATCCCCAAATAACAATCTTAATATATCAAGGTATATGTGTGTCCAACCATTGGATCCAAATCCAACCAAATAACCAAAGTTGAGGGTTGTACATCAAACCCCAAATCATCCAAGTCACTAGACCATTTTAGCGTTGAAACCTGTGGTCTTGGGCCATGGGGTACCACCATTTTAGGAAACACCCAATCATTGCATTTTCCAGGCTCCTCAGGAAGGCTTTGAAGGATGGCCAGCACATTGTCCGCCATCTCTAGAGGCAGGTAGTCGCGAAAACGCAGGATCTGCCCGTTCGCCTCGTCGGAACTCCCGTGGCCTAGCCATGTAGCTTTATAACTGGGAAAATAGTTTATATTATTTTCCGTTGTCATGTTGAATTACCAGAGGGTAACTCAATTGAACCCTTCAAAATGGGTCAAAAAAACATCAGCGCACCTCCAACAGTGGCTCTTCCTCAGTAGAAACTGCGGAATCGATAAAAATCCCGGCAACTGCTTGGATCAACTCAAACTACGTCGGAGCTGGTGAATCCTTAACAAGTTTTGGATGGACAATTTTATGATTTATATCCCAAAATATCCCACATGATTGATGGTTTTACCAACGATTTTTCCAATTGTTTTAACAATTAAACCAATGTGTATGTTATCATGTGGTTGGGAAACTCTGATTGTAGCTCCAACTGGCTCCCAATTCCCAATATGGATACAACCATACCATTCACCACCCGGAACGGGTGTCTGAAAATGGCAATAACCCCCGTCAAAACCTAAGGAAAATGAGGTTCTAAACTGGCGGATGAAATCGGATATTCCCCTCACTTTGCAAACCCAGATCATCATGATCATCCCAAGCATCATGTTAAACTGGATTTTACTAGTTGATATATAAATGTAAATATAAATATAAATAAATATAAATATAAATATAAATACAGTATATATACTAATCATTACTAATTAATCATAATCCAATTAGTTAAGAATAGAATATCCTCACTTTTCCAGATGTCCTTCCCATGGCACTGAGCCCCCGAGCCAAGGCACCCCGCGATGCCAACCACCGCTTGGTGCGCTCACCATCGTCTGCCCACCGGCTCAAACGTCGAGCTGCCGCAGCCTGGAACAGGTCGGGACAGCTCAGTGGCCAGGAGGGACCCCACAGAATTTTCGCATTGTCATATTCGAAGACTGGCGGTACCCTTAAAAAAACAATGTGAAATGTATATATGATCCCGTCTTCCAACCGCGAGGTCCCCCCCCCCATGGTATGGGTCCCCAGGTAGCACCCCGTTCCCTTCTATTTGCAAGCTATTGGCAGCATTTCTGAGGTCCAGCCTCGTATTTGTTAGGTTTTTGCAGCGATTCTGACTACCAGCCTCGCATTTACTAGGTACATGCTACCTTTTCGACGACCTACGTAGCACACATACTCCCTCAAAGTACCTACGTGCTACCTATAGTTATATATACACGTGCTATGTATCTACTTCAAATATATATATATATACATATATACATATTACATATATATATATATTATACATGCATACATATACATATATATATATTATACATATATATATATGTTTGGTCAACTTGTGTCTGCAGAAGGCAACGCCCAGACGCTTTCTTTTTTGTCTGGGGCTCACCTGCACGTGTTGTTGGCTCCAGTGGCCTCGCTGATTATTGTACAAAGACTGGAAGGTTGCCCTCTGCTTACTGTCGGTTTGTCACACAGCGAGGTTAGCTGAGAGTGCTAAGGGATGTATTCTGAAGGTCTAGATGTAAATCTATTGCACTGCAACAGTGGAGGAGGGGAGGAGGTGGTTGACCCAGAAGCCTGCAGCCACCAGGTGAAAAAACATGTGAGTGGCATGTTTGGTCAACTTGTGTCTGCAGAAGGCAACGCCCAGACGCTTTCTTTTTTGTCTGGGGCTCACCTGCACGTGTTGTTGGCTCCAGTGGCCTCGCTGATTATTGTACAAAGACTGGAAGGTTGCCCTCTGCTTACTGTCGGTTTGTCACACAGCGAGGTTAGCTGAGAGTGCTAAGGGATGTATTCTGAAGGTCTAGATGTAAATCTATTGCGCTGCAACAGTCCCAAACTTCCCAACTATCCCAGGGCACAACAGTTCCAATCAAACAACGCGGAGGCGTGTTGGGGTGCGGACGGCAGGTGGTGCACGTAATCTATGCCCTACAATGGCACCTAAAAATCCAAAAAATGCATGCCAGAACCATTGAGTGAAAAGATGCGATTGCTGCAATTCGTATCCTGCTGTCTGGAGCTGGACAGATGGTCCTGCTGCTGGTGGAGCGATCAGTGTGGTTTCGAGGTTAACTGCTACTTCGTCCAGGATGGCATCAAGTATGATGGCAACTAACCCCACTGATCTGCGCAGTGCCAAGCGTATACCTAGGGCCAGGCCTTTGGCCAGGACCAAATAAAACAGTGGCCTGGACAAAAGGATCAGCAGCAAAGCTATTAACCCGATTGACAACACTATGCGAGCTCGCATGAAAGTGAACAGCCATGTACGCCAGCTCTTCAGTCTCAGCAACCAACGTTGATACTTAGTGGGCTCGGGGACGGTTGAAACCCCCGGACCCAAAGCTCGCTCTGAGACTCTGCGTTTGGCAAACTGGTTGAACCTTGCGTCACTTCGGTAAGACTTTGCTGCTTTCTTCAAGTCTTCCCAACCCACGTCAAAGAACTGGGCCCCTTTCAAAGGACCGCCGGAAACCACGGCTTTTCTAAACTGCTTGGCTAAGTCGTCCCCAGCTGCGGACTGCTGCGGCTGCATCTCGCTCATGGCTAATGCTGCAAATGGGTGAGGCAACTAAGTTCTCAGATGGCACTCGAGCTCTAAAGAAGGCGGGCAGCGACAAGAGGAAACTGCTCTTCTTCAAGAAGCTTTTCAATTTTAGAGCCACAGAAGGTGGCAAGCTCAAGGAAATTTGCTAGGCTCGTGCTACTTGTATGTAGTGCTCTAGTGACCTAAGGTGAGCCCACCGTCCTAAAAATCGTATGCGATTAATCTCCAATCCTTCATCGACAAGCCCCCGCACGGAGAGAGGCGGGAGAAAGCTGCAGCTGACTAATCTGAAGAGTGCCACAAATCTGCTTGAACATATGGCGAAACCTGTTGGATGTACTTTGCCAAAAGGGGCGATCATCTAAATGAGTTGCCTTCAACCATGACAACCAGTTGATGGCGTCAGGGTGTCGCACTTCGATGAACTGCTGAACTCCCATCTGCCTCGCATTTTTTGGTCTTGCAATCTTGACTACAGCGAAGCAGCTTCCCATTGTCAGGGAGTTAGGCAGGCTAACGTCTCTGCCTGCAATGTTCAGGAGTTCACCAGGTCTAAGTAGCCCGAAGAAGCCAACAAAGAGAAGTGCAGAGAATGTGAACCATAACACACGCTCTCGGTCAGAAGCGCAACTATCAGCTCGGATTCTTGAACTGCAAACCATGGCTGCCAGTAGAGCCAGCGGCATAGGGGCTCTGAAGCTAGCTGGTTGACTTTCCTCCCACGACTTCAAAGCTTCCCATGTGCTTTGCAGTGACCGTCGCAGCCGGGGTCTCATAATTTGTATCATGAGCACAGCATGTTTGGCCTGTCTGAGGCTTGATCTGTGACCTGTGGCATGCTGTGACCGGACAAACTGTTCGAGAATCTCATCCACATCTTTGGATCTTCCTTTGTGTAAAACCTCCACATTCACTCCAGCAGTATGCAAGAACTCATTCAGTGTGGTGACACCTTCTAGCAATCTCCGCTGGTATGCCTTGCTGTACTTGTTCCAGCGCAACTTCCAGCCAGCATGTTTAGCCAGCTCCGCACTGAAGCGACCATGCATTGCACATGCAAACGAAACTAATTATAGTCCTTGAAAAAACTGTGTTGAAAAAACTGCCCTCTTGCTAACCCGACTCTTCATGCAAACGACTGTTCAAAGGCTTTAGCATATGCTAGGCAAAGTGCCCGTGGATAGCTGCCAGCCAATGTTGATCTGCGATGCCACTTTCCACCTACTTTGACCCCTCCCAAAACTGCGACGTGTCCATGGCCGTGTGAACATTTCCGTGACATGTGGTCTAGGTTCGGCATATTCCCCAAAAATTTTGTTGGCTTCTTTGCCAGTCCAGGATTGCCCGACTGGTCAGGGATCTTTAACCCAAACATGCACTGGTCCAGGGTGACTGCTGTGCAATGCCAGCGAGCGGATAGGGCTAGCATGAAGGGTATCTTCCAAGCAAAAGAGGAAAGGGGATTTTCCATGGTAAAGAAAGAACCGTGCTTTGAAAGGAGATCACAAAGATGAACGGTACGCCTGAGTATCTCGTTTCCGATTCTCTCTCTCTGAAGGGAGTTGTTACCTAGGGGGTTATCTGAAGATCTGGTGCCCTTATTCATATTCTGCATTATACTAAAGGAACCACATGGGAAACCAAAATGCCAGAGTTGATGTGGCTTAGAAGCTGCTTCGCATAGCTCAGCAAAAACTTTGTCATCAAGGATATTCTGAGTAGGGTCTACCTTACCATTTTTCATGAGTTCAACCGGGGGCAGAACATTAAAAACACCACGCTCTCTGAAGGTTTTAGTGAGGTGAGCCGACCCTGCGAACACTTCTCTGAATGTCCACTTCTTTGACGCAGGATGTTCTGAGGCTGCGGTCCGGACTGCTGTTTTCCGATCTGTGGAACACGGACGGGGAACATCCGCAGGAGTGGTGGCTTCATGCACAGTTTGGTCGGATCCTTGCTGCTTGACCTTCCTCCAGATATCTCGGTTGGAATGGCGTGTCCTATATTCATTTAACTCACTTCCTAAGATCTCCTGGGTTAAGCTTGAAGGAACACTGGGGGGATCAGGGATGCGTTTACACCTAGAGGGATAGTCAGAGGGATTAGAACCTGATCTCACCCATACTAGATGTATTGATTTTTGCCCCACAAGTGTCCAGCCTAACGCTTGCCTGAGTACTCTGTTAAGATTTCTGGCTGAAGAGCGGCCCTTCGACCAAGCACCCGCCGCCGCTCGGGAGTCAACTAACAAAACGGCTCGAAGAGGCTGGGATGACTGATGAACAAGATCCATGAGCTCTCTGTGAATCATTCGTGCTTCTAAGATGTTTATGTGTTGACGATGAGCGAAACTACAGGTTTCGGTCTTGTTCCAAGGGAGATCTGCAACTAGCTCTTCAAGCTCTTGTGGAGCCTGACGCATTTCACTGGGTGGCTGGACTGCACCACGGGCCCAATCTAATCTCACGTGCTCGCCCTTGTGTTCGGCATATCTGTATAAAGTCTGAGCGATTGCAGGTGTGACTAAGGTGGCTGCCCTGCCACCATGTGAAAGTGAAGCATCACTGGCTCCGAGTCTACACGAGATTGGCCAACGGATGTTGGAATGGCACAGCGGCAACACAAGGCCGCAGCTCAAAAGTTCTTCGCGAACTGAAGTGGGGAGTGGTTTACGGTCTTCATCACCCAAACTCTCAATCCATAAGAAAGTATCCTGTAAAAGACACATCATATTCCTACGGTGCATAAATGGGTGAACCAACAAACCGGTGATACCTTGAAGTAACTTTTTAGAAACAACTTTAAGCTTACAAACGGCCGAAAGCAGGTTGGCAAGTTGTCTTAATTTTATCAAGGGTGCTCCCACTCTTCCGCTGCGGCTGTCAACCTCTGTGCCCCACGCCACGAAGTTTGAGGCCTTGCTGAAGGCTTTGCTATCTGACGTGGGAATCGAGTGTCGGGCATATTGGCGCCGGCTGTTTTCTAGCAGCTCCTCATCCCTATACTTCATCTTTGGTGGTCTATTTTTCTTAGAGGGTAAGATTTGTGTGATGATGTGGTCGTCAATGTACAACCCTTCAAGAGTGTGAGATGCAGGCAAAGGGTGTTTAAACTCGATGCATTCATTGGGAGCCATACACTGTCCATCCCTCAGTATTTCAAGGTGCACTTGCTGTGCTATGTCAACAGCATTAAGGTCGCCCATTGCAATGACTTGGAAAGAGAGTAGGAACTTTTTGCCTTTTACCCCACCAAACTCCTCATAGCCCTCGCCATCGAATGATTGGCCTACGGTGTTGCGATGTAACCAATCGGGCCTATGCTTAAGAAGATAGAAGTAATTGCTCAAATCATCACCACTGCCTCTAATGGAATAACCCTTAGGGACTATCAACTGAGTTAAAAGGGATCCATGTGGCAACCGTGCCCAAACTAGTCTACGTTCTAACTCGTTGAAGGGTCTACGGTCGAGGATTACCCTGTCACTAGTTGGTTTGTGGTCAACCGCAAACAAGCCCCCAGAAATTATGTTACCTCGGCTATCCCGCATGGCAAGCTCTTCGGGAATCAACGCGGCCACACCGCTAGTGAGTAATTTCCTATTAACAGCATGCAAGTCTTCTGGTTCCACCTTGAAGCAACCTACTGTGGGGTTGTCGGGTTCAATTCCATGTGGAATCTCGGTTGCCATGGCGTTGAAACTGTCGAGGTGATGGCCTTTCAAAAAGTGGCTGGGTTCGATGATACCTGCCACAGAGGGTAAGGACATCCTTTCAGGCTTCACCGGTTTGGCAACACGACTCAGCTTGTCAGAAGTCAGGTTATGGGTATAGTCTGAATTACGGACTAATTTTACTAATTCGCTTAATTTCAATATTCCGCGGCTCAAAGGTGCATCATCGCACTGGAGGCGGATATATCTATTAATTTGGTCGTGCAGTGAGCCGGAGTATGTCGCATGTAAGGACGTCCAAGGATTAGCAGCTGCTTTGGACAAGAGACGTTGCTGGTCGCACCTCCATGAAGGAATGTGAAATATGCCCACAACATTTCAGCATAGCACCAAGCTTCGCTCCGGCCTCGTCTCCGTGCCCTACGCCGGGCCCCCTTAGATTCGCCTACTTGTGCAGGCAACACCAGCAGAGACGGAAAAAGTTGTACCCCCTTTAAGTCACTTGAGGGTGTCTTTGGCCCCAACCTCTGATTAAAATTAGAGGACTTTAACAGCTTCCAGAATCTTCCAAATGATCCGTGGCTCTCACAAAAACTCTGTACAATCGGGAAAAATTGACTGCTGGCATTGTCAGCACTCAAAACTGCGGGCTTCTCAGATGAGCTCGTCGCATCTAGGACTCGGTGTTGTCCTTGTCGACGGTCTTCTCTTTGGTGCCCTTGCCTCTGCGGCCTTTGCCCTTCCCTTCCTTGTTCTGGTTCTGATCGCCGGCATCGTCGGCATTTCCTTTTCCACCGCCCTTCTTGCGGATGCTCTCTGTGGATTGTTGAAGCTCGTGCATCGACTTCAGGTATGTCGTGACATGTTGAAGAACCCCTGGGTCTCCTCCCAATTGCTTCTTGGAAAATGGGTCTTCTTGGTGCGTGATCAGCCACGCAACTGTCCATTCCCCTTGGTCCAATGCTGCTTGATGCATTGCTTGCAATGCCAGGGTGCATTGCAAGGCTGCCTTCTCGGGCTTGTTCTTCAAAAGCAGCTCCAGCACAAGCCCCATGAGGTAGTGACACCTCTGAAGGTTGCGCTGGCGACCGAAGGCAATCCGGCGATTCTGATCGACCACTCTGAACGGTCGGTCTTGGGCTCCAAGTTCCCGTTCGAGGTCCTTGACGTACTTCTTCACGTACTTCAAGGGCTGGGCAAACATCTTCTTGCCAGACAGCTGATAATTGTGGACCGCTTTGGAGTGGCCTTTTAGCAGCTTGTTGGTGTCGTCGTCCTCGCTCGACGTGTCGCTCCCTGAAGAACTCGAGCTTGTCTCTGACTTGTGCTTCCGTTGCTTGCCCTTCTTCTTCTTCTCCATGTTCATGATCTGAAGCGCAAGAAGGCCTTTCAATGGGTCTTCGCTCTTCATTGCAACCTGGAGAGCTTGCTCCTGCAACTGGGAGCTCGAGCTTTTCGAACCACGGTTCTTGCTCTCCTTGTCCAGCAGAGCGAACCTCTTCTGGTGGCGCCGATCAGGAACCAGGCCGCTGTGCTCCTCTGTCTTTTCGTCTCCCATACCAAAGCCTAGCCAGCTCTTTTTCAGCTTGGACATTGCATCCATGCCCTCTTCCTCTGAGCTGTCTTCGGTTTGCTCCGAAGGCGCGATTTGAGTTTTTCGAGGCCGTGCCTTGCCAACCCCGGCTGCTCGAGGTTCTGCTGCTGTTGCATATGTCAGATCTTCGTCGGACTGCACAACAGTGACTCCCAGCTTCATCAGTGCCTTGAGGTCGGTGTCCAGCATCATAGCGGCCTCTGGGCATCCTCCGACAAGGTTGCTGAACTCTGACTCGACTAGGCAAAAGGTGACTCCCTGGTGCTCGACATGCGAGAGGCCAGTCTTGCTGATCTCTTCCGCAGTGCATCGCACCAGTGATTGGATCCATGGGTTCTGTACGCCTACAACCATTGCCTCCCGCCATTGCGGATCTGAAAAGTTTTCTCCCAGCTTCAGAAATCCTCTAGTTCCGGGCTGCAGAGTCATCAGAGAGGTCATGGTTGAACGTCCAGCCGAACACGCGCTGGCTCAGGCGTGGGGAAAGATCCCACTTGTGCGCTTCCTCCTCAAAAGCGCAAACTGCCTCCTCCCTTGTATCAAATCTCCTGAAAGCAATGCCTTTGAACTCACCTCTGTGAAGATGGAGAATAGCAGCGTATGCTTTGACTCCAACTCCCCAATGAACCCCGGCAATGCGCCAGCGGCCCACACCGGGAATGTCCCAAATGCAGTACCACCTGAGATCTTGAGTGCAGGGAGGTGGTTGTAATCCTTCGTGCCCAAAGAAGCAACCAGTGGGCGTAGGCAATACCCAGAGCACCTCTCTCTCAATTTGGCCTAATCTCAAAGTGCCTCTGCTGTCCACAGAGGTAGAGCTACTGGTGCTCGATGGTGTTCCCTCAGGAGCTTCTGGCGCCTGAGGTGGCTCAAGCAGCCTATCAGCAGCGACCCTATTGCGTCGGCAAAAGAAGATCCTACTGATCAAGCTGCAGATGGGCATTTGACCCATATATATAACCACACCCCCACCACACCACAGGGGGGGAAGGGGACGGTACCACACCCCCACCACACCACAGGGGAGGGAGGGGCTAACTACTGCTACTACCCCCCCCCACCCACCCACAGGGGGGGGGCGGGGAACATAGCTCTTGTATACCCATACCCATTAGGGGGGAGAGGGGGGGGACCAGGGAGGGCTGCATCATATATACATGGTTTACCACTGATTTAGGAGGAATTTACGAAAATCAATCTTTTTTCGGGAGTATAAACTGTCCATTTTTTGGGTGGGGATATCATTTTGAGTACCTATCCAATTCATGAAGCCATCCCACAGCCAGTTCATCTGGGACTAGCATCGAATACCTGGGTTTTGAAAGGTCAGGGATCTTGAGACTTTGATTTATATAGATGTCATTAATCCTACAGATAACCCTGCCCGTTTTATCATTTTGTATGATTAAAATCATGCTAGACAATGGTGTGTATATCATCGGTGTATGCTTTGGTTGTCGACTTGTTCCACAGCACAAACACGGAAACACATCTTAGGACGTCACCGCAGACAGCTCCGCATCGGAGGCTTGAGTCTTTGAAGCTTCCTGCGCTAGATGGAGAGTTTGGTGATGCAAAGTGTCAATTGGAACCATGGAACTTGTCTGCTAATGATCCTGATTATGTCTTGCTTACATTGTGGGACACTGATTTCGCATGGACGCATTGTGGACACATCCTGCATAAATGTTGTAACCTTTCGGTTGAACTTAAGCTGTCTTGGGTAGCTATTCAAAATGTTCCAAAATATGTGAAAAAAATGTTTGCCTTTGATGTGTCGTTTGAGGATTCATCGAGCGAAATTTGGAACCACAAAGCAGTAAGCATATATCTGACTAGTTCCAGCCCAACGCACCTTGACTTTTGTCGATTTCTTGCTGGATCTGGCCGCACCACCGGGCTAACTTGCTGCCAAGAAGAGTCGTATACCAGTTGGGGCCCCATTTTCTAAACCGTATTCGTGTGCCCTGGCGATGGGTTTGATGAACAGTGTGGCCACCAATAGTCAGGTTTGGATGCCATCCCACTTCATAAGTGATCACTGACCATGGTTGCAACCAATCGTGCATGTTATATAACCTACATGTATACCGCGGGGGGTCCAGTGCCAGGTTTGACCCGTCCATTTGGGGCATCTCGCACCTTGAAGGGGGGCATTCCTCACCTTCCTTCACCTTCACCATGTGGAGCAATCTCACGGGGAATTTAACCAACAAATGGGGTGCTAAATTTATCCCATGATGATGTAGTCAACTGGGATCATCATTTCAAATTCTATGCAATTTGTTGAAATATATGCTACCACCAACCAACCGTATTAGGATCCAACAAGAATTGGGTGAGACGGCCATGGTTTGCGGGTTGTGATCTTCAATTTTTCATGATTTTTTTCAAACGGAGGAAGGTCCGAAAACGTCCAGAGCTACCAGCAGACTCTGCATGGCCTCGTCCGAGGACCGCTTTGCTGCTCGGTTTTTTTTCGAAATTGACCTTGGCATCAGCCAGGCAGTTGGGTATGTACGGTATGATGCTTGATTTTTTCCGTGGTGTCGACCTCCAAAAATTTGTTGCGTTTTTTGGTTTGAAACTTGCAACTGGCAAACATTGGTGTTTTTGGAAACCCCAAAAAAAAACAAGATTGATTGGCCCCCGCACTTTTTGACTTGGGACCCACCTGGCTGGTCGGATTATCCAAGAAACTGTGTTGGATGAAACGCGAATTTCAGATGGGTTCCGGGGTTTGGGATATCAATGAACGAATGTAACGATCCAAGTCATTTAAGCAAACCTACTGCCAACAATGAGTGGTATGGAATGGTTGCACAGCATTCGACCATCCCCCATTGGTGATGATGATGATGATGATGATGATGATCCGATAAATTGTACACACATCTTAGACATTTATTTGTCACCACAAAAAAATGATCAGACATCAGTTTGGATCACATAGTAATTTTTAATTGGACACATTTGGGGTGAAAACCATCTGTGCAATGTTGAGGAATGCACCTTGTTTTTTCGCACGTTTACTTATTGAACGGACCATTTCCCAACACTTGTGGAAAAATGCCGTTGGTGAACGCAAGCTGCCCAATATAATGTTCCTGCTGTTGAGATGTTTTGTTTTTCTAACGTGTCAAATTGCAAAAAATAAAATTGGTGTTATGTTGGTGACATTGACCAACATGTGAAAGAGTGGCATAAGTTGGTCCGTGAGCATTGCATAATTCACCAATGCAACATTTTGTTATGTTTTCAGCAAATGTTTGACTATAGAATTTGATCCCAAATGTTGCGAATTTTGGATCATCTGACAGTGTGAAATCCAAATTCAAGATTTAATTGTTGGGCAACGGGTTTTCGCAATCTTGCAAGGACAATGACACTCACCCATATTTTCACACAAAAAAAAAAATGGCACTAGTTCCATCTCGTGTGATAAAAATGTGAAAAGGCACAAAGTTGACATTTTGGGTTTCAAATTTTGACTGTTGAGACTGCGTGCAAAATATTTTGCATGATGGTACCATTTTGTACCATGCGAACCAATAACTTACTCCAATTCGCTAGGTAAAAAAAATATTGTTACGGTTTTGGACAGGCCCCGAGTGATCTGTGTTTGCGTCACCATGTTTCATTTTCACCTGTATTTTCCACAAAATGCTGTGGTTTCTAGGTCTTTGAACCAGACAGTCATTTCAATCATTTTTCTGTTGTTGGGGGTGCCGTGGTTCCCTGTGTTTTTCAACCCGTCCTCCCACGTTTTGCTCCCAAAAATCTGGGTTTCATATCATCTAAAAAACACATTCTGGGAGGCACACGAGTCACATGTGACTGTCACTTTCACGCACTTGCAAGTCTCAGTCACTCACAACTGCCATGCCTCACTCACGACTGTCAAATTGGTTCACTTTTGAATGCATTTTTTTGGAAATGGAGTGGGGTTGCAACGGACACATTCACTTAAATGTAGAAATTGTTGGGTTTTGTTTCCATGTTGCCGTCTTTCCATGTGTCCATCCACCCATCTCTGCATGTATCTATCTATAAATCCACCTTCCATCTGTCCATCTTCCCATCTAACCGAACCATCTTAGCATCCATTCATCTATCGGATCCATCTACCAATGAACCCATCTATACATCTATCCAGCTAATCGTCTATTAATGGTGTTACCCATGTAACTACCTATCTACGTACCTCCGTTTGAAACTGCCGACCTATCTATTTATCTGTCTACCTACCTACCTACCTATCTATCAATCAATCTATCTATCCATGTACCTATCTCTCAATCTCTCAATCTATCAATCTATCTATCTATCTATCTAGCTATCAATCTATCTATCTCTGTCTATCACTATCTATCTATCTATCCATCTATCTATCTATCTATCTATCTATCTATCTAATTATCTACCTATTTGTCTATCTTTCTATCTGTCGATCTATCTACCTATCTATCTATCTATCTGTCTATCTAATCTAATCTAATCTAATCTAATCTTATCTTATCTTATCTAATTTTATCTATCTATCTATCTATTTTCCTGCTTATCTATCTGTCTATCTATCCATCTATCTTTCTATCTATCTATCTGTCGATCTATCTATCTTTCTGTCTGGCTATCTATCTACCTGTCTACATCTATTTATGTATTTATCTATCTATCTGTCTATCTATCCATCTGTCTATCTGTCTATCTTATAAGAAACAACTTAGGTGCATAAACGCGGGCATACGCCACATATACCTTTGCATATTTAATATAATATAATATAATATAATATATGATAATATATGATAATATAAGATAATATAATAAAATATAATATAATATAATATAATATAGTATCATATAATATAATATAATATAATACAATATAATATAATATAATATAATATATAATATAATATAATATAATATAATATATATATATTTACAGATAGGTATAAATATGGGATACGCAAATACGCAGGACAATAAACATGGAGAAAAATGGAGATCGCCGAAAAACCAAATGAACATGCCGACATCGCTGAAATGAAATGTCTGAATGGAGTCTCGTGCGGCCTTTCACTTTTTCTGCTTGTTCCTTGGTCTGGGGCGTTTTCACAACTAACGGTTTGAGCTTTATTATGCACTTGCTGGATCTGCATTTCCGACGATGTCCAGGTGACTTTGTCAACTGGCATTTCGTGTGTGGTGCTCAGGTGTTGTGCCCCCCCACCACAAGGGATGGGAGGGCGGGTCAAAAGAAAAGAGGTTGTGAAGGTGGAACTGTTGTTTGTTTTTTCTCACCCTTGAAATGATAATGGCCATGTCGAAATGAAAATGGATTGGGTTCATGAGAACATGGCAAACTGTGTATTGAAACGAAAGGTTGGAAACACAGTGTTAAAAAAACCTCATGAAAAATAAAATATGCAACAGAGCAAATGTTTTGCATGATGTGTCCAAGTGCCAGGTTTTGCACCCAAGGAAAAAATGTTTGAGTGTTAGACCCAAATTTTCAAATTGTTTCCTTCAAAGATCATGCAGTCACTTCGTGATAGCACTCATCTTATAAGAATCAACTTAGGTGCATAAACGCGGGCATGCGCTACATATACCTATGCATATATATATATAATAAATATGGGATATGCAAATACGCAGGACAATAAACATGGAGAAAAATGGAGATCGCCGAAAAACGAAATGAACATGCCGACATCACTGAAATGAAATGTCTGAATGGAGTCTCGTGCGGCCTTTCACTTTTTCTGCTTGCTCCTTGGTCTGGGGCGTTTTCACAACTAACGGTTTGAGCTTTATTATGCACTTGCTGGATCTGCATTTCCGACGATGTCCAGGTGAATTTCGTGTGTGGTGCTCAGGTGTTGTGCCCCTGTGGAAAAGGAGAGCAGCACTGAATGGTCGTTCATGGAGTCCAAC